GTAACAGGCAGAAATGACACGGAAATGGAGAATTCTATCTACCACCCTTCACTGCAAACTCATCTGTTCCTCTACGAGCACGATACATACAGTGTCTGAGATTTAATGTGTTTCCAGCAGATCATGTTCTATCAAGCAAGTCCAGCCTCTCCTTAAGTGTGACCAATCTCTCCTGTCCCATTCCCAAGTGCATCTTAGGATGTAACCTTATTTCTTGTAAAGGCACAAAGACTGTCAGAGGCAGTCTAAGGCTGAGGGTGGTGAGAAGGATTGGGAAAAGGCTCTGCCTCTTCCCATTCCCACATGCAGACATCCCCTAACCCATGATATTTCAGAAATGCCAGATACACTGTTCATCAGTTCAGTGAATGCCATTAGTGGACATGCCTGTGACATCCTTGTGATTTGAAGAAAGCAAGAAGGTCCTAAACAATCAAAATATAACTGGTCAGGGTAACCACGGAGCTGTGCTTTAGACTGATTAGCTTATCAAGCTCCCTAGTGCTTTCCTGACCCTTCAAACTGAGGACTGCTGGTACAGCCCATCAAAGAGAAAGAATATTCTCCTGAAATTACCAATTTTCAGCACAGCTTTGGGGATTTGATCAGTGTTTCCTGGTTTCAATAATAGTTACAGCACAGCTCCCACATAAGCATCTACTTGGAGCTACTCTGGTGCAAAGTAGGAAATCTGCTAGGGCTTGCTGGGTTTTGAGTTTGTAAAGAGTTCTTTAATATTTTCCTGTACTATGTTAGGGAGTTTTTCAGAACCTATCTAGATTAGTCCTTAATAAGTCCCTTTGACTTCTATATTCATATCCACAGTACAACATTCTTCAGTGCCTTTATCAGGTTATTTAACAGGCCTGTATCTTGGTTCCTCCATCTCAGACACTGAGATGAGGAAGGTCCTGAGGCTTCTGCACTTTTTACAACCAGTGTGAAAATGGGCTTCACAGACTGGCTTTCAATCCATATTTCTTCATGGCTGATCTTAAGCTTCAAGTATTTCCAGAGAGAGGTATTTTGGGGTGCAGACTGAAGCATAAAGCAAAGGCTGCATTCCTATTCAGACTCAATAAGAGAGAAAAAATGTTTTGTGCCTCTTCCTGTCTGTCAGGAAAAAAATAGCAAAACTGCATAAAAGAAAACAGTAGGGAAATGAGCATTACTGGATAAATAAATTCAGAAGAAGAAGAAAAGAAAATAAACCCTTTTTGTGTAAGTAATATAAACTGGGTTATTTCCCTCATTTTTTATATCTGCTGAAACCAGCCCTGATGCAATACATTGAAAACCTCCCCGTTTTTCTCAGCCCATAGATAAAATGTGCCTTCAGTAGTGACTTGCAACAGCAACCTCATCTGTTGCAAACACTTTGAGCCTTCCTTATTTCTCAGAGAGGAAGTATGTGGCCTGTTTGGCAAATGCTGCTCTACATGACAGCGTGAACTTCACAACACTCTCATTCGACCGGCTGCTCCTCGACTTGATCAGCTAAACCTTGCTGGCAGCGTGAGCAGTACTATGACTACGGCTTTTCTCAGAAATCCTGCAACCTGGAATGCCATGCCTAGCATTTAAAGGTAATCACTGCTGTGATATATTTTACATTAGCTGCAAACGAGACCAAATGTTTCAATTTTATTTATATACAAGGGTGTTCTATTTCATTAACAATGACAGTATTCAGACCAGGGATTTCACGTGCCACCAAAGGCAGAAATAGAAGAGTCTGCCTTGATCCTTTTCATAAGGAGTGGTACTAAAGATAGACAGGACAAGGAGTATTTCTACTGAAACCTAAGAGTAAGAGATAGATTATTAGGACCTTATGCTAAAGCAAGCTGCATTTCACTATAATCAAAATATGAGCCCACAGATCAGTGGGCTTTTTATTCAAAGTGTTAGAAGTGTGGATAATGTGGTATTTCTGTGTTGTGCATGCATCTCTGAATTTCTTTGATGAGAGTATTATGTTATTCTTTCTAAGTGCAAAGGTACAACTGCCTCAAATCTGGATGTTCATTTTGATTAATGATAAATTAAGGGAAATCCACCAAAAAATATGCAGTTTCTGAAATCTAAGTTGTTTTGCTTTTTCTTTCCATGCATGAAAACTAGCAGGATGCCAGTGCTTTCATTTTCAAGCTAAATGAGATTCAGACATCACCTGTGAACTTTATTGAAAATTAAATTGTAAGACCTTGGCAATATAGATGTGAATATCAGGAAACAAAAATAAAATATGGTATAGCATCTCAGGAATGATAAATGCTCTAATTTTACTAGTCTACAGTATTCATTGTAGGAGGGATTTATTCAAGTGCTTCCCTTGCCTTTTTATTCCTTATTACTTTCATTTCTTTATATTAACTATTTCTCAATCATATGAAATATAACTTTTTCAAAGTCCTCACCAAGTAGCAGAATTTCGTATGTTCCATGCTATTTAACTGCTGCAGAAGCACGTTTTCTCAGAGAACAAATTCCGTGAGAGGAAGTTATTGCTACATGTGCTGCACACAGGAACGGAAAGGGAAAATTGTACCACAGGTTTTGGGGTCACACAATGTAGGTCAGTGGGATTCCAGTCTTGACAGATGAAGAATTCATATCTGCTGAGAGTTCTGGTAAATAAGACACAAAGCAGGTCGGGAACTGTGGCTGTTTCCCCACATTCCTTTTGGCAGCAAAGATCCCTAAGCCCTGACAGCTGTGTGTGCAAACAGCTCTATGACCACCCTTCCTTGACACCATGTGCACAAGTGGAAGGGGGAGAGGAGGAAGGATCAATCCTTGGAACACTGCAAATGTGATCTTAATAGTTAAAACCAAATTTTCATGCAAGCCTGAGGAGGTGGCTGGTGATCAGGAGAGCTGCAGGTAGATTTTGGTTCCCAGCAACCCAGCAGGCTTGGGGTAGATAAGACACAGTGAGTTTAGAGTCTATCATTTCTTGCTAGCTCTTTCTACATCACCCTCAGTGAATTATTTTCCTTGGATCTGGCATAATTATCTGCTCCTGTGAAGGAAGGATGGCACTTCTACTTTTATTCCAAACTCTGTCATCAAGTTTAGATATAAGGAACAAAGTTTTTACAACGAGTGGGGTGAAACACATGTTGCCCAGAGAGGTGTTAGATGTCCCATCCTTGTAAACATTCAAAGCCAGGCTGGACAGGGCTCTGAGCAACCTGATCTAATTGCAAATGTCCCTGTCCATGGAGGGATGGTTGGACTAGGTGGCCTTTAAGTGTCCCTTCCAATCTAAATTATTCTATGATTCAATAAGGTCAAGTGAGATGCAGTGCCTGTAGCAAATTTGCTATTTCAAAAGATTATAATCTATAAAACTGTTACTGTTCTTCTATAAATTTCAATGAAAAGAATTGGTTCATGACATCTTTAAAGCTTCCAGTAAGTCTAGTTTTGCAGAGTGTCTCAAAATTTCAGAAAACCACACAAGAATTTATAATGCAGCAATGGAGTGGATTTGTATTGTGCTGACAATAACACAAGTACAAGCTACTTAATCTATCAAGTTCTATCACTCACTTGAGAGTAAAGCACACCACTGTTTTAGAAATATTACTAATTTGTGCATTCTTACTCTCGAAACAGTGATACTAATTTGTACAATCTTACTCTAGAAAAAAGTGATATGCCATTGCCAGCAAACAAATAGAAACAATTTTTGCCTGCCCTATTTCAAACAAAACTTCCATGTCCGATTTTCAATATCTGATGGTTGAGTTATGCCTCAGAACATTCACTCCATGACCTTTGACTGGACTGTAGGAACCTTTATCCTATCCATGTGCATAATGACAAGTGGCTTTAGAAGTAAAACTGAGTCTGATGTCTCATTTTCCTTTTAGCCACTTTTGTTAAGTGAATTAACAGCAAGGGTCCTAGCTTTTCATATTTTTATTTTTACTAAGCAGTTCTGCCATGAATCTGGAGAGCATTTTGAATTCTCTGTTCCTTTCAGGACTTTATGCTATCAATGGTAGTGACAGTAAAAGAGCACGGAAAATGCAGTGAGAAAGAGCAAAGTGCCCCGTTAATGACGGCAAAGCCCGAGACGTCACTGCTCTTCTCTGTACTGAAAGTTCTTCACAACGTTTGCATTTTCCACAAGCCACATTACTCCACATCTAAGGCAGCAGCACAGAGCTGCTGATGAAACCTCTGATGAGAGGCCTTCAGAGGTCTCTGAGAACAGCAATGCCTGGCATGGCAGAAGGGAACCAGGCTGTGCTCTGCAAAAATACAAAGTAGGAACTTACCTGTTGTCCAGTATTTAATCCCTCCATGGTTTACTTCCAAACGATGTATAAGCAACCCCACAGAAACACTTCAGGTATTTCTAAAGCAGCATTTAGAGTTTAGATCCTTAAACACCATCTAGAACAATGGAAGTTCCTTTGTGAAATGTGCCATGATTTTAGAAAGATTGAAGTAAAATTTTCAGAAGCCTTTCCACCACTCACAAATACTACAGAACACTTTCCAAAGAGACTCAGGCACACCTGAAATTAGGAGCAGGAAAAAGGCCACTGGTCACAAGCCTTGACACTTCTAGGATGACTTGCTCTCCAAGCCCTCAAATAACAAACCTCAGCATAAAATAGTACTTAGAGGTAGGACTGTTTTTTTTTTTTTTTTCCCAGACTTTTGGGAAACAAAATTCAAGCTGTTCTCATCTAAATATCAATTGCATGTGTCAAAATTACAGATAGACATCAGATGTTTATGCTGTCATTCTTGCCATCTACCTGTAATTGGATAACCTTTTCAGTAACTGCAGCTTAGATTCTATACACTGAGCAAGATTTGAGCTCCCCTTTTAAATAACATTACAAAAATGCTTCTACCAGAGCACAGAGCTCAGCAGAGATTATCAGCCTAGGTATTTATCTCACTTTTCTGGCTGACATTTTCAGCCCTGTTGAGCTCTTTATTGCTGTGCCCAGGAAATTTTTCTGGCTAGTTTGAAGATGAACCATGAACATCTATAATATCCGTAGCCAAAATACTGGCTGCATTATTCCTATGGGTTTACCTCTTTTTCTTTAAGGGATACAAATAAGAAACATGTTCAACAACTTAAAATTGGGTCTTGCAGAAAAATGCTTATAATTAGATCAGAAAATTATGATCTTGAAAGCAGGCATTGCCTGACAAAGTGAATTCTGGTTTCAGGTTTAGAAATTTAGGTGCATTTACATGGAGAAAGATTTTTTTGTTTTGTTTTCTATAAAGAGACCTATTTTTAAAACGTGAATATCCAAGTAGTTTGTTTAAATTTAAGGGTGCTGTTTTATTCAGCTTCTAGACGTCTCCTATCAGGCAACACATTTTTGTTCTTGTGAAAGGAGGTTTCAGATGCTTGTCAAAAAGACACTGGCACAGCTGCACCCTCCAGATGTGCCACAAGCCAGTTCTGCGTGCATAAAGCGAAGGGGTAATGTTCCATTTGGCCAGTGAAATAGAGAATTCTAGCAAAGAGCCTTTGGGAACAGCACTAAGAAGCTTGGAAAGCAGATGAGGTGAAGTCAAACTGTGCACTACCATCTGTTCTAGCACTGAGCTCCTTGCATTTGGTAAGGGATGAATTTTCTTTCCTTTGAATGGGATTTTATTCTATAGGATGTCTATCTAAACTGTCTGTAAGGCATTAAAAATCTACAGTATTAATCAACATACTGAAATTCTGCCAATCTTATTCCAAAAGACAATTAGCAATAAAGTACTTTCTTGTTGATATTAGTGGTTCTACTTCTCAAGTTGGATGTCTTTCCACCTGACTGACCCTCATCAGGCTCTAGCATGTGTAAGTGAAGAGCAGCACACCAAAGTCAGTAATTATCTTTGAAATGTTTAAGCTAGAAAAGGCCACAAGCTGCCGAATACTCATACAATGCTGCTAGAGGTCCTGTTATCATTTTTACAGGGCAATGGACAGAAATACATTTTTTAAAAATCATTACCTATTAGCTGGTGGTGTTATTTTGCTTTAATGAACAGTTTTTAAATAGATATAGCTTTTTGTCTTCTGCCTCTGAAAATATACCATAGCATGATACACCTTCCACATTCTGTCTTCTGTCAGAGAGAATTAGGATGGCTGCAGCAAAGCTATGAGAAGGAACTGCTCCTCTAACACTGTTTAGTTCCACAACTGTCTGATACTGTTTCTGGTACAACTACCAAAACTTTTTAAGACAGGTATCTGAACAATTTGCAGTGCTGCGTTTATGCAGGAGGACTGATTTGAAATCAAACATTTTTTTAGGCAAGGTATTACTTTAAAAAAAATTTCCATGTTTGCTGAGAGCACAGTTACATCAGAAGAAAACCCAAACCTACCAAGCTGTGTTCTTTGTGTTCAGTAGTAAACCAACATAATATACACACAGTGCTGAAAACCAGGGATGTCCCTACTGCCAGAGACGTCAGTCTAATTAGATCCTTTGTAGCCTCAGAGCCCCAAATGCTGAAAAACATTTTGTATATGAAATGCCCATAAGGGCACAGCCCTGCTGCTACTTCCTATTGAGCTGAGGTACTGGTAATGGAAACTTTTACTACATCATGTTCTTCTGAGCAACTTCCCTAGCTGTGGTTTTCTGCTATTCCCCTGATAAAAGCACAAAAGTGGTGAGAGTTTAGCAAGTATGTAAAACTCTTGCATGAATTTGACACCAGAGTTCTCAAAAGCAAAACTGTATGAAATTGGAGACGCCCAAACTAGGTCATTTCTCATCTGTTGGCACAGCAGGTGTTATTGTGATGTTAAATTTCAATGTCTGCTTTGATTTAGTTCCGAAGAACTTTGACGGAATTAGCGAGCACAATGGGAAATACTGTGAAAACTCCAAGAGCATCTGAGGAAACAAACACGCCGAGCCAAACGGGTAAGCACTCATTTCATTCCTTTCCAGAGAAAAAGATGCTCATGATACATGACAGACTCAGCCATGTGTCGCTCCTCACCCGCCTGACAGGAGCAGCAAGTGCATGGCTGCTGTGGGAGAAGAAGGGCACCCACCAGACAGGGCTTATATTTAGCTATGTTTTAGCTCGTTTTGCAAGAAGCACTTTAATTAAAAACCCCAAATGTTAAACGTATTATTTGCTGGTTCTCCTTGAAAGACGTTCCTTCCAAAGCAGAAAGCACTGAAACACTACTTCAGAAACCAGAAATGCTGTGTTTTGACATAATTGCATGTGATATTTTATACAAATTTATTCTTGAAATTTGGGGTTCCTTCATTTAAGGTTAAAAGTTTTAATGAGGTATTGCATTGAACCTTATGCTCATCCACTGTCAGATAATTGCATTAAAAGTAGCACACAGCCAAACCTGTCACCAGATTTATCCATAAAGGCTAGAGAGGAATACAAGTGCCACAGGGCAAGCTGCCAAAGAAGAATATAACACATCTGCCCTCTGCATCCACATGTGAATAAATCAGGTTGCAAATCCCTCCCTGCCACCTCTGTAGGCTGGTAGAGGTCATGCATTGGAGGGGGAAAGGAAGAGGGATTTGGTGATCAGCTACTACAAACTGTGAGTGAGTGGGTGGAGAACCAGTAGTGCCTCAGCCCTCCTGGTGCACTAATACAGGCAGCTGCACAAGAGCTGCAAGAAATCACTCCCCAAAGGTAAAAAGGAGAAAGCAGTTTTGGTTTTTTTTTTTTTTTTCCTTTGGGTTTGGGTTTTTTAAGTAGATTTTTTTTTTTTGTCTGTTTGTGTTTTGTTTTGCTGTAATTTGGAATGTTTTCCATCAAAGATTTTCTGATTGGGCTACTCATATTATAAGGATAGGAAATCAGCCTGGTTTGATTTTTGCTGCAAGGAAACCCAGCCCTGCTCTTAATATGGTTAGGAACTCACTGAGATGGGAAGTATTGCAGCCATAGGTCCTAACAAAGCAGAGACCAAAAACTACTCAGCAAATTTCTATTTTTTTTCTTTTTGGTGAAGAAATATGCCTTATGCTGATATTCCCAACAACTACTGACAAAAATAATACATGTGAACACCAAAACAGAGACATGCATTCACTCAAAGCAGGACCTTGCTGATGAGCAGGCCATGGCTGTGACCAAGTTTGTCCTGTGCATGCTGAAAGTCAGGATTTAGCAGGGCTAGAAACAACTGCAACCCTTTCTGTGATGGAAATATAAGATACTCCTAAAAGGTAGCACTGCAAACATTGATAGCACAGTGGCTACAAGAGGGAAATATCTATTTAGGAATTCAGGACTCAACCTACTTGAACTTTCCTACCCATCCAGCACATTCAGAAAGGGATGTTGTTAGTCTCACCTGACTTCCTGCTACCACCTTGGGGGAGAACAAATCTCCTGTAGTTGCAGAGGCACCTGCCAAGGCTGTAGGGATGTTTCATACATTGTCACAGATGAAATTGCACCAGATACCCATGTTTAATCATCCAAAGACATGGGGGTTGTCAGAAAAATTATCAGTGATGGAACACCTCTCCTATGAGAAAAGGTTGAGAGATTTGGGATTATTCAGCTGGAGAAGAGAAGGCTCCAGGGAGACCTTGTTGCAGTTCTCAATACTTAAATAAGGCTTATAAGAAAGATGGGGATGGACTTTTCAGTAGGGCTTGTGATACAACAAAGGATAATGGGTTTAAGTTATGATAGGGTAGATCTAGAGTAGATATGAAAGGAAAAAATCATAATGGGAGTGGTGCAATACTAGATCAGGGTGCCCACGGAGGTTGTAGATTCCCACATCTCTAGGATCTTTCAAGCTCAGGGTGGTCGGGACTCTGAACAACTTGATCCAGTTGAAGATGTCCCCACTCACTTGAGAGGGTTGGACTAGATGAGTTTTAAAGGTCCCTTCCAACTCAAACTATTCCTTGATTCTAGGATTTATCAGCCTGAATAGCTCTTTGGATCCATCCACCTCTTAGTCTGGGTCAGACCAGTATCTTTAATAATGACTTAGATGTTGCTGATGAAAGTTGGGAATACAAACATCAGTAGTCATCTAAATCTAATGAAAAGACTTCTAAAAATGAACCTGGTACCAAAGTGTGTGTTTGGGTTCATCCAGTGAGTTTGTATCTGTTCGCCTTCCTGAGCAGATCAAACTCCAAATCACATCACAAAACAAAAGATTTTCACCAGGCCAGGAACAGACTTGATTAAACTGAGGTGGAGGATCCAATCCATGGACTTTCAATAGTTGAAATAATTATTAGGAGAAGTAGGTTTGACACTGGCTTATTTCAGGGAGACTGAATAAAATGAAGGACTGAAATAGAAGGAAATAATGAAAGATTTTCCAACAAAAAAGGGGAAGAAAATAGATAAATGCAATCTGCAGACTTGGTCTGCAGTGTTCATTAGACCCCTATGAGCCCCTTGTGCTGGCTGATATTTGCACTGAAAGCAAAACCTTGTGCTTTCCTCAGCACCAGTGTGCCAGTCTTGGTCCTGAGAAAGGGAACAGTGTATAAGCTGCATTTCCCAAGGAGGCATTTGGACCCCAAAGACAACTACACCCCTTCTGCCTGCACACTGCACAGGCATTCCTGGCACAACCCATGGACTGATGACAGAGTAAGCAGTACAGCAAAGGGTCATCATCTGTCCTTCTTTGGGACCCTGAATCAAAGGTTAATCCTTTTGGGCTGCACCTACACAGTTCTCAGTTCCCAGGCTGTCTGGTTTAGATCTAGCTTGGGTACCAAAGTGTGAGATTCTGCAGCCACACCTTGTGGTGCTGCACATTTTTCCAGATGAATGCCCTCCTTCACTCTCTCTGGTGCATCCCATGCCATAAATCATAATATTTCTGCTGGCCAGTAAAGCTGGATGATGCATGGAGCTGAATTCCAAAGGGTTCATTTCCACTCCAGACATGGACCACGTCAGTGTCCAGCACAGCAGATTTTTGAGGGCAATGAGCTGGATCTGGATGCTCTGCCTATGCTCTTCCTACTCTCTATTAATGCTTCATAGTCCATTCCCAGTGTCTAATTTGAAGGCTACAATATTCAGTCTCACATTTTGCAAGATATGTGGGTGTGAAGACATCTAAAATTAGCATGTATTTCACATTCATTTCCTACTCCTAAAGAAACCACCCAGAATTAACACCTGATTCAGTGGAAATGATTGTGCTTCGATCTTTCCACTCTAACTTTTGGGTTGTTCCACTCCACATGTGACAAACACTTGCCCAGTGGAGGAGAGTTTGTGTTAAACAAACTCAGGCAAATCTTTTTTTTTTTTTTTTTTTTTTTTTTTTTTTTTTTTTTTTTTTTTTTTTTTTTTTTTTTTTTTTTTTTACATCTTGAAAGTGTGGGGAGCTCACCAGATCAAATCTATCACTGTGAAATTTAGGTGTGGAGAAAGCATGTAATTTGTTTCATTCTTGTTTCCAGGCTTTTTTGTTTGTAAGGAGCTGGTATGGGTTCTGTGAAATGTTGTGTGGGGTATTTTGCATGACCAAAAAACCCAGTAAGGTTTGACTTAAATACCAATCAAAATGAAGAGTAGAAGGAGGGGGCTCACTCCTTTCCTTACACTTTAATGTAACTGTATGCAGTTGAAGAGATAACATTTGCATGGATGTGGAAGATAACACTCTGATATATTCCTTTCTTTTCAGAACTAAAAATTACATGCAAAATTGAAACAAAAATTAATATAATTATGAAAGTGTAAGCAAAGTAACACAGGTCTTGCTAGAGTAGACAAAAAGTCATCTTCCCCACAGTGCATAATGAAATGCAAATTACAGTGCACAAGGAGAAGAGCAGAAAAGCATTTTTTTTCCACTCTTTCACTATAGAAGCAGAATATTTATAAATAAACAGCATAATATTTTAAAAAGCATTGCTAAAGGCATTAAGGTAAAAATAATGTAACATTACATGATGTTTTATAACCTGCAATGAGAAATTAAGTGATGGCATTTTACCCTCATTTTGCTATTTTTAAAATGCACCTTCTAGCCTGTATTTTTTCTAGTAGTTCTGGGTAAAGATTTTGTCAAAAAAGACTCAGTGCTAGTGCTTAGGTGTTATTAACCTCAGGTACTAAGTAGCTTCATAGACAGGAAGGTGCCACTAGATTTTCTGTGCAGAACAGCGAAGTTATCAAAGGTTTAGCACAGAATTTCTTCAATAGGGCTGAACTAAGTGTATAATAAGTTATATTAGACTAATCACAGTGGTTGGCTGCACTGGACTAGTCCTGTTTAATTCAGTGACTAAGAAAACTAAGAAAATCATGGCACTATCAATATTAAGTACATTCTCAAAATAATTATAGAATGGTTTGGGTTGGAAGGGATCTTAAAGATCATCTAATACCATTCTCACTGCCATGGGCAGGGATGCCATCCACTAGATCAAGTTGCTCAGACCCCATCCAGCCTGGCCTTGAACACTTCCAGGGATGGGGCATCCGCAACTTCCCTGGGCAATCTGTTGTATTTCTTTTATTTGTATTTCCTTCAGCCTTTTACTGTTATCTCTGTGAGTTGTTTCTAAGGCCCTGAGACACATAGCTAAAAACACAGAGCATTGATTCAGGGTGTTGCACCTAGGTTTCTCTCAAAAGCTGTCTTCCTTAAAGAGAAGTTGACGACAAATCTCCATTAAATGAGAAAATACTAACAAGATAGTGTTTGTATCTATCTAATTTCTTTCTTTCTTTCCCTGAATTCACACCCATATTTGCACATGTTGGGCTGCATAGAATGGGAAGTATGGAGATCAAGCAACCTCTGCAAATGTAGTGCTGGATGTTGTTCCTAAGGATCAGGGTGCTGATCCTGGTGGGGACAGAGGGATGTTCTGTCTCCCTGTGAGATCGTGGAGGGTACTGAGATGTGCAGAGGGGAGGAACTGCTTCCAGGAGAAACACAGGCAGTGTATGGTACAATCCCTCTTGCCAGGACTTGTGGCAAAGAGTTCAAAACACCCAGCATGACACATTTCTGAATCTCCCAGCTGTCAGCAGTTACTGGGCACCACAGATTCCAGCAGGATGAGGAGCATTTCATGTTTGATAGTCCCAGTCTTGTCTAAAGTGCTCTATACTTCAGAAAACCAGAAAACTTAGCATGTCCTACACAGGGTGAAAGTCCCAGATTCATCCCAGCTGATGTAAAAGATCTTCTCATCTCTTTAATGACCTCAGCTCTGCAAGTTGCCATTGTATAATGGTTTCAACTTAAACACCCCTGTGCCTGTTTTCTCTCAGTGAAGCTCTTGCACAGTCTCCATGCAATGGTGAGAACCAAGTGCACTGGCTGATCATCAAGCTCCTTTAAAAAGTGATGGAAATGGGCAAAATGGCCACACTCTCACTGACCTTGATCTAAACTACCACTGAAAAGTATCTGTGGTGTAAAATTATGAAACAATTCAACATGCATCTTCCTTTTCTTAAATCTAGTGCTACAAAACTGTACCTGGAGGCAATTAGAGACAGTGGCATTAATCAAACTGGGTTACTTCCTAATACTATAAATAATTACTAAATTTTTATTTTCACACTGAATATGTCCTTTAAATATGGTAATTGCTAGAAAAAGTGGTCTAAATTTAGTTGGTTACAATTAACCACATAACTTTTCATTTCTAGTATCTTCGAAGTCCTCGTATAAATCTGTAGGTTTTCTTTAGCTCATTATTTTTATTAAGTGACATTTCAGAGATTTTTTTTTCCCCATTAGACTTACTACATAAAATCTATCATACTTAAAAAATACATCTTTGCCTCAGAGCACTACTTTCGTTTTAAGTGACCTTTTCTTTCTTCTTTCACAGGCCAGGAGAGTGACTTCCTTGCTGTTCTCTATGACTATCCTTCAGCAGACATAAGCCAACCTATATTTCATGTAGGGGAAAAACTACGTGTGCTATCAGAGTAAGTTGATCAATTTCTTTTTAAATTAGGTTTTATTAGTGAGTGAAGCAAAGCTCTGTTTTAGGCACCTGGCCCAAACTGGATGCAGTTCAGCAAGATGAACTGAGTTCAGAATTTTCAAGGAAGGATGTTTAGGCATAGTGTAAATTTCCATGTAGTTTAAGGATTTGGGATTGCATATTGTCCTTTGATCTATAGATTTCTCTTAGGTTTCTCAAGCTGGATTAGGACTCTATTCTAAAATAAGACTCAGAACAATTCTGCTTTGAAAACTGATTATAAGTATTCCCCAAATGTAATAGAAAACAGAGTAAGAGCCAAAATAGAAGTCACATAGAAAAGGAAAATCACACTGAATTTCTTTATGTCAAGTGTGTCTGTCATTCCTTTCTCACCCTTTTCTAATTTAACAAGTCCATTATAATTAAGTCTTAGAATTTCATCCCAATTTAAGGCAAATGTAAAAAAAACTTCTAAAAAGTGTGTGTGGGGGGGTGTTTCTATTTCTGTTTTTTAATCAATTCTGCATTTTCTTAATGAGGAAAAAAAGAGAGATTCCTCAGCCAGTTCCACTCAAAAAACTTAAGAGCCCCAGAAGGAAATAGGCTTCAGAGCACTCGTTCAGACTGACCTTAACCTTACTGCAGTATTGCCTGACACAAGAATGAGCATGTGTACAAAAAATGGAAGCAGGTAGCCCTGATGTTCTTGTAGCCACAGCTTGTTTCAGCACACAGTGACCTCCTGGAAGTTTCCTGGCCCCACACCCACTATTTGCACTGCTCAAAATGAAATGAAACATTTCATTTTTGCAGCTGGTCAAGCAGATGGAGTCAGTGGGAGACCAGACACATAGATAGCAGAGGAATCCTTGGAGGACTCTAAAATAAGTTTAAAAAATTCTCGACCAGATAGTCAAATGGCTAGAGGAGAGAAGTACTCAAGAGAAGCATCATGGATGACTGATGAATTCTCAGACTCTTCTCCAGGCCACCATGACCTGCAGTGGCCTTTGTCAGTCACAAGACACAGGCCTTAGTGGACCTTTGGTCTGGCCCAGAATGGCTGCATTAATGTTCTGCTGAGTCAGTGCTTTCTCTTCCTCCCTGAACCTAAGGGTCCCAAGACTCAGACAATACCACCAGATAAATTTTCTGCTGATGGAGAGCTCCTCTAAACCAGGGGGATTCTTCTCTGCTAGCTTCTAGTAGTGTAAACCTTGCTGCAGTTTGCAGAACATTCATGACATGGTACAACAACTGCTTCAGCTTGGAAATTCCAGCTTAAAGCCTCACTCTCAGATTTCATCAGCTACAAGCCCTCACACACCACAGGACTGACCATGCCCACATCAGTGGGAATTATATGTGTGCCATATCCTATGTACACATGTGCTGCAAAGTATAATCCACTGCAGGAACAACTTCCAAAAGAATAGGCTTTAGCAGCAGAAGTGTTTGACTTGTTTGTCTGTTATGCAGTGATCAAGGGCTTTTCCTGATGGATAAATTAGATCCAAAGCAAGCCTTGATGGGAACTTTCCTCTTATTATTTTGAACCATGAGCTTGTTCACAGGTAACAAGACAGTCCAACACTCTATGGAAACCACAGTGTCCTGATGAAGGACCTGTTCTCCCCTGCTGGGGTACCTGCTGATGCCAGTGGGAATTGTTTGCCCGCAGCCTCTTCCTGCTCATAAGCTGCAATTCTTTTTCTGAAATCATTCAAAGAAGTAAAAGACAGAAAAAAAGAAGAGTAGCATTGTGTGACCAGAGCACAAGTAAATGAGGAGTTACCACAGAGGAGTCAGCACAAGCAGCAGCTTCTCAGTTCTTTTACATCAGCAGCTTTTGAGCCTTCTACCAAAGTAATGATGTGTAGTGGCAATCAGCCCCACAATTCTGCCAGGAACAGGACATATGGAGCCTCCACAGGAAATGCAATTCTTCACAGATATTTGTGACTGCTCTGAGTTGGCAAATTTATATAAGCACTACTGGCATAATTTCTCACTCCCCACACTGGTCAGGCACTTTTCATTACCAGATGAACTGCATTTGGCTGGCAGTAGTCAAACCAAATGTCCTTCAAGATTTGCCCCAATATACATAATTTCTGTAGCTCCTGCCTCAGAAGAGATGTGCTGCTTTGGGATTTTAAATCATCATAGGGATTTTTCAGGGTTAGTAATATTAAAATTTGGAGGGAGAGAAATGACAAAACTCTCAGTTTTTGAGTTTTGTTTTTTTTTTTTTTCTTATTGCAATTCTTGGTTCTGTCTAGGAGAGTTCTGGGGAAAAAAGGATCAAAATGACCTAAAAGTCTTATAGATAAATTAATTTCATCTGGAAAACCAAATGAAAAACTTTACTTTTCCTTTTTCCCTCAGCACAGACATTCTGGACCATGGTCCCAGAAGCTAGAACTCATGACATTTAACCTAAGTGATTTCAACTCAGCTGTTCTGACACACAATTAGACTCTGATCTGCAATATAGACATTACTTTGGGAACATTTATATAAACATCCACAAAAACAGCATTCAAACACAAGACACAGTTCCTTGGATTCAAACTCTTAAAGTGAAGGTGCAAAGAACCCACCGGTCACGAGAATCCTTGCACTACAACTAAAGCTCTGCAGCATCCCTGTGAAAATTCTTGGTTCCCTTTATTTATGAAGCGATTCAAGAGTAAAAGCCAGAATTCAGGATCACAATAACTTATGATATTTTGGGGGAAATACATATTCTACAGCTTCAGCTACAAGCTCTATTTTATTGGAGTTTGGTCTGCAGCTCGTGGAAGACAAGGGAAAGAGCAAACCACAAACAGGTTCAGTTGGACTGACAGCCTGTTCCCAAGCAGACAGGCTCCATTTCCCAGATCCTCTACCCTGGTCTTACAGGGCTGGCCAGACACAACACACTCAGCTGTAAACTGAATATCTTGCACAGCAGTATAAATCTAGCTGTGGGAAGGCAGAGCACAGCATGGTTTAACCACTGAGTATTTATCCTTCTTCTTTCAGCTGCAGAAAAATATTTTATTACTTACGTAATTTAAATGGAACAAAGTAGCTTATTTCTGTGTCCACATTTAATTCTTAAGTAGGTTTAGAAATGGAACTACTCTAAATGAAACCATACAGGGTTCCTTTCTGAATACATCATTTCAGAAGCACACACAGAAGGTTGCAGGCTAATCTGTGTAACTTCACTAACTTCCAAATGACAAGAAGCTCTGAAAATACATCTGAAAATATCCCTTCTCTTGCTTTCACACAGTGAAGGAGGTTGGTGGAGAGTCCATTCCCTTACAACAGGTCGAGAAAATTATATTCCAGGAAAATATGTAGCAAAGGTTTATCATGGGTAAGTAAATGCATTTCTGTAACCTTTCATCATCACATTTTTACATATCCTCCCCTGATTACTCTGAGTCATAGTCCAAATAATGCCATAGTCCAAATAATAATGAGTTGGCAGACAGAAATCTTATTTATTTACAGTTTCAAATACATCTTTTGAAAACTGAGAACCTCAAATCCACATATAAATTTAGACTAAGTGAAAAGGAAAATCCTTCTTTTAAATGCTGGAAAGAGCCAAAACCACTTCAAATTGCATATAAGATATTTAATATGCATGGACTGATCTCTAACTTAAAGACATTGATGAAGAGAGCCTATTTAGAATGGATTTTTAATATTTACATAGAGTAAAATTTTGGCTAGGCTTGCTCATGGAAAACAAGCCAAAAAGAACAAATAGAAATGCTAATAAGTCATTCAAGAATGTAAACTTTCTCACTGGATGAACTACGGAAATTTCAGACATTTCTTGTTGCCATAGACACCACTCAGGGAAAAAAAACCTAAACAACAGAAAAACAAACAAAAAAACCCCATTAAAGCACAGACTTAAAAACTTTCTGGCAAATGTTTTAATACCTATTTAATTTTAAGGATATGAACTGTGAATGTCACTGTAAAATTGAAAATTGCCAAAAACTGAAGCAAGTGCTTCAATTTTAACATGCTTTTGCATCCTTCTGAAACAGCAATGCTTTCCCAAAGGCAGGACACAGATGTGGGTTAATGGAAGCTTCTGTCTGAAACTTCAGGGACAGCAGACTGGATCAAATACATGAGAACAATTTAAAAAGAGAATTCTATTCTTATTCTATTCTATTCTTATTCTATTCTTATTCTATTCTATTCTATTCCAATCCATTCCATAACTCTAGAACAGCTGAGCAAGCCCAGGTGCATGGGCTTGAGACAATGAGCCACTGCCTATGGCAAGACACAGTGCTGCACCAAGTTATGGTGAAAATTTGTACTAATTCCACTTTCCCTTATCCACAAAGCCCATTGACTTAAATGGTTGGACTGTTCCCTAGAAGAAGTAAAATAATTGTAAGTTATATGGAGTTTATTTATTATACAATGTGGTGTTAACAAAAGTGGCTTAAATGAAAAAGAGAGATTTAACTAATGCCACAGATGTTGTCAATATAACACATGTGTCCCCAGCAATACAGATCAAAGCAGTTCCAAATGTTTTGTTTTCCAAAGTAAGTCCAAACCTTATTACTCTTCTCTTAACTTCACAAAGGTTAATAGAACTGAAAACCAGCAAAATTTTCTCCAGAAACTGGGGAAATATGCCTGAATATAGATGAGAGAATAACTATAGAAAGCCACAGTGTTATTTTTGCAGTCACTTTTCCTGGCTAATGCATCACTTTCACAGCCACATGCTGCTCACTGTTTCACTGGTGTCCAAATTTCAGAACTTGTTTTTTCCTGCTTCACAGCTGGTTATTTGAAGGTCTGGGAAGAGAAAAAGCAGAGGAACTTCTACAGCTACCCAACACCAAGGTCGGCTCCTTCATGATCAGAGAGAGTGAAACTAGGAAAGGTGAGACAATACAGATTTTCTCCCTCTTGACCTCAGGCATTTACAGTTTATAGGGTGACCTATAAAGCTCTTTAATTCACTCTCTGTCCTGCTTCATATGGATCAGTCCAAAACTAGAGAAGGTGTATAATGGGAGGGTGAAGGCACCCAGTGCAGTGTGCCAGCCCTTACCAGTCACCTACTGGAAACAGGGTTATTGATGGCCATGGAAAGTTCCACAGGCATCAGCACAAAAAAGACACAGTTGTTTAAACACTATTATTTACTTTGGTTGCACGCAAACCTTATAAGACAGTGGGACTTTCAATGGAGGAACAGTCACAGCTTTGCCTTTGTCCACAAAAGATTGATTCAAGAAGGTGTAAAATGCACACCAAGTAGAGGGGGTGGCAGACAAGTGTGTTTATTATATAAATGAAGGAGGTCTTTTATTTATTTTTAAAAATGACTGGCCTTCAATTTTATTTTCTTTCTTTTGCTACATGGGAATTCGACTGTACCAACTTTATACTTTTATTTTCTTCAATGGGGACATAAATCAGAATCATAGAATGTCCTGACTTGGAAAGGACCTACAGGGATCACTGAGTCCAGCCCCTGACCCTGCACAGGACCACTCCAAGAATCCTACCATGTGCCTGGTCCAAATCCTTCTGGGTCCAAAATCTCTCTGGGTGAAGAACCTTTTCCTGCTCTTCAACCTAAACCTCCCCTGAGGTCCTGCCCCTGGTCACCAGAGACAAGAGATCAGTGTCTGCCCCTCTGCTGCCCCTTGTGAGGAAGCTGAGCACAATAAGCAATAAGGTCTCTCCTCAGTCTGCTCTTCTCCAGGCTGAACAAATCTCCATGTGCAAAGTGCTGTGCTCCTTCTCTGAAGCACCAGAACACATTCTAATATGATACTGCAGATAAAAGGGAATAACACATAATCTCTTCTGACCTCTTGCATTTTGAGTTCCCACATCTTCTGACCTCTTGCATACCACAGGCCAATTACTTTCTTAATATCTATAATAAATTCAAAGAAATTTAAGATTGGCATTTAGTCCTTGCCAATAAATGCTGCAGAACAATTCTAAACAAACAGAAAAATCCAAGTGGCCATCTCCTGCCATGACTGCATTACTAGGTTTCAGCTACTACAATACTCAAAGCTGTCTACAGAAGAGTACCAGCCTGTGAGTCTGATCTCCCTATTCAGTGGAGGGCAAACTCTATAAAGGCCTATTTCCTTTATGCCATTTTAAAAGATCCCATGCCAGCAATAATAAAGGAAAGCAGACCTGAAATTTGGTTGAAATTAAATTCAACAAAATTTTGGGTCATGTTATATTCTTTATTATATTTATGTATATCTATAAAGTATAATAAGATATATAAGATGGCTACTCAGGTTTTCTCATCTGTTTGAGATGTTCTGAGTAATGGCACCATATCTTACAGATACTCTGTTCTGCTACAGATACCCAACCAGCCCTACTTTGGTGTAATTAGCTGTTCTCTCTCTCCAGGGTTGTATTCCTTGTCAGTGAGGCACAGGCAAGTGAAACATTACAGGATCTTCCGCCTCCCGAATAACTGGTATTACATCTCTCCACGACAAACCTTCCAGTGCCTTGAGGATCTTGTCAATCACTACTCAGGTAAAAATAAGGGCAGAAAAAAACACATATTCCACTGGTAAATGTAAAACTATCTATCAAAGGTGCAGAACAAGAAGTTTTGCTTCTGTGCAAGACTTGCAAATGTTTCCACAGGGAAAAAGTTTTGGTTTATACATTTTATTTCATTTTCATCCTAAATAAAAATATACTGCCTGTAACAGTATAACTGAAATCAATACAAGAACTCACCTAAATAAGGCCAGATAGACTCTGTCTGTATTAGTGTTTGGTAAGATATTGTACAGCCATGTCAATACCACTGTTTGAGGCAAACACCAGGGTCTAGGGGTTCCCTAAAGAACTTCCAAATGCTGTTTGGAGGTCAGCACAGGTCAGGGATGCCCAGACCCTCTCAGAGCACACCTAAAGGCAAAGTGTGAGCACACGAAAATGTTCAGCTGTACAGAAGCCATGTACCTGTAGATCTGGGTTCCTGAGACAGATTGCAACTACTGCCTGACTCTGCCAACATAAAGATGTCTGCCCTTCATTTATTTGCCATTTAGGCATGCAGATAACTTCAGGGCATGCAACACCAAGTTTCTATTCACATTTTCTTAAATAACCACTACAGCACACAACCATATCTGCAGTAGAAAATTTTCAAAAACATTGTAAGCTTCTTCCCTATCACTTTAGCAGAAGTGCATGGCAGGAATTTATCAGCAGAGCTTGTACCAAGATGCTCAAGCTGTTAGTTCAGCTGCAGAGTCAGCTGTCACTGTTACTAATATCAGTCCAGTGGATGACACTTTTTCAATGACAGTTTTCCAGATTTATGGCAATTTAACCTGTGTCAGAAAGGTAACTTGACAAACAACACAATTATGTGGCTGCACTTACTATGCATCATAATGAGAAAGTTCTAAAATGAGGAAAGAAAATGCAAAAAACTAATTGCCTAAAAGTTATAAAAGAACAATAGGTTCTGTGCTTTAACAAGCAATGGGCACTCTGCAATTTTAAAAGTGTGAAGTTACCATATCTAAGTATTTCACAGATAAAAGAAAAAGCATGATGACCAAAGAGTACACTGATAAACTGAGAAGAAAAGTAATTCACATTCAAAACAAGCAAATGAACCTTTCAAGTTCAATGACATAAAGAGAGTAAGAATTTGGACAAGAGATATATGTATATTTACATGTTATCTACTTGACACCTTTCAACATTTAGAAAGAAGGAAACAATTTAAGCCGAAAATTTGGGCTGGGGCAGAACCCAAAACTTGTAACGGCCGTCATTTTTACTTGAGTTATAGGTGTAAGAGGAAACATAGTTAGATTTAGGTCTCCTCCTTCCCTCACCATGAGAAGATAACAAAATCTCACTCTGAAATAAGGCTCAGAGTTGTAGAACACCAACATTTAGCCATGATGTTCTCTACTTGGGCAGAAAAATATCTATGATGTTCTTAGTGGAGCAAGAAGAGAGCAGAGCACAGAAACATTGATGAAGGCAATATGTGAACCCCAATTCATTCCACAGTCATGTTCCACAGAACGGTGTGCACGCAATCCAATCTGATCTTTTTTACACTCTGTTTGCATGGCTGACACAATAGGAAGCAAAGCAGAACTCAATGAGGGCTCAGAAAGACTAGGTTTAATTTTCTGCTCTGTCACAAAATTCCTTCTTTGAGCAAGTCACATCATCTTTCTGTGTCTCAGTTCCTCACTTGTACTGTATGAAATATACCCAATGAAAAATTAAAAGGCAAAGGTATGAGGAAAAGAAAAATTAAGCCTGTGTTTCTGTGTCCTTGCTGAGAACACACAATTTTTGACTGCTGTTGCTGAGTCCAAAACTGTTAATTTGAGCATGCACCAGGGAAAGAAAACAGTAAGCAAAGATTAACTGTCTGTGTATTCATTTTCCTGTTCAGAAGTTGCTGATGGTCTCTGCTGTGTCCTTACAACACCCTGTCTCACCCAGTGCACTAACAACAACACCGTGATGAATCCAGTTCCTCCTGTGGTGATGAGGAATAAAAATTTCAGCTGGAGAAACATTCACAGGTACCACATACAGCACAGGCTGCCAGAAACAACAGGGCTGTTTCCCAGCCATGAATATTCTTGTACTTGCAACACAGAAGACACAGCTATTTATTTCCTTCTCCTGAAAGCAGTTTTAAAGCTTGGACGATCTAACATCAAGCTAACCCATGAAAACTGAATGCTGAGCTCTCTAACTGATAATCTAAGTTTTAACTTTGAAAGGAAGTATCATTAGTATTCAATATTTCTCCTATCAGTCCCTTTGGGACTCCTGAGTCCTTTCACCAGGGCAGGAGTGAGAGCTGGGTCACAGAGCTCAGTGGCATCCACCCCTGCTCCATCCCCACTGATGTGCAGGGGCTCACAGGTGAGCCGTGGCAGGCAGAACTGGCTCCCCTTTCTTCACACACCCAGGAAACAGCAGAGGTGTAATGAACCATTATCCAAAAATAAACCTTTCCTGTTGTGTGTCTCTCGATACACAGCCCAATTCATGAGATTTCTAATATCACAACTGCCACAAGAGAAAGTAGGTCAGGTTTCAGAAGCTGGGGAAGCAACCACTCTCAGAAACAAAAGCACCTTTTACTTTTGAAGGGTAAATTTCCCTTCACTACTCTTCTTCACAAAATATTCGTGTGCTGATGAAGGCAAGAAAATTTTGTTCAGCACTGATGTCATTTTTCCTACAGATTAAGAAGAGAATATAGATGATACTTCCTTTTCAAGTGCCAAAAAATATTTATATATTACTGTTGTAGTGTTTTTTTGAGAAATGCTAAGTGACAGAAATGCTCGGTGATTTATGAGGCAGAAATATTTTTATACAACAAAAATAACATTATTAGGTTTAACAGCTTTTAATATTAACCTAAGAGGCTCAGTCCAAGTAGCTGAAATGATAACAAAATTTTGTTCTTTTAAAGGCTGGAGGTGACTGGAGATACCAAAAGTACCCTGGCAGCAATGGATGACTCTTGCCTCAGCTATGGCCTGAGGGAAAGCATCGCTTCCTACCTCTCCCTAACTGAGGATGACAACGCTTCTTTTGCAAGTGCCAGAAAGAAGAAATCCCAATCTCTCATATACACAGGGAACAAACGTAACAGTGCCCTTCACTTGCCATCTACATACTATGACAACTAAATTCAAGACAAACAGGAAAAAGCCACAAACTGACGAGTTAGGAGAGAAACCAGAGCATCCTGTGGTCCTTCCACCCGTCAACAGCTGGGAGATACAATCTGCTAAGCTGGTGACCAAACACCAGCAGTGCTTCTGCATTTCCTCTTTGAAAGATCTTCTTAAGGGTGCTATCCCAGCCATGGCTTATGCTGGGGGTGTCCCCAGTGCACCAGAACTAGATCACAAGCAGGATAAACTGAGACAGACTCTAAGTTAAAAGCCAAGTGGTGCAGGTGACTCTTCACCAGGCAATGCCCAGTGTTGTACAGAGGTGACTGCACAGGGAAGAACTAACTGCAGCTCAAGAGCTTGATTAAGTCTTACTCTGGTATTCTCTACAAGGCTGAAAACTTTCTTTACAGAACTTATCTACACTGAAAAAAGGAGCATTTTTCTTCTCAAGATAGACTTATCCATTGGCATTGAGAATGGGTCAGAGAGACATCAATAACCCCAAGAAAGTATCTGGCATCCAAGAAACACCTGATTATAGTGACTCTATACTTATATTTTAGGAGAAAAAAATTAAATCAGTGAATTTACAAGTAGCATTTAATTCACTTGCTGGCAATGGTCTGCAGTGTCATAAAACAGTCACAGATTTAAGAACAAGCTTAATTCACTGAGAAAAGCAGTTCCTACTTACATCTGAGATGGGAGTTCAGGCATAACATGTAACTCAGCTGCTCATAGTAAAGCAGATAAACAGGGAACAAAGGGGGGTTTAATTGAAAAGCAAGATGTCATAATAGTGTGCCTAACTGCAAAGGTTGGCTTGGAAAGGTGTGACCTTTTATGTGTACAGGGACATATTTTAACTTTGACTTCTGAAGTCAGCCATATATTTATGTATAATATTTATATTAATAGCAGCTTTTAAATAATTAAATGAAGGAAACAAATCAGTAACAGTGGATGTTAGATTTTTTTTTCTAATTTCTTGTCTGATGAGAGTTATGTCAAATAGTAATTACACTTTCCATCTAATCACTTAAGGATTAGAGGGTTTTCCGAAATTTCTTTTTTTTTTTTTTTTTCTGGTATGTACCCTAAGTCATGAAAGACCAAGTAGCATTTTCACAGAATTCACAGAATGACTAGGTTGGAAGACACCTTCAAGATCATCAAGTCCAGTCCATGCCCCAACACCTCAACTAAACCATGGCACTGAGTGCCACATCCTTTTTTTTAACACAGCCAGGGATTGTGACCCCACCACCTCCCCAGGCAGACAATTTCAGTACTTTCCTTTGAACCTGCTTTTGATTGCTTTCTAAACAAGCAATCACTCTTGTTTGAGTGTGCAAAATGCTGCAACCTATGCTGTCAAGCTGAGATAGTTTCATTCCAATATTCTTTTCTACATTTTGCATAGATTTGAATAATGAAGGTTTGGACAAATAGAGAATTTGAGAGGTTATATATATATATATATATATACACACAAATATATATATATATTTACTCTCTAAACAGCTCTTAGGACAAATCTATGTGCTCTTTAGCTCTTGTGTAAGGTCATTTGCACTAGCAAGACAGGTTCAGAGATCAAAATATTTCACAGCCTGTTTAAACATATTTCAGGACTTAAAGGATGAATGCAATTTGGCTGGTAAACAAAAATCAAAACACACTCAGGAACTCTAGGCATTTGTACAATCTAATTACTGTTACTGACAATCAATACATTATGGTGGCTGCATTTTATCCACAAAATGTATATGGGGAGCATTTCAGATTTCTAAGTCATCACATTTATTCATTAAAATAATATTCAGTAGTTACTTTGTTACTTTGTGCTGCTTTTAGAAAATGGGAAACCTGGTGTGGAACTAGTACAATCACTCAGCCTTGCAACGACAGTGCCAGAAGGTATCTTGGATGGAAGGTGACAAAAGAATCCCAGAGCTCATACAATTGGCAGCACTCAGACACACTCTGTGAGAAGGGGATGAAACATCCTGACACGGACAGGTTCAACAATCATGGACCAGCTCAGCATGGAAAGGAGCCCCAGACATCCTCTGATCCAACCCCTCCCTGTTTCACCAGGGCCACCTTGAGCCATTTGCCCAGGCCCATGTCCAGATGGCTTTGGAATACCTCCAGAGATGGAGACTCCACTCCCTGGGTGACCTCTGCAGACACTCTGTCATCCTCACAGTAATGCCATGATAAGGTGACAAAAACTAATTAAATGTGCCATAGGTGGGGCTGGATTTCATGGATGGCTATGGGGAGATCCTGTGAGGTCTGACCATTTTCACAATTAAGTGAAAGCCTTTATTTGGGACCTTTTGGGAAACACAAGCTTGCAAGGGATGACAGCCCCCAAGTGATTTTATACAAATCTGACACTACGTATGAAATGGTATCATGAAAATGTAACCAAGGGAGGTGGTTCATTTGCCATGTCAGTAAAGAGTTTGGAGAGGGAATGAGACTGGTAAAGGGAGGGAAAAAGGAGATGGGAAAAGAAGGAAGAAAGGAGATCTAAAGAGTAGCTAATTACCAGGATCTGGGATAGTTAGGGTCCATGTCAGAGAGCCCTGCACTTGACTGCAGTAGAAGAGCAATAAACCTTCTCTTTGCACTATTGTCTAAACTGCTTCCATGGCCAGGAGGGATCTGGTGTCTTCCCTTGAACTGGGTGGAAGAAGGTTGGAAGGTGCCCTTGACATCCACCAGGAATGCCTGGAGAGGACACCCAACACAGCTGCCCTCTGCAGCCCCCTGCCATCCACACCATTGATCCAGTCACCTACATCAACATCACACTGGTAGTTAATTGGGTGATAAAAAATGAAGTCAAATGCCAGGCTAATGCTCTTAAACCATTAAAATAAGACCAGAATTATTGATAACACTTATTTCTAATTATGCTACTGAAAGATGAAATATAATCTAAAAAGTCCCTGTGATAACTTTGCACTGATTTTGTTCAATCTGTTTTCAGATTTGTTCCAAAAAGTTATTATATGGTACACACAGGAAACTCAATAGCATTTTGCTATTTCAGGTGCACATTTTCTAGTAAAGAAAGTTTCATGCACCACTCCTCTCGCATGCTCAGGAACAGCATGATTTTATCATGCATAACAAATACAGACACAAGAAGCACAAAGCTGACTTCTGCATAAGAGCTCCATTGAGGGATTTTCCCTCAGGAAAGATATATCTGTTATATATTCTCAGTTTCATAATTCTAGTCTGTGTGCACCTCCTTTTTTACAGTAAAATTTAAATTCAATAATTTTGGTGTCTTTGAACAAATACAAGACATATTCCTTTACAGGAGATGTAAGTGAAAAACCAGCTTTGGCACCACTTAAAAAAAAAAAAGACAAATCAAGAATATTTTTAAGCTACAAGCTACTTCTTTTGTTGCTTGCTTTTTATATTGTCAGTGAATTTCACAAAAAAAACAAACCCAATGTGAGGCTGTCAGGATAAATAATTAACACTACTCTGAACTCAGCGGAGATACTGCTTTTGCCAAGACAGTGATCTGTACAGTCCCAGAAAAACAATGATGTAAACACTAGAAAAGTGGGAAGAATTTGTGCACCTGTCTGCTCATTGCACTTGCTGCTGTTTTCCATCAGTGTTCTGTTGTAGGAGAAATAATGAGTTTAAACTTATCTTACCAAAGAAAATACATAACGTGGAACTACTCTCCAGAAGCAGCAATAAGAAAAGATGTCCTTGCATTTCCCTTCCCTAATGGTTCAGCTGTTAAATTGCACTGTGTCTGACACAGTTTTCACAGGGCCCCATCCTCAGCCATGTCAGTAAAGAGTTTGTGACTTCAGAGTAGGAGGAAACTGAGAGAAAAGTACTCTGGTTCCTCTAGCAAATTAAATTCTATGTCAAGAGCTGACTAAAAATCTAGGAACTGTGTGAGGAATTATTTGAAAATGACAGAAAAAAACAATTAATGAGCAGCAATTTTCAAAAACTTCCCTTGCCTTCCCCAATAGAACGAATCAATTAAAATAAACTTATTGAGCCATGGGGATGCAAAAGCAAGTTATGTTTCCTGAAGCAAGGACACAGTGAAGAACAATTAGGTACTGAATTAAGATGTCATTATATTCAAGGCAGCATTTTATTTAATTGGGCCCTCAGCTTCCTGAATCAAGAATTCTATTCCACTGCTCACTGTTCCAAGGCAGCACTGCTAGCAGAGCTCATTTGTCCAAGTACCATTTCTGATGGATATATAAACTTCCTCTGGTGATTAAGCCTCATTTCAGAGCACACTGAGGCTGTGAAGATAAACATCAGTATTCATGCCGGCAAAACTGTTATCAGAGTCCTAAGACTCAACACAGGAAAGGCTGTAAGGATATGGATCACTTGGAGTGGTTGAGAAAATGGTCTAAGCTGATGGGAAACAAGCCCATCTGTAAACTAATTTTTACTCCCTGAAATTTGTTTTTTTTTTCTTTTAAATGAAATCTATCTCAAGATCCGATAAAAAGACTGGATACTTTACCATGTGGGAGTCTGGCTCATCAGTTTCAGAGTCTAAAAGCTGCTGACCAAAATCATATTTATGGAATGGAAACTAAGCTGTTGTACCTCCAGTTTATGAAACAAGGTTATTTATATAATACACAAAAAAAACCACAGTGACGAAAACTGGATTCTTACTATGAGTAAATCAAACACCAAAGTGCATCTCTTGTACATCCTGGTGAAGCATCCAGCTCCTGGAGATAACAGTCACAGGTGAGATGAGAAATAACTACAGCAATAACAGCCCTGTCAAGGTATGGATGAAATAAAGCCAGCACCCACGCGCCGCCACTGCAGCATCCTGATCTCTGTGGCAGCATCCTTTCACAATGCAGGTGAGGCTGGAGCAGGAGGGAACTCACCATCAGCAGCAGCCTGCTGAAGAGGTCTGCGCCCGTGTCCGTGAGCAGGTGAGCGCTGGCGACGTCGGCCCCGCCGCGCTCGGCTCCCAGCGACACGCGGCCGGGGTCGCCGCCGAAGCTGGCGATGTTCTGCTGCACCCACCGCAGAGCTGCCAGCTGGTCCCACAGCCCAGCGTTCCCACTCGCCTCAGCAGAGCCTGGAGGAGGAAACAAAGCATGGTTGAAAACGGTAAACATCGAAGTCTGGGGTAAATGTGACATTTTTTGCAGCTCTTGTAGCTGAAACTTGACAAAACTGATAGCCAGAGTTTAAAAGTCTGAGGTGGTTTCTTCCAAGGTAGTCACTTTACACAGTGACTCCGTTTCAGCTTTTACCACTCCACAGGGCAGCCCCAGGGGTGCTGCTTTGTCCTAGTGATAGAAAAATAACACATGAACTTCTGAGCTTCATTAGGACACTTCATGGCAGGAGACAAATCCAGGCTCAAGGATACATAGATTTAGCCATAAGATTCTTTTTCTACATAAGTAGCTCAATCTTAAAATGAATTAAAAACAGACAAATAAAACATCTGTGTGTTTGCCAAGTTCACAAGTTGGAAGGGATCTATAAAAATGAGTGTTTTCCTGGGGTACACCTGATTAAATGTTTCCTTCCTACATATCTCTTACACTTGCCCTGCCTGACCAATCATAAATCCCAACATCTTGAATTTCTTCCAGATATTATTTTAAAATTTATAATATTTCTGCCTATATTCTTTGAGATTGTCCTATGTCTCTCCAATAGAAATCTGAGATATATATATATATATATATATATTTGTAAATATAAAAATAAACAAATAATTAATCATGTGCTTCTCATACCTAAATAGGACCTCCTCCTTTTCAACATCAAAATTGGTAACCTGGTACTTTAATTAATAAGAAACAAATACTGAAAGTATCTAATGATGCAAGAATGTAGGTAAAGCTTGATTTTATGTCAACAAAAGCAGAAATAAGTAATTCCTCCATGGTTTTAAAAAAGGAATAGAAAATGATTATTCACTGCCTGCTTCTTTTTAATTCACAATGAGCCATTCATTTTCAAAGTTTTAAAATTCTTCACATTTAAAACTTGGAAAAAACCAAAATCCCACAGGATAAAACAGAAAAGCTGTGAATAGAAACACAGCTGAAACTATTTGTTTCTTCCATTGCCAAGACCAAATAGTACAAGTGTAAAATAAGGATAGGTTCAGAAACTAGTGAATTAAAATTAATAGAGATTAGAATAAAAAGATGCTGTTTTCTGGACAAGTCTTGGGCAAAGAGCAGTTAAAGTGTACATCCTTTCCACTGCTGTAGTGAATTCCTGAGGTATCAAACACACCAGTTTACACAGCAGACTAAACACAGAGGAGAACAGATTAATGGTAACTGCAGATCTTAGAGATGCCCACACTACAACAATCATTGTTAGGAACAGCCTTTCAGTAGGGCAGCCAAAAAGTGAAAAGTCCAAAACACCATGACCTACAGCCATTGCTTCAGATGATCAGGCCAAGCCACACGAGTGAAGCAAATGAGGAAATATTTTCCCTGCTTAGTTTTTTGATTTTATGATTTGTTTTTTAGTTTGTTCTGCATACCATGACCAGTTCCCAGAGCTCTCAATCCAGCAAATAAACCCATTCTTTAAAAAGGAAATCTCATTTTAAGGACTTGCTCCATCCTCACTGAGACCAGTCCAAAGGAAGTGAAACCACAGAATCAGTCATGTTGGAAGGGACCTTAAGTCACTGAGCCCAACTGTTAACCCAGCACTGTCAAGTCCACCACCAAACCATGTCCCCAAGTGCCACATCTACATCTTTTTAAATATTTCCAGGGATGGTGCCTCAACCACTGCCCTGTGCAGCCTGCTCCAATGTTTTTCAATCCCTCTGGTGAAAAAGTTTTTATGTGCACATCCATGTAAATGTTTTAGCCACACAATCTGCCTTGCTTTCACTATACTAAACAAAAAGACCAAAGAGGGAAATATAACCAGCTCCTTTCTCCTTGGCAAAAACCACAACTGGGTTGTGAAATGTACCACACTGGAGAACGGATGCATGCATGGACCTTCACAGGAGTTAGACTGAAAGAAACATGTCTGCCAGGAATGTTTTCAACTGCCTTTTTGTAGGAAAATATCACATTCCTGCGGACCACAGGAAGCTGAAAAGAAACCAGAGTCCTCGTGTGCTTCCTTCTGCTATTATTAAACAGAAGAGGAACAATAGTGCTAAATTAAAGCATGAAAATAATTCTGGTTTATATGGCTTCATGGAGTCTTTAAAGAATAAAACCTAAAAACATGATTGTCTTCTCCAAATTCTCGCCATTCATATCACTGGCAACTCACCTTAATTTTTCTGGACACAAAGGAAAAAGTGAAGGCATTAGTAAGAATGTGCATCACTTTTTGCAACATTAATGGGTGATAGCAAATTTAATTAAACATCTTTTATGTTCAGAAGAGAGATCTTTCACTTTTTGCAAAAGCCCTGCCACTGAAAGACCAGAAGAACTGTAGAACTAATAAAAACTCCATCCACACAAAAGGAAACCTGTTTTCACTACCCTTCAATTCCTTAAAAATCCATTTAACTCCTTCCTTTCTAGTTTTGTAATTTATAACAAATTAACTTGAGAGGATTCAGGACTTTGATTAGTTGGACAATCAAACTAATATTACTCATGAGTTCATAATTTTTATTTCTAAATGTAGGGCCTTCTGACAGCCCTGCTATGAAGCCCTAAGGGTGAACTCCTGCTCCCTTTGAAACCAATGGCAAAATTTCCAAAGGACCAGGTGCAGGAGACTGGAATGTTAATGGTTAATGGCTTAAATAATCACCCATTTTTTGCCACGGCACCAAGCCTGAGTTCAAGGTGTGTGGGACAATAATCTCAAATGTATGGTGGGATTCCTGGGGTCTCCTGTGCAGGGCCAAGACACTGGACTTCAATGATTCTTGGAATCCTTTTCAACTTCAAATATTTTGTGATTCTAGGACTGTACAATTTTTCCAAATACACACCATGGACTTCCCAAAGAGGAAGAGGCCAGGAAAGACTGACTTTTCCCTGACAGTACAGAGAGAGGAGAAGATCCCCAAAAAGTCATGTAATGAACTACCACTATCTGAAAGATTGCAGGAAATACCAGCCGTGTATTGACATTTTTGGACATGCAAGCAGAACCCTGTGAAACAGAGACCAAATAACTTTCCTAAATTCTGTATCATCATATAAATACTGCTGCATCATTTTCAGCCCAACCAGCATTTTTCATTTAGGAGGAAACCAAGGTGAGGTTCACAGGGCTGAAGGAGGGTGGTGTGGCCATGCTGTGTTCTGGAAGCTCCCACAGCACCTATCCACACTGCATTTGGCTCTAGACAAAATGAAATTATAGTATCACTTTCATAAACATTGGGTTTGCACGGATGAAAACAGTGATGTTTTTTCTCCAGCTACATCCATAACCAAATTCTTATCTAAATAAGTAAGGATCTTGTAGTTACAGCTCTCTATTTACCAAATGAAAGAGACTTTGCTGTGAGTGAGCTTTGGACAAAACAATAAACAGAGAAGGGTTAAAAATAACCAACAGCTACAGCTATAACCTCAAACCTGGCAAAATCCACCCAACATCACTAGCAGTGAACACTCAAAAGGATCATGAGGCCACATATGTAAGTCAGATACTTGTAAACATGGCAAATATGACATCCTAAAAGTTATAAATGTATTAAAATGCCCACTAAAGAGGCCAAGGGTTGCCACCAGACTGAGACAGAGCTCTACTTGCAGCTGTTGCATTTTCTCTTAATGGCTTATACCTTAAGTTCCCCTGCCCCACACAGAAGTGAAAGATGGTAGAAAGGTGTTCCCTACTTGCTTAAAAAGGCAAGGCTAAAAAAAGGCAAAAGGAAAAAAAAACAATCCCCAAGACCAGATGGCACTACCCCAAAGATTTAGGGAGACTGAATGTGTGTTTCCATACCTCTTTATGCAATACAAAATCCTATTTGTAATGGGAATTTGTGTAATTTTTAATGGCAATTGGCATTAGGAGAGCAAAAATCCTTTACACTGGAACATGGGGAAGGGTTGCAACATAGAACATGCAAATGTTCAGTCACATCCAGGCCAGTCCAGATTCAGATTAAATGTGGCAAGTCTTTCGCAAACGTCCGGCTGAATTGTTAAGGAGCCAACCAACTACCTTTGTGCCTTACTTTCCATCCTCTCACATCCTTCTTACTATGAACCTGCAATTATCTGTCTCTGCCTCTTCCCACTCTGACATGGGCACAAGAGAGCATCAGCAACACTTCATGGATGGAACAGGCTGGAAGTTGGAATCATTGAAAACTCTACCCACAATGTTAGGCCACTGGAATTAGCAAGAATTTTGATACTAACCTATCTTCACATGTGTCTGCAAAACTCAATATCCAGAAGTTCATCTGCAAGCACAGGCCTAGCCAGTGCTTTGATATAGATATTGGGTCGGGTTTGCTCCTGTCCCTGTTCCCCCAGCCTCTCCCCTTTCTCTTCAGATCAAGTCCCCACTACTTCTTGGCCATTTTTTTCCCACAATAATTTAGGAAAAAAAATACCTGTGAAAGATATAGGTTACTTGAGTTAAAAAATAATTTGAAAAAATAAAAATCAGAAGAGTTACAGAATGCATAATTGTGTTTGCTCTGGAAACCCATGACTTACCAGTGCTCAGGAAGCCAAAGACACCGACCCGGTAGTTTGCCGTCACGACGATGACGTTACCAATGGCAGCCAGGTATGACCCATCCAGGGTTGTCTTTCCCTCCTCAGCATTGTAACTCCCTCCATTGTGGAAGAACACCAACACTGACATGTTTTTGACCTGCCATGACAATGACAGATTAATATTCCTGTTGCCAACTGCTTTGGTAGGTCACTGATGAGAGCACAAGCAGCTTCCTCTTGAACATTATCTAAGCCATTTATAGCTTTTTGAGAGTGACCATAAGGAGGGAATATTTGCCCATCTGTCTGGAATTTAAAGGGTGTTGTCCACAATTGTCTACAAATTGTCTGCAATGACCTGAATATCATAAAGAGGACACTATCTCCAGTATAAAGTAGATCTAACAGCACCATTATATTCCATGAGCCAAAATCTCCTCTAGGTCAGCTCCTGGTGCCTTGACCACTGAGCATGTGGTGTGCTTGTCCTTGCTAGAGCACATCTGCTTTACACAAACAAGCAGGAAAAATTCAAACAAGTGAGAAACAAGAGAAGGAAAAGGCCTGTTGGGTTGCTCCATCTTGAGTAAGACTAACTTCTAGCTGTGCACAGCTGCTTCCTGCTCTCAAGTCTTCAGCACCCAAACACTGCCTAGTCTCAAAAATGTCCCTTGATACTGATAACACTCCATGCTCCTTCAGTGCCCATGGAAATTTCCCCCTACCAGATACACAGAGGGATTCTGTAGAGAGGACTTTGTCTCTGCAGAGGAGAGACCCACATCTCATCAAGTACAGATGGACTCTGCCTCAAAAGAGCCCATCAGGACTCCTGGGATGGCAGGAGTCCCAGTCTGCACCCATGCTAACACTCCTGGCAGAGCCACCTGATTTTGCGCAGAAACAGAAGCTTTTTCCCAAAGCAGCACCAGGTAGGGACCCTCTCTGCACACACAGCAGAGCTGCTGCTGCATCAACAGGAAAAGGCAGAACAGCCCCAGGACACCTCAGAACTTAACCAGCAGGTTACAGACCCTCAATAGAAACATCCTTCAGTCAACATAAGGGAGGAGTTTGCTTTGGTTTTTCCCTTTTCTGTAGCAGCATCAAAGTACATCTGGGGCTGGTTTTCCCTGCACCTAGAGGGCATTGGGCTCTGCTGCTGTTATTTTCTGGATGGAGCTTAGCTAAACACAGCAGTCCCATCTGTTCTGGCAAAGCATGTCTCCAGCAGAAACACAAATGGCTGTGTGGGAGAAGCAGCAGAGCAGCAATGGCTGCAGCATCCTGCAAAATTACAGCTTAGAAGGCAAACTACCCTCACCTGCCTTTAATTTGCCCACAGTTGTGTGGGCACTTCTCACTTATCTCTCTGATGAATCAGTTCAGGGGCTTTCTTGTGAACATAACAATGTTGCCAAGAAAACACAAGACATTACAAGCACTGAGACAGCTTTTTTTCCTCATGAACTTCTGTTGAATTGAAATTGCCTAACTTGCAGTGCCTTGTCCCTGGTTCCCATTTCTGCACTGCATGCAACACAGAGAGCGATGGGGGTGAAGAAAAAAATGAAATCATCTGTTTTCACATGGAAATTCATTCTGAAATACAACCACATTGAGTTGTGTCAGCAAAAATTGTATTAACAGTTATACTGAGCCTGCTCCATCCTCTCAGTTCAGCATGGTTAAGCCTGAGGCTCATACTAAGCATTTCCCACATGTCCACAGTCTCCATAGCACCATGACCTCTGTCTGCCCTGTAAATTGCATATTACATTATTCTGAGTGACTTTACACAATAAAAAGCTTATAAAGGTCAAAGATGGGCAGTAACATTTGGAAATGGCAAACCAAAGCCATTTACAATAGATGCTACAGATATGGAGTAATTCAGGGGAAGATTTAGCACTGGGACTGTGCACAGAGCCAAGTGTCTGGATGTAGCATTCCCATTTTTTTTTCTGCACCAAGCAATGGGAAGCCCAGCAGCTCCATCATGGTCTCATTACTGCAGGGGCTTAGGTTCCATGTGGAAACCCTGATGGGGTAATGAAGTTCAGCAGCCACCAGGATGCTGCAAGTCAGCTGGAAGTCTGAGAAGCTTCATGATATTCACAAGCATCTTCTCTGTGACAGAATGGTTAACCTTGGAAGGGAACACTGTTGGGGCCATCTGGTCCAACCTCCCTGCTCATCCTTCTGTAAAACACTTGATGAGCTACTTGACAGGGACAGATTTAAACTCCACCAAGACAGAAAACCTTCAGTGCACTATTGCTCTGTAAAGAATTGAGTGCAATGGGGATGACACAATAAGGATGGGAATGTGCAAGAAATGGAGAAAGAAGAGAGAGGGTTTTTGTTTTCCTATTTAATCTCTGTTAATGGAGATTTTTAAATCTTGATCTTACAATTAAACCCTTTCTAAATAAGGCAAACACACAGCTTTTCTGAGCTAGTGTGACAGGTGGTGATAATTATAGGTGGAAAAACTCAGAAGTGCCAGTTTAACTGTGGTACAGTAGCTATGGAAGTAAAATTATGTCATTCACCTTCTTCACTGCTTGACACTTTGAGACTCCTTTGGTGACAGGCAGCAGTCCCTGCACTGTGCTGTTTTTGAGGCTCAAAATGCTCCTGAATGACCTCTGCATTCACTGCTCTCTGGGAGATTTTATATTCCACATTTACTAGCTAATTTAACTTTCCACAAGCTGAAAATATATAACTATCTAACTGCATGTGAGTAAAAAATAGAGCTTGCCACAAAAAAAGACAAGAAAATTCAATGTCTTCTGTTCCCAGTTACTTCTGCAAAACTAGAAATTTTAATTCTCTCCTGGACTAGACATATTATATGTGAAACTCATTTTCTTGATTGGACCTACTTCTACCTTACAATTTTACAAAAGACAGGAGAGATTCAGTTCACAGGACTGAGAAGAATAGACAAGCCTATTTAGTCTGGTGGAAAATACAATGCTTTCAAATAAAGTATCTTGAAAGCAGCTCTTACACATAGATGGCAAACTGCCTGGGACAGTGACCTGATGTTTTCAATAAGTGGTGACTGCACTCAAGGCAAATGACAGCCTCATGCTGCAGGGAGAAGACAAACTGCTGGTCTCTCTAATGATTAAAATGGGCCTGCAATGGACTCTCTGTGCTGCTGTCAGATTGCTAAACCAGCTCTTTCTAGGCATGCAGTATGACAGATTCATAAATTTCTATTACAACTACCATCACCTTCTGAAAATTGCCAGTACTGTGGAAAGAAAAAGTTCCTGTCTATGGGCCCACTCCTCAATGGGCTTCACATGTTATTCAGCATCTTCATCCCCAGCTCCCCAGAGGCTGGCCAACCATTTTAGCTTGGCTTTAACTTAGAGCTTTCTTTTATATCTGTTTAGAATGAGAAAAATCAAGAACTTTCAAATGACAATTCCTCATATTGTACCAGCAGCCCAGCCATTTTTGGAAACGTCTATTTTTAAGCTCTGTGAGCTGGCCACAAACCCAGCACTGCTTGCCACTCTCATTTCCCAATAGACTCCTACAGATGTAAACAGGGGAGCAGTAAAGAGTAGGGTGAAAAAAACCATCAGCAGCCCCCTGTCTGCTGGTAAATGTTGATGTATTGCATTGCATTACTGTCTCCTGGACAGATGGTCTGCTTGCAGGAGCACTGCCATCTCTGTCCTTAATTTCTCCTCCTTTGCTGTCACCTTCTTATGGTGTTTTGTTTCCTTCTCTGTCTCTCCCTTATTTCTAGCTTTTCAGTGTGCTGTCCTCCAAGTCACCCAGCACAGCTCACACAAAACCTGTAGGGAATACTCTTGTACCAGTAAAGACACCAGAGTGCCTAATTTAACTTTGCAGGCCTTGTGAGAAACACAGGTAAAACATCCATTCATGCCAATTAAAAGCACTTTGAAAAGAGACAATCCTCAGCTACAAAGAAAAATTGATTTTAATTACATCTCTTACTTACAGTGGTGGCAGGAACAAAGATGTGTAGATACAGGCAGTCTTCACTGACAGACTGTGATGGGGCCTCTCTGTCTCCTGGCTGCCAACATGCTGCCCTAGAGACACAGATTGAGAAAGTTACAATAAAAAAGGCTTTTACTCTTCTACTGCTGCTACTTCCTTATATTTTGATGTATTAGGTTAATAAAACATTTAAATCTTGATTTCATTTAAAACTGTGCTGACCCATAACTTAGCAACAGCTAAGTGGTTTTGTATACATGCATATAATGCATTGCATTTGTGTGCCTAGAACCCCTCCTCAGAAACCCTGCCTCATTTTAAAAAGCTTAAAACTTAAAAATATGCTTTCAAGAAACTCACACTTCACATAAACTACACAAAATTAGCACCAGCTGTAAAGAGAGCAGGGCTGAGGCTCACAAGCACAGTCTCCCCTTCCCACCTACAAAATCCACTCTATTGCTGAAATGCTGGTTATTTATTTAAATTTCTAATAATCTGTGGGCTACATACATTTTCATTTATTTCCCAGTGGTCTGTGGGCTACATTTCATTGGGTTTAATTTAATTTCTAATGGTCTGTGGGAAAATTTGGTAACTTAAAAATTTTAATGCATTTTTTAAATATTTTTGTTCTAAGCATCATAGCATCATTAACAATTAATGTTTAGTGTCAATTAATGTTTAAAGTACCCTTTCAATAAAAATTCAGTAACCAGACACATAGAGAAAATTATTTTCTGGCCATCATCTGAATGAGATTCTTCTGCTCAAGCATATCAAACTTGAATTAAGTGAATGATTTTTGCTGTTCAGTGATAACCTACTTTGAAGCCAGTTCCTCTATTTCACAGCTTTATCCATACCACACAATGAGTTATGGAAAAAACTCACAATTTAGTAGTGAAGAAGCTAAAAGAAGCTTCAGAAAATGTAGTAATAGCTCAGAGAATTATTTCTAAATTATAATTTTTAATGCCCTTGTAAAAGTTTGTCCTAAAGCTGTAAAGAAATTAATATAAAATTACAAGTAAAAGGACCAAACTTCATGGAATTTTACTTTTTTTTCCATAAGGGGGTAATTTCTATGATGGTGATGTCACTCAACAACTTTCACACTGACATAGTAAAGCACATCATCTCCAAAACAAAAAACTGCTGAAGCCAATTTTGGCAGAAAAAATACAATTAATACAATTTCCCAGGTAGGAAACCTGCCAAGACAACAGGTATTACCCTATTAATCATACAGCTTTCCACAGGGCAGCAGGGATCATCACCTGAGATCACAGCTTCTTTTCTCCAGCTCCCAGGAGAAAGGCTGCCACCTGCTGAAGCAAGTCCACAGCTCTTCCAGGAGCTGGAGACTCCAATAGCTGCCAGGTGTTTTTGGTTGTGTTGGGTTGGTTTGGGTTGAGTTTTTTAAGTTTTTAAAGTGTTTTATCAAGTCCAAGCTGATAAATAAATATATCTCTTCTGTCAATAATGGCATTGTGCTAATGTGAATTTCTCATATATAAATATTCAGCATCAATACAGAATATGTATAATCCTAAAAAAAAATCAACAGTTTCTATACATAAAGTGAGGTCTCTCCAATTCCCCAATTGTAAACTCAAATAATTGTTTTTTTATTCTTAAATGGATAATAAAAGATAATAGCTGAAGTCTTCATTGGAGTGAGCAAGCACTGTGGATTCAAAAGCCAGAAACAGATTAACAAAGGTCCCCAAATTTTTTTTTTAAATCTCAGCCAGGCTGCTCATTGTAACTCCAGGTCTTCAAGGGGAGATCACAAAGGCAGGTGGGTCTAACTAGACCCAGACTGTGGCTCAGACACCAAGAGCTGGTGCTGTGTGTGCTAAAATAACATCACTAAATACGTGAGGAAACAAAAAGTCACATCCCACCAGATGCCTGCAATGTACTCGAGGCTGTGGCTTCACACCGCCACAGCTCAGCAGCATCCTGGAGGAGGGGACAAGCAAAGGCCAAATATACTTTCAACTCTCCAGATATTTGCCTTTCATTAGGTTTTGGACAGAAGAGATTGATTTTCTGGGCTCTTCAACCTGATCTCTTGGCCCCTACCAGGCAGAGAATTTCTATATGAGGCCCATAGCTTCTGGTTACATCAGTGTTGAAGTGCCCTCTTGGATTAATGTGTACAAATGTATGGCTCAGCAGGAGCAAAACTATTTGTATAAATATAATAAATACCTGTATAAATACTATTCAGAATGAAAATGGACTGAGAGCAGACAGTTGGTGGGGAGTTATGCAGAGATTCAAGGCAACGGAGTGGACAGGAATTTGCCTTTTCTCTGGAGGTGCTTGCATTCTTTAACACATAGACGGAGAAATTATTCTCCTTGTTATTCAAGTTTTTTTTCTTTTTTGGGTTGTTTTGCGGGAAGGGCCTTGATTTTTTTTTTCTTCCTTCCGGCGGTTTTCCCCTTCTTGGGGGACCAGGGGTTTCTCACCGAGCCGCGGTGGCGTTCCAGGCCTCCAGCCAAGCAGGCGGCTCTGGGGGACGGAAGCGCCTCTCGCCGAGCGGAGCGGCAGCGTAGGGGATCCCCAGGAACTGGCTGATGTTCCTCCACCCTGAGCCAATGTGGATCACCTGGGATTTGCCCATCAGATACCCGTGGGACGGGATGTACACTCTTGGGGTTGAATCCGATTCGGAAATGGGCAGGAGTAAATCTATCAGAGGGTAAGCGCAGGAAAAATAATTTGTTTTTTTCAAGTTAAGACCATTTTGGAAATGAAAATAAGTCCCATTTCCCATAGTGTTAAACTGTTAAGTGTCCCTTCTCTAAAGGAAACACAGATAAACTCACTGTTTACTTTTACTGCTTTCCTATAAAACAGTTCATTAAAACACAGTGAAGTGACACCTCCTGCTATTTTTCTCCTAAAACAATGTATTTGATAGGCAGGAACAAAATTCAAAGGGACTAAAACCAAACCTGTAAGAAACACACAAGTCTACTTTTGTGTCTCAGTTTGTGATTTTGTTTTACTTTGCAATGATAAACTGCTTTTTCTCTCATTGAGTTTCAACCTAGAAGGTTCTCATTGACTTCACAGAATTTCAGTGAAAAGGAAAATTTTCTTCCTTTCCCCCTTATTGTCACTTGGGTTCTGATTACCTTTAATAAATAAAATAACCAGTATTATATAAAAAGAAAGCAGTATCTTTAAAAATCAAGGGGAATAAACCAAATACACTTTAAAATAAGTATGTAACCAGCAGAATTTTTACTTATCTACACTGTCTGCACAGCTTCTTTTTCTCTCTTAAATATTTTTCACTTATTTAAAATATTATTACATCCTGTTTAAGGAGAAGCAATATCTGTTTGGTTTTATGTTTTCTCTAGAGATTGTCCTTAATACTTTCAATTGGCAGTGAACACTCCTAATGTTATTCTCCAAGCTTAAAATGAAGAGCATATCAAAGAATCTTCTGCAGATGAAAAGCTAAGAGCTGGACTTGCATTACGGTTGTTGTTTGGTTTTACTACTCCACTTTCAAAACATCCTTCATAAACTAAATTTCCTCTGTTATGCCTGCTTCACCACCAGTGGGTAAGACTACAATTTCATGCATTTTTAAAAAAGTATTTGGGGACATTTTTCCCATCCTCTTGGCTGTAACTCCTTTGCAACAGCCATGGACAAGCGTCTAGGAGACATCCAGATTGTTTTATGAGGTGAGGAATTCCTCAGTCCTCCACAAGAATCGAGCATCACAGTTGAGGTCCTTCCTCCACAGCTTTGACCTGCTCTCACCTTGTCTCCTGTAGATGTAGGCAGCAGGTTCTTTCAGTAAAACCCAGCAGCTGTGCCCTTGCAGGCCATGTGCACACATCTGTGTATCAGGGTAGAAAATGCACCTTATGGCTGAAGGCTGGATTTCCAGTGTAACTACTGCACATGACTGGTTCTTTGAACAAGCTGTGAGGTGAAGCATGAAGAAAAAGAGCAGGTAAAAATGTGTTCTCACATTTTACATGATAGTGTTACACTGTTCTTAAAAGAAAGGTTGTCAACAGGTGAAGCAACAAAGATATGATGTAATTCAGAGCAATGGGACATAAATGTCCTTAAATGCCCAGAACATTCTGCAAAATAGTGAAAGGACAGAAGCTTATACTGGTTTAAAATGGAATAATCAGCAAAAGAAGTATTATCACAGGTTTTAGAAGAAGTATATTATCTAATAAAATGCTGATAACCTCATCTGAATTCTAACAGTCTCCAGTGAGTAAGTGGGAACTTTCCCTTATTTCTACCACTCTGTGGCATTGAGGATTTCCCAGTCATGTGAAATTAAAAGACTCTTCTGTCTGGTCAGGCTGTAGAATAAAGCAATTCTCCTTGCTGTTACTCCAGCTCAATCCCTGCTTCAACCTACCACAGGTTGATTTAGGTGTTGGCAGGTGGATTTAGCAAATGGAAGTCGTTCTTTAGAAAAACAAGACATCATTGCTTTAATTACTTGCTATACTATTCTTCCAGCTGTACAATGCCTGGAGAAGTAAGAGATCTCCATGCCCAAGAGGTGTCAAAATTACCTCATTACTGTATTACATTTAAGTATTTTATAGCTATTGCATCACCCTCTAAACTGCTTCAGAACCCCTCTCTCAGATCAGGAAACACTGGAATAGTCTTTCAAGACAAGTAAAATCAGTGTATCAATGTCAAAAGTGGGAAAGCTGTTCCTGGTTTTCAGACTCACAAGTCAGCATTTTCTGTAAAGCTGGGAATGACCATTTCTTACCAGAAAGGCAAAAATCTCTCGCCAAGGAGAAGTCATTAGATATATCTCTGCTAACATGCACAACTTCAAAGTGTGAGATGGATGAATCCATGAGAACAGATGACACATTTAAGGGTTGCCATGCATCCATATACTCTGTAAAATGAACCATAAAAAAACAATATGACTAGAAGGAGCAGTAAAAATTTCAGACAAACTTAATAAAGAGTTAAAAGCATTGGGGAGTTCCTCAATGAACAAATGACATCTTCCTTTGCATGAACTGAGAATAAATTAAATATTCAAAGGCCTTTTATTGACTTGAAAGTCTGATCTCATGTTCAGAGGTCAGATATTAATTTGTTTGCAAAGGTGTTTAGTAAAGAAACAGGCAAATCCAGAGCACCTTTATCCAGGTTTGAAGGTAAATCCTGATTTAAAGAAAAGTTTTTTGAACAGCCCTAATTACATTAAAGGGTATGGGTTCTAATGCTTGCATACAAGTTCCTGAACAGGAACAGCCACTAACTTCTTGGAAAGCAAGTGAAGGTTAATTTGATCATTTTAATTTGATTTGGTGGACAAAATTATATTAAATTCTATGAATAGTTTTAATGTGATGCAACTTCTACATAATTAAGATTTAACTCAATTTCACAGGCATATATATACGCACAAATATGTGCATATGTGTAAATATAATCATGTGTATTACATATATGTATATTCCCATATATACCTTTAACATCCATGCACTTGTGTGAGCATGCATATATACATATGTACTAACTCTGACATTCCTCAAGAATTGTCCTTCTCTCTCAAATTATATTTAAAAAAAACATGCCACAAACATTCTTTTCTCATATACAAACAGATAAAAATATCTGAGAACTCTCAATTTTGCACACAAAAGACAAAAAAATAAGGTTTGGGACAGAATGGGCCTTTAATTACTTCAGTTCCTTTCAGAAGTTCAATATATTTTAAAAGCAAAAGGTCCTGCTGTGGCCACTGAGTCCTAAACAGGAGGTTGGTGTTGCCCTCTCCATGTAATTGTAGGGTGAGGACAGAGCAGAGTCAGCTGTTCCTTTGCTATTCCTAGTGAGCAGGTCTTGCCCTTGAGTTCATTCACCCACACAGACACAAAAGTCATGACCTGTCATTTCATTAAACATTTCTTTTATTCTATTGAGAAATCAGTGACTGGCAAAGATGGCCAAAGTTTCCTTTCTCCCCCTCTCAGAAAGACAATTTGACCACAGCACTCAACATCAGACCTGAGGCTGAGGTCTGGCATCCATAAAATCAGTGTGAAAGTCCTGGTGTTGACGTGTCCAGTTGATGGAAACCCAAGAGCCAAAACACCACAGACAAGGCTGTTTGCATCCTCCTTGAGCAAACAGGCAGGGAATAGCAGAGACTAAATTCAATTTCATAACTATTGTATTATTGATGACAACACAGAGTAACAGAAAGTCTTTTCTTTTGCAGGGTAAATCCTTCCCTAGGAAGTGTAAACCTCAAGCATGAGTTACCTCACAAAGGACAAGCTGAAAAAAACTAATGTGCTATCACCACTACCAAGGATGTTGCATTAGGGCTTGGCTCCTTTGCCATCCCCCTTGGTGAAGAGAACATCTGATGGAGTGATGAACTGACTTTCTATATTCCATGGAACTTCACAGAGTTCAGGTTTTGAACTAGAGGCAAGAAAGCAGGACTGGGCTCTGTGGGTCCTTTACAGCCAAAATAATTCCATTCCTCTTATAGTTGTGAGCAACTTTTCTAAGAGAAAGAAGCTGAAGGTCTCCAGCTAAGTAGAAATGAAGGATAATGTGGTGTTGCACTGTGTTATGTTAACACCACAAGCTTCCTTGAGTCACAGAGAGGCAAAGTCATCACCAGTGCTACATCAGAGGGGATCTGAATTAGTCAGGAGCAGTGACCCTGCACTCACAGCTTGACTTATGTGACAGACTCACTGCACTGGATTTTTTATTCCCTTTAAGGACTGACTAGTCAATTATTTTAGAGGAACAGAGTGATTTTAGTAATGTAGAAATTACTATTTTTCATACTGTCAATGGTTTCTCTTTTTGAAAAATATCCACCATGAGCTGTTATGTGACCTATGGTAGAAAACTTTAGCCTCTACATCTAGGGTGGCACATACTTAGAAAGATAAAATTTAAAAATTTTATTTTAAAATAAGTATAATTTTCCATCAATTTTAAGTGATGGAGAATTAACCATTACATCCTCTCCAGATATTTTCTGCCTGCATTACTAGATCCCCCAGGTCTTTCTTTTCCAGACTGAATCTTGACAATTTATGTTTTCAGCTTGTGGTTTTTTGGGATTTTTTTTTTCTTTTCTGAAGAACAAGAAAAGATTACTTTTATCAATATGACTCAAAGTTTTTTTTTACCTAAGAGCAATGTTGCCATCCTGTGCTGTCTACAGTACCAGCAGCTGAGGTCCTACTAATGGAACAAGCAAAATCTCTTGAGGTTCAAAAACATAAAGCTTCAAATTGCCAGCTGTGGTCCTCCCAAAAGAGAGCCTTGTCTGGATTGCACAGTAACACAAAAAGTCTGGGTGCACCAGTGGTTTTGGAAGACATTTCCCTAGACTCTCTTTCCATGGCTTCCTTGACTCACCAAGTGACCTCAGACAATTCTCACCATTCTCATTTGCCTCCATTTCCCACAGGCCATTCAGAGGGGTTCTTGCCCTCTCAGGAGGGAAATTCTAAATGAATCCACAAAAAAAAAAAAAAATCAACTTTTTGAATTTACAGCTCTGACATTTGAATTTTGCTTCCTATAGTTAATTTCACAAGCTACACTTTCTACTTCTACATTAGAAATTTATTTTATCCCTTTATGTGGGACAGAGTTAAGTCAGGAGCATATCTTTTATATACATATGAGGCACACTGGGAACTTTGCAGCCCATGCTATATATGGAAGAGGGACCACTCATGATGCAAATATCCACAGCTCCTACATTCCTATCTAAACTGATTATTCATTGTCCCAGATATCACAGAAGTGTCCCTTGCCATCACCCACATGGGAGGTTTTTTGGGTTGGGTTGGGGTTTATATTGTTTTGGGATTTTTTTCATCCTCCATCCCAGACGCAGTATTCATGATCTCAGGTCAGATTTAAATGCTGAGATGCTCAGTTTTTTTGCTTTTCCCTTTTTCTGCTCAGCTGACCCCAGATGCAGAGAGACACACAAACATTAATGCTTATTTTAACAACAGAGCAAACCTCTTTTAACACAGAGCTGTGCATGGCACACAGTGGACATTGACAGCCAGCAGTGAGCTGCTAAAGAGATTCTGGATATTGGTTCTTCCTACTCCTGAAATCAGATCCAGCAACAGCCATACACAGCCACTTCCTTCTGTGAGCAAAACACAACTTTCCATGGCTGATCTAAACTTGCCTCATGTGGAAACTGCTCTCACAAGGCAGCTGCAGACTGGCCCTGTGCTCCTGGCAATGCTCAGTGCACCTGATGGGCTGGAAGAATTTCTGATTTATATATAGGTTAAGAGCTGACCTGCCAACCCACACTTTGGCAAAGGCTTTCATTGGATAATTACAGCCCTCTGAATCCAGCCATCCCCTTTAACTCTCATTTCAAAATTATAGATGTTCCATATAGAGAGCCCCTCTCTTCCAGATGTTCTTGTTTAGGTAGGCAAAGTTTAAGACTTGATTTGCAAAAAGACTCACGCTGGCCTTACTCTGCTCCCACTGCAGACACAAGATCACAAGACTGGAATAGATTTCCTGGCAAAGAGATAATGAAAACCTTGCCATAAAGTCAACAAAAGTTTTATCACTGTCATCAGTGGAAGAAAAGAGGCATAAATTACGAGTTTGCTGCAAAATTTAACACTTGATCTAAGGAAATAGAGATATGGAAGTGCATTAAAATAACTAGTTAAATTTAAAAGAAAACTTGTGAAGTTGAGGAGGTCAATATAAGGTTAAGAAAGTACATAAATCAGACCTCTGGGTTAATTATGCCTGATTTATGTATGAAAATATTTTGATCTTAATTCTGAAATTTGTGAGCCATATTTAATACCCCTGACTCAAACCCAAAACATGCCTACAGACTGAACTCTGTGTTTTATATTCCTAGTTTTAATAGATTTTTTTCAGCATACTGCCTAACCTGTCTGTATACCAACAATCTTCAAAGCCAGCAAATCATCAACTCAGAGTGGACCTGCAGAAAATATACTCTTCCTAAAATATAACTGCTTCTTGTTTTTGTTGATCCACTGAGATTTGTATAATTCAAAATGAATTATTTTCTTTAAACTTCTGCATAATAACTGTAATGACAACTCAGACAAGTCTCAAAAATAACAACTGTGTATTTATGGCCTTTGGCAGGGAGCAATCCTGCAATATTCCTCTTAAATACAAGCTTTCTGTCTCCTTTAGTGTTGCCAATTATAGCAAATGATATAGTAAGGGGATATTAAAAATATACTAGGTATTTTTACTAGGTATTTTTTAAACTGTTTTCAAAAGGGTAAAAGCCTCATATCTACAAACAATAAAAATCAAACTTAAGACCAAAGATAGAATAATTCCATGTCAGAGATCAAATTTGCTGTGTGGGAGCACAGTAAATCAGTTCCCAAAAATGGATAAAATAAGGCTGTCTTTCTTTCACACTATATGTCTCTGACAAATACTCACCATTGTGGGAAAGCAGGAAGATAAATGATACTATTAATCACCAAAGTCAGCTACATCAGCACTTGTACTGCCATCAGCATCTCTCTTGAGAATGGAAATACCCCATGTGCAGACACAGCCCAATAGGAAATTTATTCCCATGTTGGAATATCCTGTAGCCACTATTCTGCTCAGTCCTGCCTCAAGGGAATGACTATAAATCACCAGGGGATCATAGGAGGCAGGAACAGAAAGGGGCTAAGATCATTACATCCACATGCCTGGGTGGTTTCTCAATTAATGACTTGATTTGCAGGGAGTGGGAACAGAGCCCACATGATCTGTATGTAACCCACAGGGCCCTGTAAGGGCCACTGCCTCCTAACAGCTGCCAAATCTAAGACAGATAGGCATGCTCTAGTTAGAACTGAAGACAAAAATATTCATTAAATTTTAAACAATTACTGTATACAATGAATAAATCTCATAACAAAGTCAAAAGTCATCAAGCTTGTTCCTCCCCACATACACAGGAGTATTTTCAGGCTCTCCAGTCCGCTCTAAGCACAAGTATTCCTTCTATAAATTCAGGTAATATATCTCATAGGTTGTTTTGCTTCTTTCAGACTAATTTGCAAACACATAAAAATTTTCAACACTCAAACCCTTGTGCATAAACTGTTTGAATAACAGCATTGCACATTTGGAAAATAACAATACAAAATTATATAATTAGAAAAACCATTTTCTTATCTCCCCTAGCTTACATCTGCCTGCAGGAAGTTCCATCTCAAACCTGAGACCTGGCTGTTTTCTCTTTATAAGACAGTCCACCATGTTCACACAACTGAGCAGAGTTGCTTAAATACCAGCCTAAGTAAACCAAGACTGCAGGATGACATATGAGCATTTTCAGCATGGGCAGTCTTAAAATAACATCTGTCCTCCCATTGTTAAAGGTCACAGATCGTGCCTGAAACTCCCCACAGATGGTTCCATGCTCAGCGTCATCACAGCACATGAACTTCTACAGGGGAAAAAATGTTCCAAACGCAAAAAGTCAGAGTTTCCCAGTCAGTTAAGGCTGTCAATTTTTCAAGCACCACTTCTGAGATCACAGAAACTATGAGGAAATCACAACAGAGCAGCAGGAGCCTTCTCTGCTCCATGCAATAGATGTGCAGAAATAAATGAAAGTGTTAATTTAGTTAAAGATGAAAACCATGCATTCAGTTACACACATGAGCGCTTGGAGATGAGATGACTTGGAGACTTTAGCCTTGTAGCAGAACGGCTTTTGCAAGCAGGCAAAATGTGCTGAGGCAACAACAAAACAATGAGAATTCAGATGAAAGACATTGTGCAGTTCACCTCCCTCCTGCTAGAGAGTAGCAGGCACTACAGAGCACTAATCCCTCTTTTTCACGGGCTCATGGGGTACCTAGTAAGTGTTAGAAACACACAGCAGTGTTGTTTGTAGGGGCAATATTTTGCAGAAAGCCCATTGGAGCCTCAGGCTTTTGAGAGAAATCACAGGGCTGCAATGGACTGCTGGATGAACATGCTGGTACAAGACAAAGAACAGGAAGAGCCCTGACCCTCTTCTTTTGCTGGGTCCCTCCCAGGACTGACCTTACATAGGGAAGGGTCTTTTCTTGCATCTCCCTAGTGGCTGCAGGCTGCTTTAGAACAAGACATGAAAAGATGTTGCTCCTGAAAATTATTTTTGTCATTGCAGATTCAGAGGTCTAGACATGGTGATTACTGCTGAGGAACTCCTTCAACAGCCCAGACCAGGGAACAGAAGGAAAATAATTATCTCTCCCATCACCTTCAAAGGTATTTGAGAGCAGCTTCAGAATGACATTAACCAGCTCCCTCTGCATTCCTGGATTTGTATGTCCAGCTTGGTCCCTGACCTGATCCTCTTTCTCTAAAGCTAAAACTTCCTTGCTGCAGTCTTCCCCCTGCTCTGAATATCCTGAAGGCAGGATTTGCCAGGAAAGACTGAGGTGAAGAAGGAACCTTGTCCTTTTCCATCTCCTTTGTCATCAGGTCTTCTGCCCCATTCAGCAGCTCCACACTTTCCCTACCCTGCCTTTTGCTATCCGTGTACTTGTGAAAATCTGTTGAGACCTTTCTGCAGTTTTATGGTCCTACAAAGCCTTTGAGAAGAACAATGAGCAAAACAGGCAAAGCATCTACTTCCCACCAGGCTGAAAATAAGTCTGCTCATCTGGGTTTCTTCACAACATTTGGGGCTGCAGACACCACAGATTTTGAATAGAGCAGCATCCTGACTGCAAATGGGAGGAAGCAAAGTGCTGGGCAGTCTGTCCTGAGCATTGCAAACTGGCTGACTTGGAAATTAGGCAGTCAGTGCATTAACATTTGATGAAATGTAAGCCTTAATAGAGCTCCAGTTAACTCAGACTCTAGACTGGACATAACATTAACCTCGCAATTTTGCAGAGCCTTCTGGCAAAGTATGAAAATTTAAGTATTTTTATGATCTTTCAATGGACAAAATTGTATTTTTTATATATATAGATACTTTTACATTCACACACACACATATCTACTCATGGCAGTGCCCTTTAATCAGTGATATTTTCTCACATTCACCATTTAGCTACCACAGAGCAGCCGCAGTAATTTTTTATCCCCATGTACAAGCATTACCACAATGTACAAAATTCAGTAAACGCTAGCTTTTGTGTGATGCCCAGCTCTAATATAGTACATATTAATACAACATACAATCATAAAGTGTTTGCAAACAATGCTTTTGAAAATTTTCTAAAACCTCTGACAATACGGCCCAGATAACAATCTGACCTAAATAAGCAGTCTGGTACTTTTACTATCGAAATGAGGCAGAACTTAAGGACAGATGGTGTCCAGTTGCATTTTGAATGTGTTGTTGCTCCAGTGGTGTCAGAGCCCTAAAGTGTCCACGAAACCGGTGCTAATTTAAATTCCATTCCATTCCATAAGCCTTGCTGTGCTCTGTAATTAAGTGACTTCTCCTGACCACTGCCAGTCCCCAGGACAACTACTCTAGCCCAGAATCCTGCATCCTTGTGGAAAGCTCTGCTGGCTTGGGTTGCTTAACCAGATCTCTGCAAACTAGTGATAACCCGAGCTGCTCTGCATTTGGAAAGATGACCTGGAAATGGATGTGATAGGTCAGGGTTGTGACAAAAGATGAGTACCTCACTTGCTGGTGCTGCTGTTCTTGGTAGCCTTAGAGTCAAGAGCAAACAACAGAAAGACCTAATTTCCTGATTTAAGTGCTGCTTAGGGCACTGTTTTCCTAGATTTAAGAAAGCAAGAAAAACATAAAAGGAAAATGACAAAATTACTACCAAGCTTCATTCTGGGAGGAAGAAAGCTTCAGTGAAGTTGTTTTCCACATCCCATGGGAAAAACAGTTTGCAAAGGAGTTGAATTGCCCAACCTACATGCCGGGCCTACCCCATCACCTCCTCAAAGTGTTTTACACAAAAATTATTTCTGCTTACCTACAAAGATAGGAGTTCTCCTTCTATTGCATTAAAATGCTCATTTAAAAAGCATAAATACTACAAAGTAGACCAAACTTGATCATGACTCGTGGTTATGGATATGATGATAAGACAGATCAGAATAAATTCTGAACTGAGTATTGAAAATTCTTTGCAAATGTCAAGTCTCCTGCATGCTCAGCTGCATATAGTTTAAAGAAAGATTCAATCAGATGAAGTATTTGTTCAGATCAAACAGAAAATCAAGGGCAGAGATGGAAGTGACTTCTCATTTCAGTATAACTGGAGGGTTAAATTGAGTTTTCTAATAAGCAGTCCACTCCCTTCCTTTCTGTTACACACAGCATTTTGCAGCTATGCAGTGTATTTCTGGAAAGGACACTTCAGGGAAGCCTGTAGCTGCTGACTATTGCATATATTTTTAGGGGTCAGAAGACAAAAAGCCCTGAAAAAGAGCAGTTAAGTTTCATTTACTAAGAAGATCCACCCACTTTTAAAATAATGCATGTGAGTACCATAAGATTCATTGTATCTGGAAACTGATGTGACACCCACAATCATAAATAAATTTTTTCATCAGTCCTGCCAAATATTTTGTCTCATGTGGCAGTGAGTGTGAGAAATTAGGTCAGTATTGTGGATATGGCAGTTCTTTCTTTTAAATGATACACAATTAATGAAAATTAGTAAACACCTAAATGAATGACCTCATGGGGAACACTTTCATTATAGTGTGATCTTCCAGCAATATGAACAAAATAGTGGATGGGGGGATTTTTACTGCTTTTTTTTTTTTTTTTTTTTTAGGTTCTTTTGGGGGAGATGTCTTGTTTTGGTTTTTTTTTATTCTTAAATACACTTNTGGTTTTGGTTTTGTTTAATTCATAAATACACTTACCACTTTCTGGCCTGAAAGGTACATTAACAGGTGGACACAGGTTGGGAATGGTGCTCTTCAAGTCAGCTGAAAGCAGAAAAACAACAACACAATTGGAAACAATAATACTTCAAGGTTTAAAATGCAATTGATACTTAAAGTTTCCAGCACTACTTTTCGGACCTGGATGTTGCATCTTCTGCCCACACACACCATCAGTAAGGATGCAATTCTGCTTTGCTATCTAATCCTTTTGAGCTTGTACATTAAACCAGACTTCCCTAAATTTCTGTATTTATAAACATTTCTACAAATGCTTTTTGAGATGCAGTTATGAACAATTCATTTCAGTATTTCTGTAGATTTTTCTATGCCCCTCTCTATATTCAAGTTTCTGCACCAGGAGAGACATGAGATTCTCTCTGCTTCTAGCAAACTGGAATTTCTCAGAAATATGAATTAGAAACAAGGCAGTTTCCAGCACAACACTTCCCAAATTGAAGTTCAAATAAGAATTCATTATACATCAAACTTCATAATAATTTCCATACAAAAAACTTCTCATTTGCTAATATTTCCCATAAATATTTTGTAATCACAAATAATAAAAATTAAGTTTTCCCTGTGCATTCATATTTTGTATAACACTTTGGCCAGTCAAACCAGTAATAAATTCTCCACTAAGATATAATAAATTACCATCCCTACAAAAGATGAAGATGGATCAGATTTGCTGTATTTCCATGTATGTAACTAATAGATGCTTCTAAAATCTCAGAGGTTTTCCCATTCACAGAAGTGAAGGATTGGGCATATCCAAAAGTCTTTGAAATGCTACACTATTTTCCTTTTTGACTGAGCTACAGCTGTTACTATACAAAATGAAATAGCTCATGAGCAGAGCTGTGCAGCAGACAGATCATACATCAGCTCAGCCTGTTATGAAACACAGAGACAGAAGTACCTTCCCCAAACCAAAATGTGGAATACAGCCACAGATGGTGTATCATGCTAATATCCCATTGCCTACAGTAAATCACTCCTTCAGATTTTACTCATTTTCCTTTTTAGTCTCAGAACCCTTTTGTTCCTTTTCCTGGTTCTCAGACCTTCAACTCACCAGCAGAACTGATACAAATTTTTTTCTGTAAATATCCCCATTTGCATAAACATCTGTGCCCTGCTGTGTGTTATGGTGGAAACACATCTGTAGCTGTCTCAATGCATAAGGAAATGTCACTGAATCTCTTAACATTCCCTACTTTGCATACACCTGGGCTCCTCTTCATCATCCCTCTGGCTGGCACGTGAGAAACAGCCTATATTTTTTTTTGCTCTTTGCCAACAAGGAGAAAACAATTCCAAAAACTGGAAGTGTATTTAAACCTCTGCTGTCCCCTCTTTGCTCCACCTTTCTTTCCTCCAGTCTTACCCATGTCTGCATCTCAACTCCCCCTGCCATCAGGATGCTTCCATTGCTTTATCAGGTTGTTGTTCCCTTCCCCTCAGTGCCAGACCCTCTGCTCACCCCTTCCCAGCTCCCAAAATGTTTCTATACTGTCTCTACCCTTCAACAAGGGCTGCCCCACAAGAGGACATGGATGGTTCTGTGGGCATAAGGGACAATGCAAGACTTGAAAAGCTCAACACTGAGCTCACATTTTAGACACTTAGAGCATGAATAAAGGTTTTATTTATCAACACTGTAAAATACAATGTATTGCTACAATATCTGATCCATCTCTACACAGTTTTAACTGGATTATCTTTCTATCACATTTTCTGGATAATATATATCCATGCTTAGTGCCCCTCTCTCAGCTATCAGCCCTTCTCTACTCTGCAAGAATTAGGGGTATAATCCAGTGTCAAAGCAGAAAAAAGTGTTATTCAAAAATTTTCCTTGATTCTTCCAACATCACCAGACCTGCCCCCCATGGGGGGTCTCTGCTCAGGAGTTGTGTCTGTGTGACCAAGGAACAGGCTGTCCTCCCATAAAGGGAGACAAATTCAGGCAGGCAATTGTTTTCCTTATTCTTTCAGTCATGTGAAATCAGAGCTTAACTAAGTAGAACTAGACCTGCCCAACTGGAGTGTGACAAATGGGAAACCCATTTAAAGTTTTCGACAGAGCAATGAAGCTTTTGTTTCTCCACAGAAAATAAAATCCATCTTGACTAGGAGTGGTTTTGATTCCTCACGAAAAAACAATGAAACATCTCATAACTGCTCTTCTGTTTAAATACCTGATGACTTCTTGCTACTTCAAAAATACAGGTCTACTTTAGAACTTGGTCTTGGTCCTTTCTTTACCAAAACAACCAGAAGTGAATTTTAAATTCTGTAGCAAACCCAAACCTTTTAAGCTTATGCATTCACATGGATGGTAAAACCATAAGCCCAGGAGTGAGAAGCAAAGAATGATTTCCTGACCAGGACTGCTCAGTGAGACAAAATATATTTGAATTCTGACATTGGCCACAAGTTTCTGATAGAATCTAAGAAATTAAATTATACATATTTGAGGTATTGCTATTCTTTTTCTATTAAAATGGATATTAAATTGCACCTTTCTTTCCTTTGTACATATTTGCTTGCCTTGTCTACTTGTGGTCCTTGTAAATGGGTCCTACAGTTGGAGGCTGGAACTTTTACACACTGAAGCTAAATTATAAACTTCAATGTGCAGAAACCCATTAGAAAAGTCATGTGTCCTGCATCACTTACCAGGCTTTTGATACCAGCCAAATGGATGTATTTTGACTTCAGCACCTGGTGAACTGCAATCTGAAATGTGCCAAGAACTTCGTGTTTCCTCGGCACAGGTCTGGATTCCAAGGCTGTTCAGAGTCACGCACACGATCTTTCCACCTGCCAAGGAGGCACATGGCTATAGAAATAAGGGGGAAAATTTTCCTTTTCTAGATAGTGTTGTGAGGAAAAAGAATACAGCATGGTTCCACTGAGTGTTAAGTGAAATTCATCTGACTTAGAAATCAAAGAAAGGAAATACCTGAAATGAGCCAAGTAATTGGAATTAGTGCTGAAAAATCCCATTGAATTCATTATAAGGGAAGATGGGTACCAGCATAAAAATCCATTATAATCCAAATCACAGAGAATTTAACTGAGCAAAGGTCACAGCTCTTTGAGCAAGGAACGCTTTTATGTTAATGCCATTAAAAATCTGCATGCATGTTGAAACATGTCTCCTACTTACATAAAGATAAAAATTCTTTCAAAGCCCTAGTGTAAATAATTTTGTTCCTGAAAAATATGGAGGGTCTGAAACACAGTTTCATTGAAGATTTCAGTTCATGTTAAAATTACTACTAGCTCTCTTGACTATATGAGTGCCAAGACTGGATGTCTGAAATGTCATAGATATTAAATATTAATCAGATAAACTAAAAATGGGTCCATTTTGCATGTTGGGCTCCTTAAATTTTTTATTTATTTTAGAAGTATTTAAAGAAACTCAAAGCCATATTCAGTTAAGACTTCAAATTTCATATGATCATAAGGAGGCATGAAAACTATCAACTATTTTTTTATTTGCACATGAATTCTCATAAAATACACTGGATTAATTTTCTAAGCCACTTATTTTTGGACCAAGTGAAAATTTTGTCTGCTCAACAACAACAAAAAGAAAAAAAAAAAAAAAAGTATTTCTGGAGAGTTTCAGGTTCCAAAATGCATAATAGAAAAAGCACATTTAGTGACCTCAGGGAGAATTAGCACATTACTCCACCAAAAACAAGGTTACACATTTCAGTGGCCTAAATCTGAATTTTTAATAATATATTAAAATCTATTTCATTGATTTTAAGATGGGTAGTATCCAATATCAACACCAGCTGAAGACTTTCTTCCTCAGGCAAAAGACTAAAATTTGGGAGCAGAGAAGGTCAGGCAATAAGTAAGCAAAAAGGCTAAACTGCCCCAGAATATCCACAGACATTATGTGCTTGCATGCACCTAATTTCAGCAATATTAGGATTTCAGAGTCCTTTAGGCTTTAAAAAATGAAACATAAAAGAGGAAAAAATCTTGAAAAGTAATCAAACAACACTTTTGAAGTGAGGTTGATGAATGAGAAAAAACTGGAGTTTTATCAGTTTGAATTTTATGCTGTTGGAATTGCAGTCTGTTAAGGAATAATTCTTATGAAGTTTTCTTAATAATTTCTGAAATGTAGAATGTATCATTCCTAGAAATGGTTATGGTTTCCCAAGAAGGTGCTGAAGAGAGGTGCATGAGATCTGAAAGTGCTTTTAAAGTGCATTTCAGAGGAAAAGAAGCATAAAATTTGGATAATGAAGAAATATAACTGAAGTTATTTGAATTATGAAGAAAAATAACTGAAGTTATTTTAGAAACAAAACCAGGGGGGAAATACCTGACAGCTGAGAGTCATTAAAAAAGCCAAATCCTGTGCAACAGGGGTCAGCATCACACCAACGCTCACACTCAAAAAACCTAGGAAAGGAAAAACATCATCCATGGTATCATTAGACAGTGAGAACCTGTAGAGATTCCCTTCACAATAAGGCTGAAGCACCAGTAGACACACACACTTCCACACATTTTCCATATGTAGATAAAATTATGCTTGATTAGTATGCACCTACCAGACTATATCTATTAATTTAGATGATCACTTTGATGTCTGCCCTAAAAATATCAGTCTAAATTAATGTGGTGCATCATTGGTAAGATATTTAACAGGCCAACTAGTAATTAGCAGCATTATAAGTAGCAATTTTCATGTCTATAATTAATAATTATATAGATTATTATTTATAACTCAAGTATAAATCTCTTTTAAACCATATGTTATCTTTTCTTCATTAAGTACTCTCAAACAATGCAATTCTTGGATCAATGCGTTTGATTTCCTGTATCTGCATAACAGAGCCTTGGAATTCCAGACATGAGTAAAATTTCAAGGAAAACAAAGGAAAATTCATGTCATACCCATCTGAAACAGCTTTTCTGCTCATGTCAGTTTTATTCCTTACTGAGATTTCTGTTACTTTCTGGAATGGTACACGTGTGTAGAAGCTCTTCACAGAACTTTTAAGAGTGACTGGAAGGGTAAAAATAACAAAATTGGAAAAATCAGTTTAACTTTGTGGTATACAAATACTGGCCAAATAATCAAATGGTAGAGGTCCAGTCTGTGCTTTTATGCTGACTCTGGTTGATTAAAATATAGTTTTATGTTATCACAGCAACATCTTGGTTGTTAAGCCTGAAGATGAATAAAAATTCACCAAGTGAAGGCTCTGAAAGCTTCCCAAATTACATCACCAAGAGAAGACTTCCAGCCAGGCCTTTTGCTTCTGAGACCTGTATTGATGCTACTTTTTCCACAAGGCCTTAAACTGGGATACAGCTCCAGATTGGAAGACTCCATTGTGCTCATGCATTATTCAGCTGTGCTGCCCTTTGGGCTCCCCAAAATGACATGATTGAATAGCTCAGTTCAGTGGACCTTTACATTTGTCACAGCAAAATTACATGTTCCTGTACAGTGAAAACAGGCTTGTTTGTTCAGTTTCCTTACATGTGCCCTATGAGAAAAACACTGAACATCCCAAATATTCACAGATCAAATATTAAACTTCACATCTATAGCTCTGCATTTGCTAAAAAAATAATTTTAAAAAAATTAACTCAGTACTTTTTGCATTATTTAGCTACCATAGAAATTTTAATGGTAGATTGTGACATTCCAGTGATATTCCTATTTCATCCATATTATAAAAAGGGTTAAAAACTAATATATACATTTGAGATCCACTTGGCCTCTCTGACTTGGGAATGGCTGAGGTGGACAGGGTGAAATTCGTGGTTAATATCTTTCCATTCTGAACTGAAAATGAAAAACCATATCCCAAACAGCATGACCTTCCCTTGCACCATCACATCCCAAAACTCATTCATACATGCACACTTTTTATCTCAGAACCAAGAGCCAAAACACTGGCTTGCATTCCTGGGGTTAGAGCAGACATTATACATGCAAATACCAAAACTTGCCTATTTTATGGTACAGTGTTTGTGGCTGCCAGGGTAGCACAGTTGCACAGTTTCCTGGTATTTGGTTGATGTTGCTGTCACAAATCTGTGCCTCTGGATAGAGTGTACACACAAAGTATTTGTCTGTGGCACTTTGCAGATCTGCCATTCGACAGAACTCCTCCTCTTGGGCACAGCCTAGGAAGCAAAGTCATGTTACATACACGAGGGTTCCTTTCCCTCTCTGCTCCCCTTCATGTTTTCAGAGCAAAGCTATCCATCAGCAAGCAACTAAAAGTGAGAATTTCAATATTATCCTACTAATCTGCAAACCGATTAATTTAATTAATTAAAAGTGCAAAAGAAAGAGGGACATGTTCTGGCCCCAGGGGCACTGAAGAGCAGGTTTACCTGGAGAGCACAGTAAAGGAATTACAGCACAGATACTTGGGAAGATGAATTCCCTAGCTTTGAAAAGCATTACTACAGTGTATTGGTCTCTCTTTAATATTTGAATTCATAAAGATCTCTTTCTTTTTTAGTAAATCTGGCATATAAATTGCATAATCATAAGAGAACTCTGCATCAGTCATGATCTCTAACAAATAAAAAGGACAATAATATCTGCAGTGTCTTAATAAGTATTTACAAAAAATATTTCTGAAGCATTCAAACATCACACAAAATTAAACACAACTTTCCTAGAATGAGCTGTTCAAGACATTTGCTCATAGTAATTTGTGCTGAAGTTTGTCCCAGGGTAAGAGCACATTTTCAGAAAAGAACCAAAGATGTCAAACCCATTTCTTAATTACCAGTCAATGGCTCCTGTAAACATGCGTGTCAATGCTTAATTTTAAACAGGAATAGCTCTTCTGACCTCTCACAGTGATCTTTGTGCACTGTTTAGTACTCTTAGTTCTGAGTTCCTGGTAGAGCTAGAAACTCTTCTCCATTTACTGCATTAAAATGTAATTGATCATTTATAATTGACCACCCCAATTACCTACATTTTACTTTCTTTTACCACTATGCCACCTCTCTATTTGGAGTGGTACACTTCAAGAACAGCAGGACATTGCCCAGGCTGTACCTTTGACTCTTCTTGCCCATGACAGGGGCACTCTGTTGGTGAATTATGAGCACCCCTCCTGCCATGGCAGGCAAAGACTCTAAGGAATAAACAGGTGGCCCCATTGGCAATTTCCATGGAAATTTTAGGAAAAAAAAAAATCTCAAAGTCTAAAGTTTCTACTCATCATTATTTTAACACCTGTTAAAAGTTTTTAGTTAGTTATTATCCCCTACAGAACGAGTCTCCATGATGCCTTACGTGTGAGACACCAAAGCAGAGCTTCCTCAGCTGAGTACTTCTGCCTGAAGACCCAGTACTGCTGGTAAGGGAGAGAATAGTTCTGGTCACTTTGTATCTGGCTGTTGTCCATTAGGTAGAAAAGATCCTTTGTGGAATCTGAGATACAAACAAACAAAAAATCCCACTAAAAATTAAATATGATCTGGAATGAATTAAATTTATTTATGTATAAAATTCTGCCTTTCTCAGTAAAACAGCTGCAATCCTTTTGTAGGGCTAGAATACACCAAATCCTGCTTTTAATAACAGAATTGTCCACTCACAGTGTCTCTCCTGTGGGCAGTGCCTCCTCACTGAGCTGCACTGCACAAAATAATACTGCCAGACTATTTCCAACACCCAAAACCTAGATGAAAATTACTGCTCCTAGAAATCAGAGGGTTTTCTCTGCTCTGTCATGCTACAAAATGTTCTAACAGTGAAATATAAGGATTCAGAGGATGTAAGTATTAGGCTTTAAAGGACATTTGTAATTCCTTAATTGATGTAGTTTTGTTAATTCAAAACAGAAGTTTCCTTATATTCCCTTGAGAAGTTTTTACACCTCTCAGTCGTAAAAGTTTTCTTGACAAGCTTAATACCTATTTCAGTCATTTAAGCTCATTTCTCTGAATTTATGCTCCCACAGACCACATTAAATAACTCATTTCTGTCACCTGCCTGTGAACGCTAGACATGCATGCAATGATTTATATCCCCTGAGCTCCCTCTGAAACAATCAATCATAGCTATTTTCTTGTTCCCAAATTCATCCCCTTAAATAAGTGTCCAGTATTAAAAGAAATGGACACTCTTCACTGATCTCTTACAAATTTCTTCATAAACACTTTCTTTTTTATCAAATGTCATCAGCAAGTCTCATCTCCAGCTCCAACATTGTGAGACATTATATTACTTAATCTCATGTGCAGTGAAATAATCACAGCATAATGAAATCAAGAAGTAAAGACATGCTGATGATTCTGTTAAGTGCTGAAGCACCTACTGACATGCTGAAAATGCACTGTAGCTTTGAATTTCTATCAGAAACAAAAGTTTTACAAAGAATTATCAAGTGATAATAGGTCTGTAGACATTTTCCCAGATGTATTCATGACTTCCTAAAAAAGGTAACCTATAATTCCTATTACCTCTCAAGTCATAACTTCAACCTTTAGTTTCCCTTAAACAGCTGGTGTCAAGACTAAGATTTAGGGATGGAGGTAAAAACTGCATTCCTTGCATAACTGCAGGTTTTAATGATATCATCAGCCCCAGCAAGGTAAATGAAGAACCCCCTGAGGGCTGCATTCATGCCTTGGCAGGTAAATGCAAGATACTTTCAACCACCATAGTAAGTGCATTATTTTTCTCTCTCTTTTTAAGTCTGGACTTTAAAATACCTCTAACTGTATAGGAGTTCTGCTAGGCAAAATGGGCATTTTTAGTTTCTTAATTAGTTTAGTTTGCTTTCTTTTCAAATACCATATGTAATTCACTTCCTTTTCATGATTTTGCACTTATTAAATCTTGTGCTCAGACATTCATCAAGACCCCCCAGCAAAGATTCTCATTCATTAAAGGTGCTCTGAGTAAACTCCACTGCTCACTTTCTCTTAGCATTATGGTGCTGAAGGCCCAATGAACTCCAGTAACCTCCTACAAATTATTTGGACCTGTACATGACTTCATATAACAAAGAGCAAACCCTGGAATAACAAAGGAGCCAAGAGAAGTTCACAGGTCCCTCACTGTGATCATGCATGCAAGAAACACTCATGGCTGCAGTTCATCCTGGATTTCTCTATGGGCTGTATTTACATCATACTGTCAGTAGCAATAAAGATGCCCAGGTACCCAGGCCAAGGATTTTATTTCTGGGTTTATGCAAACTTTTTTTCTCAGTTAAATATTTCCTGTACCTCTTCTGCCTTTCCTGTTCCTTCTGCGACTCTTTCAGTAAGTCTGAAAGAACAGGTCTCGCATTGAACATTTTTACACTTTAATTTCCAGCCTGTCCTGGCAAGGTAAGAATCATAAAGCCAGGCCTACATGTTGAGCATCTTTCTCAAAACCTGTATCAGACATCCTGCTTCAGGGCAGTCCTCTGGACTTTACAATGCTTATACCATAATGAACATATGTATAGCAATATATGATATTTTCTGATTAAATTCTGTACCCTCTCCCTACTCTCTTCTATTGCCTGTTCTGTCTGCTTTGCTCTAATACCTGATAACACCAGATCATCCTTTGTCTTCAAAGCAGCAGTCTCACACAAAGATGTTTTCATTTGGGTGACCATATCAGAGTCTGGAATGAAACAGGAATCAAAGAGCAGAGTAATTCCCTTTATCTTTCTTTCACAAGACAAAATAATCCTCAGCTCTCAAAACTGAATGAATATATAAAGTGAACCACTTAGGAAAATTCCTTTGATAGTTCCTCCAAATGCTGAATCAAGCATGAGTAAAACCACATCTGTATAGCTCTGGGAAACACTTAAACCAAAATGCATTGTTTGGATGACAAAAGTAAATACCATATCCACAGTCACTCTGTATTCAGCATCAGTCCTCTAAAGGCTTTGTGCATTCATAAAGCATTATTACAAATCATTTGTGCAAGTCCTGCCATGTACATGGTGTGGTTCAGAAAGAAAAAAATACAATTATTCTGCTAATAAACATAACCCATGTACTTAGACATAAAGTGCCAAATTATTATGTTATTGGAGACTGATGGGACAAAAGCAGGTGTCTTCATAATATCATTTTCAAGGGTATTAAAAGTTATAAATTACATTCTTAGACACAGTAATTTAGCCAAATTTAATGAAAGTGGCAGTAGAAGAATTACTCCAGATTACACATCCCTGCCAATAGGCTTCTAAGTTGTATGAAATGAAGTAATAGTGACATTGCCCTTGTAGAAGATATCTGCCACACCCTACAGTTCATCATAAGTTTTTGTTAGAAATTCTGTGAGATAACTTACCTCTCCACAGGTAAATTTCCTGAAAGGTTGTGAAATTTCTTTCTGCCTCTTCCATCAACTGAGAAGCTAATAAAGAAAAAATTTTGTTAGAATATCTGTTTAAATGAACCATGTTTTTTCAATGCTCAGAAATTGCATAGAAAACACATCACTAAACTATGCAGCACTTTCTTTACAATATAAAAGTCTAAGGAACAAGGTCCCAGGTGTCATGGGGCTAGTCTGGGTCCAGGGTGCCAAACTTCACTTAATTTCCTATCATTGCTTCTACCATGTAGGTCTGGACATCTCCCTTTTTATCTTTGCTACAGACTTCACATTTCTTTCAGATTATTGGCTTATATCTGCCTGAATTAAATGCTGCAAGTATTACAGAGTGACACATTGAACACAGTCTCAACTTTCATTAATATTCATGTGGCAAAATGTGAGAGGTCCATCTACCCAGCAGTACATCCAGCTGGAGAATTCTTATTCTCTTGTGATATGGGTTTCCTTGAAAAAAGCATTAGAGAACAAGAGCAGGCTGGTGAATAAGACAGATAATTAAGGAGAACTGATGTAAATTGAGGTAATTCACTTACTTCCACTGAACACTTGTCCTCCCAGGGTGAAGGAAAACCTCTTGTCCTTCTCATCATAGCTCACACCTTTACACATCTCCCCCATGGCTGAGGCTGGTGCTGGACTCCAGCCTTTGGCATTGCAGATCAGCACGTCTGGGGAGCTCAGCAAGCTGCACAGAATGGTACCTGGGAGCAGGAAAAACAGGACAAACACAGCTGCATCACTGCAGCAATGATTTAAACCTACCCAAGCCCCCCAGTACTTTATCTAAGTTCCACATGCACCTGTGTCACTGAGAGAGGTACCCTTCAGTATTGCAAAAAAAAAAAAAAAAAAAACAACAAAAAAAAAACCAAAAACTAAACTAAATAAGCAAATTAGGATCATATGTTCAAATTTGAATTCTAAGGTTAGCTACTCATATCCAAACTAAACACTTATAGCCTGTGTTTCGGGGATTTCAGGCACATACTATTATCACCTAATAAAATATTACTATTATCTGATAATACCCAACAATGTTCTCAGCACTTCATAGCACCACAGAGACACATCCAATCCTTTGATGGTCTTAAAATCTCAGGTTCTGAACAAAAAAAAACCCAAAAAAAACCACTTATATATATTCACTGCAATAGTTTCCTCAGCTGGTGCCTGATTTCATCCCAGGCCTGAGTCTCCCCAGCACTGTGATGTGAGCTGGGGGACCAGAGTGTTTAAGGCCTCATGTTCTGGCATCAATCTAGAAGTTACCACAACTTCTAGACAATACTCAGTTCTTGCTTTGCACTTGGTGTCACAGCTCAGGCATTTCTAAGGTTCCACAATGCCCTCTCCAGATTGTTTTTATGGACTAGGTACATAAGATATTGAATATGCTACCTTTTCCTTCTTTTTTCTTTCTTTTTAAGCAAAATGCCAGTCCAAGTAATGCATTTATCTGTAGAACTGATACAAATAGTCACCCCAACCAAAAATATAGAGAACCCAAAATTTGATGGTAAATGTATAGAGAAATGGACTTTACAATATCATCTAAAATACTGTAACAAAACAAAACAAACAAACAAACAAAAAACCAAAACAGAGAATAATTTTCTGGAAATATTTTCTTGAAAACCTTCACAGATCATTTGTGACAGATTTTCACAGGTATTTTTAAATCTAGGATCGGTTTCCACTCCAAACTGGAGAAGTGCTTGTCACATAGCAGCCACCAGCACATGCCTGGATTTCAAGGAATCATAGAATATCCTGAGTTGGAAAAGACACACAAGAATCATCAAGTCCAACTCCTGGCTTTTGACAGAGCTTGTCTTTAAATCCTTGAGTCATGTCATTTAAAATTTCACATTTCCTATAGGAAATGCATCTCCAGGAGGAAACTCAATACTGTGTAAGCTTGAAACTAAACTGCAAAAGTAAGCACTGGCATAAAGTGCTTGAACTTGTTAGCAAAAATCTAAGAATTAAGATTAGATCTAAATCTAATTTTTGGTTGTATCAAAGTCCCACCTCTTCCAGACTCCATCCATCCCACTACCACTTTCTCTCCTAGATAGACATCAGACCTGGGAGATTTTAGCATTTCTGTGTGCAATAATATAACATAATTCTGTCTAGCATTCTTTTTTCCTGCTGTTAAAAGAAAGTTGATTTTCATTTGCACCAGAAGTACTCTGTCTGGAGGCACCTTCTTAGTTCCTGCATCAGTTGAAAGGCACCAGCTTCTGGTAACCAAGCTGTGCCATGTATGGAGAGAGGTGTTTTCAGAACAATGTGTCTCATCCAGATGTCACACACACAGGGAACAGGCTGAGTTGGAAGAGACCCACAAGGACCCTGAGTCCAATTTCTGGCCCTGCACAGAGTCACACCATGTTCCCAAGAGCATTGCCCAAACACCGCTGGAACCCTGGCAGGCTTTTCCCTTCAAAATGCCCATTTTGTTCCAAGAGCAGGTTGCCACCTCAGGTCTTTACTGCTCCAGCCCAAGTCTCGGGCATCACTCAAACCTCCACAACACTAAAGAAAAGTCAGTGATGTAGAGACGGGCTGCACACACAGGTATGGTGCAAAGGTGGGTGAACTGTCCAGCAATGCCTTTGACCCGTTCACACGGGTTTCCTGCTGCAGGACTGTCCTGGGCAGGCAGCAGTACCTCCATCCAGCAGGAGCTGGCTCAGGACGAAGCCGGCGCAGCAGGAGTCGCGGCTGCACTCCTGCCTGCAGAGCAGCCCGGCGTCAGTCGGGGCCGAGCCGGCTGCCGGCAGCGCCAGGGAGCGGAGCACGCCGGACAGAACGTTCTGGAAGCCAGTCCTCTCGAGGGCCTGGGGTCCAGAGGAGAGGAATCCCCGTCCTGGGCACACACAAAGAGAAAGGAGCTCAAGGGGAGCCCAAGGAATATTATGATCGAAATTCAGTTTTAAAAGTCTTTTTCTGGATTTTGAGTTTCAAAAGCAAGATAAGATCATCAAATGATGTGGTGGAATTATTCCTGAGTAGCTGGTTGTAAAGGACAGCCAACAAAGAGCTCCTAAACTGATCTATGCAGTAAGGTTGGTAATATTTCACCTTCAAGCAGTCAGTTATACTGTTAGTAACTCCCAGGTAAAATTGAAACAAATTTATCTCAGTTAAAAAGTAAAATGTGTCATATGGCCAGCATAACTGCATCTGCAATTAAGACTTCTGCTAACTTGGAGGGCATGGTTCATAGAATTTTGGATCTAGAAAACTAGAACAGATCTGGAATTAACAAGATTACACCTATCACAACAAGCTCAGGGGACTTGATTTATTTTCAAGTGAGGCTTAGATCTTTTTTATTAATATTAATAAATTGTGACTTAGTGGTTTGGATAGAAATATAAACAACATGGTCAGAGCAGAGACATTTGACTCAAACCATGCAGCATTTGGTTATTTTTCTTCCAGTTTGACATGACACTTAAAGCTGGACACACAATGGATGTGCTGCTATCAGCCACACTCAGGCCATAAATGAATCAATACGTAAATAAATAAAATTTGTCTCATGCATTCATTAGTTCAGCTGAAATGTTTTGGGATTCATGGAGAGCAATTTACTTCTTGGCTGGTATATTACTAGAAAAATTCACAATCAAAAGTAAAGTGAACTTAAATTATGTACAGGGTGGTCATTAATAATGCTTTAAATGTTCAAATAGCAAACTGGTTAGTATTAGATGTTTATTTACTATTATATACTTACCTGTTGTTAGATATTAATTATTAAATGTTTCTATTAATAGTTATTTACTATTGTTAGATACTTACCTGTTATTAAATACCTATTATTAGTAGATATTTAGAATAAAGACTCGGTAAGGTAAAGGTCTTGTGTAGCCTCTAAAGGGGGGGAATGATGCCTTAGGTTTTAGCTTTTATATTTTTCAGATTCTGTACTGCTTTAGTGTGTAGTTCTGAGCTTTGTATTAAGGGATGGTGAACAAATTAGGTAGACAAAACAATTCCTTTTTTAGTTGGGGATCAAGGACAAATGATCCAAATTTCAGGCCCAAGAGAATAAACAACAGCAGAATGAAGAGAGAAAAACCAGAAGGATGGGACATCATAATCTAAAGCTGTAAATGGACAATTAACTCCAATATACAAATGGACCATAACTTATAAAAGTGTGAGACCTTGTGACTGGTTGTGTATTTTGTGACCATTTTGGATTCATCTTGGGTGTAGCCCTGGCTGAGCTTTTGTGCTGCCCAAGGAGTATCCATTGAGGCCTTTTAATAAATCCCTACTTTATTCTTTAACTCTCTCTAGCCTCTGTTCTAGGTCAGCCTTCACAAGGCATCAAGAAAAGTCATAATAGAACAGAACAAAAAATATATTGGATAGATTTTGAGTTTTTGTGAGACTAGTTGCTGCAAAAAGCATCAAAATGGCTTACAAAAGTATTCCTAATTTCTAGGGAACAAGATATGAATGAAAGATTTGCTGAAGCTTCTGGACTGTCACTAAATGTTGAGCTCTTTAAAGTATTGTGTCTTCTTAAACAAAGATGCTCCCAGATTTAGTCCTGATCCTCTACAGAAGTAACTACCAGCTTGGACACAGAGTCAGATTTAGGTGAGTGATCCTCATCTGGTACCTCTCTTCAAAAAGACCATCAGTGCATCTCCCTCTGGGTTCCTGACATGCAGCAAGCAGCTGAGGCCACTGATGCCAGTGGCAGCAGGGTTCCCCAAGACACCTTGAACCTGAGACAGAAAACAGCAAGCAAAATAAATACCACCTAATGGATTTCCTCTCCTAAAATACATTTTCTTTATTAAGAAACTCATAGGGAGCAATGAGCAACATAAAGGTTATCACAGCACAACTCCATGTGGACATTTTTTATTCTTTCTCATACAGACAATTTTTACACTATCAAACTGAGATCTCAGCTCCTCAATGCTATATTGCTGTTTAAAGTAGTGAATAGGAAAACAGTACAGTGATAAAGAGCACATAGCTCAAATCCTGGGCTAGAGGAAGGAATTCAGAAAATAGGATTGTTTCAGGTGACCTGATTACCAACCTGGCTACTTTGAGTTTGGGTGATCCAGATTAACCCTCTTTTTAAACCAACCTGATATCCTATCTGCAGGTGCTCAGCATGTTTTAGGGACAACAGTGCTGTGTAATGTTTAAAACATTGAGGTATTCAGATGTCATTTTTGGAAATATCTGGGTGTAGCTTCTTTACCAACTTGCAGGGATTTATCACTGCCATAGGCAAGAGCAATGTCCAAGGGGTCAGGTGACAGCCTGCCTTTCTTCTGTGATCTTGTCTACTCACATTGAACACACAACCCTGTGATAAAAGTATATTTTTAAATATGATCACTCGTACCAATCCAGAGGTGGTGCAGTTGAAGTTGGCTTCAGCACCACTGTATAATTCACAGAGCACTTCAGTACCAGCAGGAGTTACAGTTGCAAAGCCACAGGCATCTTCCCTCTCACAGCCTGAAACACAGGAAGGAAATTTTAGGTTTCCTAGCACTTCATATGTAAAATGATTGCTACAAATTCCACTCCTTACTGCTATCTATGTAGATTTCCTTATGTCTCTTAGACATTAATTTAATTAGCTAAATGAACTTTAGTACTCAATTATTTTAATAGAGAATTAAGGACTTTAAATTGAATTGAATTAACACAGAAAGTTGTTCATTACCTGATGATATAAACAGCTGAGAGAAGTCTGACCACACACCCAAATATTTGAAGTCTGCTGGATAATTTTGCCTGAGGCAGGACTCTCATGAACCACTTTGCCTGCACATCACATCTGCCTAATACAGTAACCCCATGGTAAGGAGGTTGTGACAGGTATCAGAGTGATTGGAAGGAGGGAAACATCAAATTTCAAATTCTTCAATCATGCTGGCTGCTCCTGCAGCCACCCTCTGGCCACTGTAAGGGAGAAAGAGCCATCTCCTCCAGATTTAGGAGGGGTTGGAGATCTTTCTGCCCTTACACATTCACCATTAACTTCCTCCCACATCTCTGCCCCCAGCCCAGGTGAAACACTTTCCAAATCTTTAGCATAAAATCAACCAACTTAGATCAAAGCATCAGTTGAAATTAAGTTGAGCTATCTGACCTTACAAGGACTTTGGGAGGGAAAGATTAACCCTCACTCCTCAATGAGAACTTTAGCAGTAATATTTTGAAGTTATGCTGCCACTTATTTACATAACTTATAAAGAAAATACAGCTGTGAGAGAGATGGAACCAGACTGGTTGGCAAAGGGGCATGATTTCCTCCCCAGGTTTATTCTCAGGCTCTCTCAGTTCAGTGTCTTGCTTTTGAAGGTCTCCATTTTCATGGGAAGGTGCAAGAAATCTTACAGTGTACAGCCAGGATGAGTTTGTGCTGGAAAATCATTCTTGTAGTAAAAGGCTTCACATATTCACTTGTTAGCATAAAAGGTGATTGCTCCAACTAAACCATGGCATGCGACACAATGCCACTGATTTGTCAGAATTTTGGATATATTTGTCATTATTTTGAACATATCCCTCTGTCTCCTTTCACAGCCTGAGCTTTAGGAGACACAGGTGAGACTGACTCAAATCACCCTGAAAGTAGTGTGTGATTCCTCTGGGTTTTAGGCAATTCTGAACCAACTTAGACCAGATGCAATATAGTATATAAACTTCAAGACTTGGCAGAGGAATATCTCTGAACTCCTCATAATGCCCTTCAGACGTAAGCAAGGATAATTATTCCTATTTCATGTGCCAATCAGGTAATTTATGAAGAGGTAAAAGGTGACTTTTCATATGTCCTGAATACCTAATTCTTCTTTTATCTGCACATCTGCACAGTCTGATGAAGGTTTCCTGGTTTAAATCTCAGTTCTCATTCGTATTGCAAGCTACGCCAACTGGCTTTAAAGTCAGATGATTTGTCTGAAGTAGTATGTAAAGTCAGAAGACTTCTTTCTGAAAGAAACAACAATCTCTTCCCTGAGCCAATGTCACCAAAAGTTGTAAATATCTTGTAGTGAATTTGTGACAAACTGCAGAACATATAGTCCATCCGGGAACTTAACTATAAACTCATCATAGGAAAATATTATTTTCCACAATTGTTAGTGTCACCTCTAAAGCTTTTCTCAGTTTTCTCACCTGAAATGCACTGAAAATATGTACTTTGCAGGTCTCCCTTAAATGACTGAGACTGAAGAATTTGAGCTTCTTCTGATCCATAAATCAGCCTAGAGGCGGGAGCTCTTTCAAATTTTCTGAGCACTAAAAGAAAGACAACAAAAAACCCCAATCAAGTAGTATTATCAGTTTCCATGCTGCAAACAGACAAAGACTTAAAGTAGAAATTAATCTTGAGGAATTCTGTGGGGAAAGAGGTTTGCTCATTAAATGATGTACCATAACCTCACAGATAATGCAGGAGACAGCTGGTGTGAGGGTAGAATTTCTGCTTTGAAATAAAAAATGTCACAAGATGTTTTAAAAGCCAGTTATCCAGGAGTGGGCTGGGATTTTACTTTCCAGTGAGGCTTTTCTCCCAGCAGCAGACCTGCCATCTCTCATTACTTGTTCATGCACTGAACCAGCTATTGAGTCAAAGGGGGAACCAACTTTGTCCAAATCAGTCCCAGAAACACGAGCCAGCTCCAACAACACTTGGTTAGACAGGAAATCCAGAAACACAACAGCCTGATCTCCACTGTGGGAAATAGTAAAGGTAAGAAGATTTTCAGAAAGCTGGGGAAAGCAGGCCTTAGAAACAGAAAGGGCAGAGAAATTAGAACTAGCTGCAGCTGCAAAGTTTGAAAGTAGAAAAGGTTACAATAGTTACAGCAAGCAAGGACATTAAATAATACCTTGAGTTTTAGGCTTGGCTGAGATAGACCTGAAGATTGCAGGAAAATATGCTTAGCAAGATAGTAGAAGGTTTTAAGCTGAAAAATGGTGTATTGTGTACTGTTTATAGAAGGCATACCAGCAAGCATTGTGTGAAGCAGGTGTACATGTGCTTTTAGTAATTGGCTGGAACAACTGTCTGTAAGCTTTAGCAATATGCTATTGGCTAAAAAGTTTTTAAAATGCTCTGTAACAAAGAAATCTTTGGCTGCTTCTGGCTGTACATGAGCCAGCATCTTTCTATTATTTCAACCATGCAATGAGGCTGATGCTGCAATAAAAGCTCAAGGAATGTGCCCCAGCAGTCCTGTTCCATTTGTGAAAAGAAAAGAAAAAACTTCCCAGCACATCCACTGACTTCAGGCTCAAGGCTCTATTCAAGTTAGTATGTATGTCCTACACGCTGCTTTATTACTCCTCCATTCCACTTTTCACACTTGACTGTCACTTTTCTGACCAAACCCTTTTATCTGCTCCCTCTACACTGGACCTGCCCTTGCATGAGGAGTCTGACAAGCAGCAATGTTCACACACTGGGAAAAGCTCATGGGCTCCAGACATGCAGACCCCAAAGGTCAGTAAATGGGGTGAGGAATTTAATCCAGGCTCCAGAGGGTTTGGCCCTCTCTGTGCCCTGCAGAGGATTACAGGCTGGTGAGAGGACACACAGTGCCACCACCACCCTTCTGAGGCTGCTACTCCCTGTATTAGCAGGGGCTTGGGCACAGTGTGCCCACGGGCTGATGCACCAGCACATCTGAGTGAGCACACCACATTATCCCTGACCATGGCAGGGGGCTGGAAGTAGAGGATCTTTAAGATCCCTTCCAACCCAAGCCATTCTGTGATTCCATGACACATTGTTGCTGTGCTTATAAACAGTGATAAATGAATTTTCAACAGTCATAAATATTTGTAGTGACATCTTCTAGCATGACCCACAAAAACCAAGCACAAATATCTACAACTGCTGCATCCTGCACAGAGTCAGAAATGCCCAAGCAGAAAGGCTCATGGTAATAGGAGAATTAAGATCCCAAGTCCTTTCTGCAGAGAAGGATCCCAACAACCCTGTAATTGAAAGCAACAGAGGCTGTCACCTCATTTTCATAACTGTGATCAGTCTCTGAGTATGCTCAGAGGAAAAAAAGTTATTTTAACTGAAGATAGTTTTGCAACCTCTTCACAACTGAGGACTTTACTTTTCACACTCCTTCCACTGATTACACTTGTCGTAAGACATTGTCTAATTCAAAGCACACCATCACGAAAGTTTCTAAACAGAATATTCCATTAAATTCAATACCAATCATATGATGAGCATATAAGAACTTCTGGGGAAAGCAAATCTTTGAGGCTGAGAGGTGTAATTAGACCTTACTGCAGGCAGTCTGGGGACTGTTTGATCGATGACTTTCTTTGTTTTTTCAAGTTTTTCATCCTTGAAAAACAGCATTTTGCAGCTGTATTCAAGCAGAAGTAACCTCCTCCAGCCTGCTAGGATATGTTCCCCAAGTCAAATACCTTACAGCAGGGGCCCAGAGGGTGATGTTATGTTGTGGTGTGAGATCATTGCTAAAAATATTCTATTTCCCATGAATACACAGATGAGGGATAAGTCTACAAAGAAATTAATAATTGTGATTCTTTCTCATTAGGCCTCTCATTATTGTTTTAGATTTCCAAGCAGAGAGCACAAGGTCAGCACACATCAAAAGCTGGCAGCCATCTGAGGGTGCAGGAAACCTGCTTCTCTCTCTTCCCTACCAGAAAAAACTTCCCCAGTGTAGTCAAGAAATGCAAAAATAAGGAGGAATGTGGCTTAAGGCAGAGGCCACAAGTATGAGAATGTGAATAACTATGGGACAGTGAATCCCCATAAGTTGTGGAGTGCTTAGTCTCTTCTTAAGGAAGTTTCACCAATGTGGGGTCAAAACATGTCCAAAATATCCTTCTGCCACTTACCCAAGCACTGCTTATCTGTAAGGAGATCCTCTGTTTCAGTCCAGTCCAGGGCTGCTCCAAAGCTGTCGACGCAGAAGGATTTCTGGGTGCTAGGGTCCTGCTGGGAAGGGCTGTACTGACCTTCTCCATCACACTGCAGGCCCTGCCCACCGCCCTGGCAGGGAGTGACACCTGGAACAGGGGAGCAGGGGAAGGAAAAAAGGCTCTTTGACAATGCTGTCACTGGGTTTCACAGAAGTCAGAGGCTGGACAGGACCTCTGGAGGCTGCTCAGGCAGGGCCACCTAGGGCTGGCTGTGCAGGACCCTCTCCAGATGGCTTTTGCCCATCTCCAAGGACTCCAGAGCCTCCCTGGGCAACCTGGGCCAATGCTTGGTTGTCCTCACAGCAAAAAACATTTTCTGATGTTCAGAGGCAACCTCCTGTGCAGCCACTGGTCATGTCAATGCAGTGGGACAAAAGTCTCCTCAGCACAGCAGAGACTTCACTGAAAATTAAGGCAAGATTTGCACAGTATTTGCACACTCTGAAGCATGGTAGTCTCACTGCTTTGTTGCTACTTCAATTTGTGTTTCAAACATTTTTTGGATTCTCTGTCATGCACCAATCTCTCTTGCTCTGTTTCCAGTATTGTAAAGCAAAGTGTAGAGAAGGAGCTGTACTTTCATACGGGTTTGTTCAGTGACTGCTGCAGTGCATCTGTGGAATGCTGTGAGCAACGAGAAGATCTATCACACCAATAAACTCAGGAAAACTCTTCAGACTCTGCAAGGAGACAGCAGGGACTGAAAGAAAGGAGGAAGGTAATGTGTAACCTGGCCTTTTGGAGAGGGCTGGCATTGAGGTGCAGCACAAAGGTCAAGTGGAAACCAGGTAGGGAGTAGGTTTAGTAAAAAAAATTGCAAGTGCAAATTTTTAAATCCTAAGGAGCAAACTCTTAAGTATACAAGTCCAATACATACCCAGGGAACACATATGGAAAAGAAGAATAACTGTAGGCAAAAGCTAATTGATATTGGGGTACATTACAATAAAAATGGGAGGTTTATCCCACCTAAAAGAATAAATAGGTTGAAAGAGAACAAAGTAGACCATATACTTAATGACACTTCCCAAGAAGCCCAGTATTGTTACTCTTATTTATATCTTATTTTAAATAAGATAATTTGGTAGACAAAACTGAATTTGTACCTAATAACTGATTTTCTGTATAGAACTGCATGAATAAAAACAAATAATTTAAGCTGAATTCACCAGCTTTAGCGAACATTTCAATAGTTGCTTTGTGAGAAGTGTTTATATTTGCAGGGGAAAGAGCAGCATAAAACAAGACTTTAGTGTTTTATTTTAGTGTTCATGAAAATGACAATAAATTTACTTCATAAGAAGTTTCTTACTGATACTGAACACCCAGATACCATTCCTGAGGACAGTGAACATGTCTAGAGGAACCACAACATCCTGGATGAGACTGACCACTTGTTTCTCATGCATTTTTGGTCAAAAAACCAGACAGTTTGTACTTTGTAAAATGCTTTTGAATGTATGCAGAAGGGATCATATCCATCCAAAAACCCCCAGAGGGAGGATTAATTTTAAAAAAAAAAAACTTAGAAATTAATTTTAAAAATCATTATATATTTTAAGCCAGAAAATAAAGGATATGGAAAAAATGAATTCAACTTACAGTGATCAGCACTGGTTGCCCCATAGGAGTTGGTAGTTTTGCCCACAGGACACTTGATACAGAAGGAATGTCCTGTCTGATACTGATAGTAGCCAAGAGGGCAGGGAATGCATTCATCGTCCTGGAAATAACTGCCTGGAGGACAAACAACTGCAGAGAGAACAATCACCTTATTACTGCTTTGGAATTCAACCACTTCTAGCATTTGCAAACATGTGTGGGTATATATATAAAATATACATATACATATATATATATATACATATATATATATATATATATACACACACATAATGTATATATATATATTTATATTTATAATGCTGATAGATTTGCCATAGGCTTCAAGCTCTTCATATATGTATTTCTAAGTAGTATAACAAAGTAAACACTCTTTAAGTGATCATTAAACTCATCAATGACAGGAATATAGGTTGTGATATGTTTTCTCAGATCACCCAAGATCTCTTCTTTAGAATTAGAGCACGTTAAGCTCTTTGGAAATGCCAAGTCCAGGCCTGATTTCCAGCTTGTCAAATCCATTTGTAATAAGATAATGCAGGTGGACAAGTTGTGAAAGAAAACAAAGGAAGACAAGATACAAGAATAGTAACTTCTAACATTACAAACAGAAACAGGAATGTTCTGAGGAGCAGAAACTCCAAAACTATCATACAGAAACCCACCATATGGTAATACTTTTATTCAGAATTCCTGGTAAAGAAATTTTTGTTAAGCACTTCCAAACTAAACAGTAAGGGCTGGATTAAAAGCCACTAGCTGTGCACATGACAACCCAAACACAAAACAAAAAGTTGTTCTTAGTGATGTTCTTAGCCTGTATCTATATAATTTTCAAAACAATCAGGAGCAATATTTCCAGCTGACCTGTTGCATATTACAGAGAAAATTCTTTGTCTTCTGGAATATCATGGAATACTCTCTTTCCTCCAGAGTATTCAAATGAACATTAAAGCAGAAGAGTCACAGACATATTTGCAGGACAATACCCTTGCTTGTTATTTCACAGCTGCTTCCCAGATGTAGATTTCCTTCAAAACACTATCAAATGTATATTTTGGGACTTTGACAAAGTGCAAAACTATATTTCTGTTCTTGCCCTGCATCCTGACAGAAGTTTAAGCTTCCAAGAGAGAGAAACAGCAATGGAATATTGGCCATTCTTACTACAACCCATATGATTAATTTGCTGTTCTGGCCAGCACACCAGAATGCAAATGAATTTAACTCATGGGACCACCTAAATTATAATAGACTAAAAAGACAGCTAGTAGGAAAATTATCATATCTTCCTTCATCATCTGTAAATATTCCAGTGGGAAGGTCCTGTGGGAGGATACAACTGTGAGACTGAAATTTTCCTCCTAGTACGCACAAAGGCAATTTCTCTGGGTAAAACACAGATCTAAAATAAACTAGGGAATTAAAAAAATCCTGGATCAGTCAGAATTCTCCTTTCAAAAACCCATCATCTAATACACAAGTGTCTGATATGTTTTAAAGAGAATTTCCAACACATGCGAAAAGAATAACACTCACTGAACAACAGTAGAAATTAAAGTGAAATGAGAAATCCATGCCTAAATTGAAGACAAAATGCAATGAATAAAGAGGCTAATTAAACAATTAAAGTTTAAAAAGAAACAAATTAAGCTTTTCAAAGAATTCTCCATTTATTTATAGTTTTAGTCACAATGTGAAAGAAACATTTGTGTCTCCTATCATATTTTGAGCAGGAAAAATTGCCTTTCATTTCACATGTTGGATTGACAAAAGGGCACAAAGAACAGTAAAAAATGCTGTTGCAGAATCACATTTTCTAGACTCTATAACTCTTGGAGGGACCTATCAGTTCAGCTACAGGCCATGCTGACACAATCACCTGTAGGTTCAGTTTGACCCTACAAGTGAGGCAAACCACTATATTGTACCTCTTTCAAGCATTAACATTAATACATTTTAACAACATAAGAAACTACAACTTTCAACCAAAATCTAAGAGCTAAGGTAAGTGGGACCTAACTGTGTAATCTAAAACAGGGGGAAAAAAAATAAGAAAAAAATCCCAAATAAATTTAACCCCTTGCTCCTGCACATGAAATTTGGAACCTGGTTTCACTTTTAACTGGACTTGGGCTTCTGTGTACCAGGGGAACAAGCTGCAAAATCCAGACTAAGGAGCAGCTCTCTGAAGTGATCCACAGGGATATTGCCCTTCACAAAAGCCTCAGCTCTCACTACACTGAACAAATTCAAAACCTGTCCCAGCTGATCACTGCCTAATGCTTGCCCTGCTCCTGCTTCCCTCCAGGGATACTGGAAAACTTTGGGATATCAGATTCTTGAAATAGATTATTAGAAATTAATTCTTGAGCAATCAGCTATAAATCTAGCCCTTTCATTTGGGTTATTTTATGTTTAAAGCAAACCTTATAGAATCATCAAGCATTTTAAATAAAAATAACTAGCATAAAAAATTATAATAAGACAAAGCTAATTTACAAACAGCCCTTAGGTTTTCTCCTGAAATAAATGGGGGAGAAGCGTTATGTTCCTAAAGTCTCCCCGGAGATTTTCTAACTCTCTTAATTTTAACTCATACATTAGCAAAAGAAAGTGACTTTTCTACTGTTAAAATTTAGTTAAAATAGTATTGTTACCCCCAGATCTTAAGGAATTGTATTAATAGATACCTGTGACATAGCATAACTCAGTGTAAGGCTGAGACTGAGAAAAAATGCCATATAAGAAAAACTAACATATAAGAAATGTTACCCATTTTACAGGTAGGAAAACATGAAACAACACAACAATAGATGCAAATAAACAGATGACTGTGAGGAAAATACAAGAGACAAAGAGGCAGATCCATGTAAGTTGCATGTTCATATATTAATGAATATATTAAGCTTATTGAGAACACCAGAAACCTGTTGCTATTGAGCTTCCTGAAGGAAAAGCAATGACATTGACAATGAAATAAAACCAAAAAAATCAAAAGGATCAGGATCTGAAAACACAATGCTTATTTCAAGAACAAGACAGAACAGGAAAGAGAAGAGAAGAGAATAAAGAATCTCTGCCACCCTCACATAAATTTGTTTTCTGTAGTAACAGGTGATGTATTAGTGGGGAGACAGACCCAGACAGGATGAATGAGCAGGATATATCCATATATATATGTATATGTGTATATATATATATATATATATATATATATATATGTGTGTGTGTGTGTATGTATATATATGTATATATATGTATGTATGTATATATATGTGTATATATATGTGTATATATATTAGAAGAACCAGATTGTGAATTCCTAAGTTCCCTGTTCAGAATAAATTATGCAGTCCTGCAACACAAACCAATGTCCAGCAGCAGTTACACTATGGCAGCTTAGAATATGAAATCTCTGTCAAAGACTGGAGCAGAAACTGTCTCCTTGCCACATATCTATGATGTCTGTTTTACTGAGTGACATTTTCCATAGCTAGCTGGTTGAAATATGTATGAATTAACTCACAAGGCAAGTTTATTCACTGCTTCCTAGAGGCGTTTATGCCTGGCAGGCAGCACTTGGCAGAAAGATCCAGTTCTTTCTAAGTTCTGCTCTAAGTGATGGATTCTACTTATAAAATAATGATACCTTTAAGCAATACAACACTATATCTTGTTAAGTAGCTGCATGTTGTTATGGGCTCTGGATTCAATGGGAAATAATTTTTTTTTTTGCATGCATGCATTTAAATAACCCAGATCTAAAGTGTTTCATACTGTGAAGATGAACTGAACCTGCAGTCAATTTACCCTTATAGGTCCAGGCTGGAAACTGCAGCTGTTCAAAAGTGTTCATCACTTGATTACCTTACCCAGGCATTAGGAAACTCTCTGAGCTTAAAGAGAAACACCACACCAAGCAAGGAAATAAGTTTTTTTTTCACATATTCTGATGGGCTTCATAGCAATGAAGTGATGAATATCTGAAAACATTCCCATTACAAAACTTATCCAAAACCTGCCTCTGTTATCTTATTCTTCCAAGTGGTACATCTCTCCTCTGTTCCCTAGATTAAAAAAGGCTGGATACAGTGAATACATCCCCAGCTGACATAAATGAGACATGGACTCATTGAGAACAGCTGGCCAACAAGAACAACCAGGATCTGAAGGAAGGCTGGTGTTGATAGAAACAAGGCAAAGACACTTTGGCAGCACAACCTGGTGCCAAGGACAGGTTGGCACAGCCACAGGGAGCTGTGGAAAAGGCAGGTTTGGCAGTCCTAAGCAGTATACTGGCAGAAAGGCAGCCTTTTCCAAGGAAGCAGACTAAACAGAAGGAAAGAAGAAAAGAGGACAGAAGTGCTGTTAGGTCTGGGTGTTGGCCAGCATCAAAAAAAGCTGAGCTGGCTGGACTTGGCCCAGCAATTCACAATCTCAGGACTCTTGGCATTTCTGCCTCTAAGTTTCTATTCCAGGTAATGGATCATTATCTGAAGCTCTGGCTACATTATCTTTGTGAAATCCACTTTTAAGGATCATGTGCATTACAGAATGACCTTCTACTACCAGACAGATCTAAAATGTTTACAAAAATCTCAAAAATGTTTACAAAATTTCCTCTACAATGTCAGTGCCATGATGCCTATTTCCAAATCATTGGTTCAACACAAGGACTGAACAGGAAGCAAAGCACTAATTCCCATTTCTCTCATTCACATTGGTGCCTCACACCTTTCAAATATGAACTTTAACCACAGGTTCACTGATGACTTTCTAATTTCAGCTTTATACTGACTCCTGACAACATCTAAGAATGGAAAGCTAAAAATGGGACCTACCACATCCTTGTGAATTAGGGCCTGTTTTCCCAGGAGATGAAATTCTTCTAAACCCACTTCTACATCCAAGCTGTACACGGGGAGACAAATCAAACTCTTCATCCCGAGGAAAATCAATGACAGAATCTGCTATGAACTGCTTGGAATCCAAATGCAGCAGGAAAACACCATCCTTAATCTCTTTTATAAATGCTCCAATGAGATTTTCCCCAACAATTGCATTTTCTAAAGTGGGAAAAAAATACAACAAAATAGCATGAAAGACATTTGGCTAATATAATGGATACACTGTTATTTGGTAATGCAATGGATAACCACACAGAAACTGATGTGTTGAAGTTAAAACAGAGGCAGATGCAGTAATACAAACATGTTAACAAACAGAAGATCATAATTAATCGGTACAGCATCTATAAAATTACAGTCTTTACTCTGCTTAAATACATCCAAAACCACCTCAAACAGAAGGCCCCAGAGCTGCCTTAGCAGGTAATGGAAGTTGAAACTTAGTGGGACATGATAGTACCATAACTATACAAAGAGAGCAGACTCTGCTCTGGCTCTTCTGAAACCATACAATCATTCCCTCAAAAAGCTATTTCTGTACTACAGGGAATTTTTAGTATGGAGAGGTCAAAAAGGTAATTCCCTCAAAGAGGAACACTTTCAAAAATAAAGTTGAATATAAAACCAAACACACACTTTGATTCACTTTCTGCAAACTGCTTGAATATTCACAGGGGCAATGGATTATTGGATAAGATATATCTAAGAATAGATATAATTTAGATTAGACATAAGAAGAAGTTTTTTACAGCAATGGTGGTGAAACATTTGACCAAGTTGCCCAGAGAGGCAGTAGTAGATGCCCCATCCCTGGAAATGTTCAAGGTCAGATTGGAAGGGACTCTGAGGAACCTGACTGAGTTGAAGATGTCCCTGCCCATGGCAGAGGTGTTGGACTAGATGACCTTTAAAGGGCCCCTCCAAGACAAGCCATTCTATCATTCTGTGTTTTGTGTTTCCCTTAGAATAGGGGACGGATGTAAACGATATCAAACTACAGGACCATTACAGCTGCCATCTATGTCCTGAAGGATTTTGAATTTAGTTCTGGTCAAGAAAATGGCTGTAGGACACATATCTCCAAGCCCCAAAGTTAGAAGGAAGAACACATGCAGACAGACCTATTTCTTTTTACTGCTGGGAACACTATTCCAAAGCAGTAAAACTGGAGAAAAGGTCACACAGAATCACCAAGGTTGGGATGGACCTTCACAATAATCTAGTCCAACCACCAACCCAGCAGCACCATAATCAGCCCTAAATGATATCCTCAAGAGACACATCCAGATGCCCCTTGAACATTGGTAGAGACAGTGACTCTACCACTTGCCTGCCCAGTTAATTCTAATGCCTGAGCATTCTCCCAATTAAAAAAGTTCTAATATCTAATCTGAACCTCCCCTGGGACTCCTTGAGCCCATTTCCTCTTGTCCTATCATCTGAGACCTGGGAGAACAGAATGATCTCCACCTCCTTTCAGGCACCTGCAGAGAGCAGTAAGTTCTCCCCTTTCCTCCAGGCTAAACTGCCCCAGCTCCCTCAACTGCTCCACATCAGACTTGAGCTCCAGACCCTTCCCCAGCTCCATTGGCCTTCTCTGGACACACTCTAGGACCTCAATATCCTTTTTGAAGTGAGGGGTCTGAAAATGGACACAGGATTTGAGGTGTGGCCTCAGCAGTGCTGAGTATGGGGGCCAATCACTGCCCTGGTCCTGCTGGCCACATTATTCTTGACACAGGCCACTATCCTTGATATGCCCACAGAGGACATTTGAACTTGGGATATATTTTTAATATCTCTTATATTGAAGGAAAATACTGACTGTTTTGAAAGAAGTTCCTTACACCACCCCTACCTCTTGTGGAAACCACAGCAAACATCTGCCAGTCTCTGTATAGCTGCCCTAGGATGTCAGAAGTAAGGATCATTATTTAGTGTCAAAGGAAATGCAACTAATAGTAAAACAGGGAAAAGGGGAAAAAAGAAAAAAAAAAACTTGGAAGAAATTTTTGACAATGTGTGAATTGTGTTTCTCCGAATACAATGAATATAAACACTTTTCCAACCACTGAGGACTTGTCCAATAGAAATTAACATCTGGGACAGTTCAGCCCATGCCTGATAAAGTGATTTGCAATCCTAGTTAAGGCAGCTGCAGTCCTATCTGAAAGAAATATTCAATTATAGCTTCTTTCCACTGTGTGGTTATAGCCTAAGAAGGGAAATATATCAACATTTAAAGCTCAAAAAGACAACACCAGCATTATAAAAACAGGGAAGTAAAATTATTAAAAGCAAATCAGATTTAATCCACAGAAAAGTCAGAGAAAGGAAAATTACCAATATCATGTAAGTCAGGGAGAGAAGCTGTGGGGATGTTTTCCAGCTGAGTCCTCCACGTGATGTTCACTCCCAGGCGATCCACGCTCAGGCATTGGACATAGACAGTGGAATCATCACACATGGAAACTGAGCCAGTTTTCCCAAATGCATTCACCTTGAATTCAGAAATAAATGAAATCAGTTAGACAACCTGAGAACTTGTTCTTGCCTTGCCCTATTCATTTGCACTGTACTATACTCAAAGTAACACTGTCAAAAGGGTCTGTAAAAACAGAAGCAAGAAAATATAATTTTAGCAAGTCATATACTCACTGTAAGAATAGTCAAAATATTCTCTTCCATTGAAACAATTTTTTAACCAATATTGGGCTAGTGTGATGTGACTTTTATGGCTGGAACTAAACTGATCTGATGATGTGGTGTGAGACTAAACCTATTTTCCCACTCATCCATATGAGAATGCTGCCAATCCTGACAGATTTCATGGCATATTCCGTTCTTCTATATTTGTCAAAGGCAAAGGTCTATGTTGTGTTTCACTTTTTTTTATTAATTATTTTTAATGCAACACAAAACCCAACCAAAGAAAACAAAACCAAACCAAACAAACAAAATCCACCAACAGGAATTTAAATTACCTGGAGGTGACATAAACCACGAGCCTTCAATTCATCTAAAATAAATATCTGGAATGTCTGGAGTAATCCAGAGTAGTCAGAACTACATGTCTTCTCAGGAGGCAGGCGTAGTTGGAAGTGTGTTTGAGCTTGGACTGTCTGAAATAATTGGAGCTCTAAAAATGAAGTAGAGAGGACATTTAGTAACCTCACTAATGAGGAACCTGACCTTCAGAGTTACTTTGAGAAAAGACAACATTGATTTGACATTCTCATGTTGCATCAATAACATGTCCCCACTTTTAGATGAAAGCAGTAGAGCTGTCAGTAGCAAATAACAATCAGCAAGACATGAGCTTGATAAATATAAATGTTGTGCATTAGAGAAAAAAACAAGTGATACACTTCGATAATAAGGAACAGATATTTTGCACTGGAGCACTAGCTCAGAGAAGGATAAGGGCAATCTGGAGAATTACTGATAATTTTTCATAACCCTTAGCAAGTAGGAAGTTCCAGAGAACTACATGAAAGCTGACATTTTGCCAATACTTAGAAGAGAAAGAAGAAAGACAAGAACTATTGACCTGTCAATTTTCACTTTTCCTACATGCAATCATGAAAACAATTTAAAAAGGAATTAAATGGTAAAAGCAATTAATACTAATGTAAATGGGCTTTTGGAAGCCCACCTTGTCAAACTTACTGGGAATAAGTTTTAAGAGACAATAAATTTGTAGAATAATGGCATTGCCATGGATATTAGTGCTTTCTGAATTTTTGACAGAAAACCCAAGTGATGCTAATCACACAAATTGATGACAAATCTGTGAGCTCATCAGTCAGAAAATCAAAATATATTTAATCAGTTTTTAGCAAGAAAAAATATTCAAATTTCTAGTCTTCGCTGGAGTAACACTGATCCCAGGCCCCATGGAGGGTTTGTTATCTCAGGTTCAGCACTACAACCATGCTGTCATTCCAGCTCCAAGTGGAGCTGGCTCTTTTCCCACCAGGCTGGACAAGCAGCAGAGCTCTCCCTCATTCAGCTCCTCTGCAGACCCTCCCTGCATCACATACAGGTGTCACTGCTGGAGCACAATTCCTCATCCCTCACCCCAAAAACGAGCATGAGAAAGCCTGGAGAGCACCCAAGGAGAATGGCAGACAGGACCAGAGGACACAAATCCCTGCTTATTCCTGCAAAGCACAAAGCCTTCTCTCTGCTTTGTTTCTCAAGAGTATTTAAAGAGACTGTGATTTAACCACAGTCTCTAGAGGTATACATACAGAACATAAAATATGATTTTTGAGAGTGAGGGTAATTAGCCACTGGAAAAAATTACTAAGTGTTTTGGTGAATTCTCCATTATTGTGAAGTTTGTTCAATCACCTTCTGATGTGTTGGGGATTTTTAATTTCTCCTTAAAACCATGTTCTATTCCAAACACAAATTACTGGGGGAAGTCCTTGCTTACAGTAAACCCTATAGCAGATTGCTACACACTCCCCTCTGTCCCTACAAAGTTACCCCACTGCCATCAGGCAAACATGGAAGTTATTTCATAACATGCTACAGAAATCTCACAAACACAATCACAAACAGACAAAACTTTCAGTCTGAAATTGAAAGTTTAAAAATATTTGCAGTTGGAATAGAAGAGTTTAACCCATTCTGAAGACTGACCAATGGGTGCAACCTATTCCAGAAGTAAAAAGTAGCTGCAAATTTAGCAGGAAGACCTGCATTTCTCAAAGTTCAGCACTGCTACAAATTGCCATTTTGATCACAATGTATGTGTTTTAAAAATAATTGAAAAGGCCAACATTAATATCCAATTACATGAGCTCTGAATGGGCATCAAATTTTTCCAAGACTTAAAGTGCTATTTTTTTATTGAAATCAAATTGGTTTGAAAAATACTAGAAGTCAGCCAAAAAATACGACAACAATCCTTAAGAACAGACTGCTGCAAAAAAGATGCAGAAGTAACAGTGACTTGATTATGCAAATAAACAGTCAAGTTCTGCCAAATTCAAACATCTGGCACTCATCTGGAAGAACTAAGTAATTCCATCAGAATCACTTATGGTGCCAGCATCTTTTAGCTAACAAGAAAAATCTGCATATAGATTGAAAAGCTATTTATAGCTCTATTATTACAGGGAAGAGGGACAGTTTCTGGCACAGGGGCCAGCCAAGAGCCACAGGTGAAGATGGCAGAAGACAGAACACATCTTCTGCATCCCAGTTTAGCAACTCCTCTGTAACTAGGGTTGTTATTCACACAGTAGTTCTGTGATGAAAGCTGGGTTTTGCACTGTGTACACTGCTCCAAGCCCTCCCCAGGCCCCAGCAGATCAGGTCAGGTGAGATCAGATGGGACCAGATCAGAGCAGACATACTCTGGCAGGCCTGGGGCAGAGGGGCAGCCGAGACCCAGCGCCGCTGCCGCGCGTCGCACTGGGATGGGGAGCTGGGAGCGGCGCTGTGGAAGCCCTGGCGACACACGAGCTGGCACTGCTGGATGCCTGGAGCTTGCCCAGAGATGGTTTCACAAAGCACAGCCCCGTTGGCAACTGCTGAGGCACCGAAAGGCAGAGCACACTGCGGACCTGCAGGCACGGGAGAAGGGGGATACGTGTTAGGGGTATGATGACCTCTAGGACAAAGCCCATAAACCCCTCACAGCCACAGATTCAAACCTAGACAGCATCCTGTGCCTTTCCCATCAGCTTTGGCCTGGTTTGAGGTCAGCTTGGCTCAGTTTACTGAACTGAATGTGTGTCAATATGTGTCTTTATGGAAAAGCACATATTGACTGTGATGGGTAATGCATCAGGTCCAGAAAGGGACGTGCGTGGTTTCTAGGAACATTTTGAACAGTCATGGATAAATTTAAGCAGGAAATGAGATTTCTAACCAACAGCAGAACAAACCTTTACAGAACTTATCTAGTGGAAACAGGCAGGGCCAAATAAACCTCAGTTTCCCTTAGACTGAAGTTTGAAAGTTTTGAGATCAGGAACTCATGACTGTGGTGTCTTCAGCAACACCAAGATGTTTCTAGTGACCAATAGGGCAGAATATACATTTTTATATGTATATTTTATATGTATATAGATATATATATATGTATATATATATAGATATATATATATGTATATATGTATATATGTATATATATATATATATATAAACAGTAGTATACAGCTCTAGAGTTGGAGCACAGTTTTCCTTATCAATTCACTCTGTATAACTACAGTCATTCAAACCCTGCTAGCCCACTGTAACAGATTAATTACAGTGATAATTATTTTTTACTAATCAGTACAAGCCAACTGCTTCACTCAATATTAGCCTAATCCCAACTCAATTACTAAATATATCCAGTAATAGCTGCACACATATTAGTTCCAGAGCTACAAAACACAAGAAAAAAACCCCAATTAATTTCCTCATTTGTAAATATATACAAAGAAAAAGATGTTATAATATCATACAATTCACTTTCTTGGTTTATATATAGATCATTTTCCAAATTACAATGCTCAGATCAGTCCTAAACTTCCTGATCATTGAAGGGAGGCAAATATTGGTGTTGGTTCAGATCTGAGCACCCTCCCTCTCCCCTTCTGATGGAGATTAATTCCATAACTAACCAGCCATTTAATTTAAAATATTAAAAACCTTTTATTAAACTTTCAGTTAAAGTATTAAAACATTGGAGGGTGGATCTGGGATCCAGTGTGTGCAGTACATCTTTGTTTTCCAACTCTGAGCATGTCAATGCCAACAAAAAAAAAAGCTTTCATATTTGCCTCTCTGAACTGCCAAATGCATATTTTTATCCAAGTCTCCTTTATAGGAACGTTTTTGCAGTAACTCTGTAAATGGGGCAACTACATTCCTTCTCTTCACTCATTGACCCTGTAGCCAGACTCTCTGTAGAGGTGGAAACCTGGAATCCTTGCTTAACAAATTTCTCATAAATCTCCCAAAGTTTTAGGACCAGAAGGCATCTCTGTAAAAGAGATAGTAATACTTATCCTGGCCATTAAATTACAATAATATAATCTTTATACACAGAATGTAAAAATCAGTCTGTGGTTTCTTAATTGCTCATGCACATTTCTATATCCAGCAAGTCATATCCAGTCTCAGCTGAATGGTGCTACAATCTCTTACTGCCTGATCCATTGAGATTTGGTGTGTGAACCAGGGAAATACCCAGTTTCCAAAAGAGAAGTGATCAATGGTTTCCTGGTGTGGTTCAGAGGTTTCAATTCACCTTCAGTAACTTGTTCATTTATCCCTCTAGATATTCCACTTCATTTACTATATTCTAAGCCTGTACCATTTTGTCATTGTCCTGTTTCTTGGTTCTGTAGGAGTGAACCAGAATCCAGCTGAATACTGACATTTCATTCTTAGGTGTTTCCAAAGATTTTCACAAGGAAATGAACATCTCCAGGACCTTCTCTGGAAACCTCTGTCCTCTGTCTCTACTCAGAGTTATGGGAAGTGGGCATGAGGATGGGAGATGCATGAGGGCTGCTGGGGTACTTGGCATCATCTCTCCAGTGCAGGTCAGCAAGAAGCAGCTGGATTCTACCTCCAATGGAAGTGATTAAACTAATGAAATCCTCCTGGACACTCTGAGTTATTACTTTCTGTTTACAGCTGTCTGTTCTGATGCTGGAGGAAAAATTTATCATATTTTCCCACTACAACACCTTATTTTGCTGAGAGACGAGATCTCCAGAGTAGCAGTATAGTACTCCTTTTTCCTGAACAATTATTAGTAATTCCCAGGACTGGAGGCATAAAGCTAGGTAGACTGAGGAGAAAACTAACTTTTGATTCTTTATTTTTACACAATAACTAAGTTGTGTATCATGAAAATTCCATCGCTCTTTCAAAATCCAGGGAAACCATTAAAGATTATTTCCATCTTTATGCAGAAAAGAACAAATAGCTTTCAGTAAAACCAGGTTTCCACTATATTTTCAAAGCAGTTCTCCTTCTCAGCTCAGCATTTTAAAAAAGAAATGTCATTAATCACTTTTAGTCATTATTTTCTCTAGGAAAAGTACAGGATGGCAGCAGCATTGTACTTGTGGTCAGCTCTGCTTCTCTGAAGAGCTAAAAACCTGTCTTGGATGGCTACATTCAGGTGACTACACCACCCTACTTTGGAGCTCATTTCCTCAGAGCTCAGCTGGCATCTTCACAGAACACCACAAGCATGGGTCAGATACAGCCATGGGGTCTCCTTCTGGCTTCTCATAAAATCCCATCCTCAGAACTGTCTATTGATACAAGAGACCACAAAGAAAATTATTTCTAAGTTGCCCGAGCAGTTACCTAGTTGATAAAAACCTTGCAGGCAATTGGGTTGATACCTCCAGGTATTTTACAATAGAATTGTAGAATCATTAAGTTTGGAAGTGACTGTATGATTATGCTATTAACCCAGCACTGTCAGCTCCCCCACTAAACCATGTCCTTAAGTGCCACATCTTCCATTTGGTCAGTGAGCAGCAAAGCTGTGTTGATCTTTATACAGCAGAATCACAAAAGGAAACTGAGGCAAATTACATGGTCTTGTTTCCCTAATATTTTTCAATCTGTCTCCCACAAAACAATCAAAAAAACACCAACAAAAAACTATAAAAACAGCAGTGTCCTGCAGATTAACCTGAAGGTTTTGTTTTTACATCTCTACTTCCCACTAATCATTACATTTTGTAGCCTTATAGAAAGTTTAATTAATTTTGCTTCACTTCAGTGATGGGAAAATGCATAAAGAACATTGCAAATTAAACTTATCCAAATGTCTCCCATTTGGGTGTCTCACTGGAAACCATGAGTGAATTCCAGCACTTCACAACTCTGGTCATTCAGGAAATACTCTGTGAATATGCAATATTTTGGCACATCTTTTACACAATTCTGGTCACAAGCCAAGAGTCAGAATGGCAGAAGGATACATTTTTCAAATTTTATTTTAGTCAGCTGAATGGGTTTTAATCCCAGAGCCAGCTCAGACTGGAGCAGGTTCAAGTTTCCAGCAAGCTTTTCAGATTGGCCTTATAGCTGGGTTTCATAGCTCAAATGGTTTGATTCAACTAATTTTATGAAACACAAAAAGTCAAGGATCCATTCCATTCTCCTTTTTCCCTCACAAAGCACCTAAAGAAAACCAGACAGCATGCCCTGGTAGGTCTGAAATCTGCTGTAACACAAAGATAAGCATGCTGCTTGAGAAAAGTATCTCTAAAGGTCTGAAGAAATAAGATTAAATTCAACTAGAGAGTGGAAAAATTTAGGATCTGGGTTAAATTTCAGGCCTGGATCTGCTCACAAGTAAATGCCTGAAGCAGGAACTCACTTGCACATTCGGGTCTTGCCCCGTTGACTCGTGTCCCTGGCACCTCTTCTCCATTGGCAAAGACACACCAGCAGCTCTCCTGCTCCTGGCTGCACTGCACAGGGGAGAAGCTCCCCCTGTCCCCTTCACACTGGGGGATGTCTCCTCTGGCAGCTTCTCGTGAAACCGCTTTGGACTTCAGCATGCTACACAAACTGGGACCTTCAACGAGAGAGATTCTTTGCAAGATACAGAATAGAAGACAACAAACTGACCTAAAGACTTTACCAGCAGTGCTTCCAGCCTGTTTTGTTGGTAGAAAGAAAGAAGAGTGACCATGAAAACAAATAATTTGTTTTATTATAGAAGTAGGAAATTTACTTCTACTAGAAAAAAACACACTTTTTTTTCCTAAAGATTGAAGTGCAAGTGATACTGTTTTAGAAAAACACTTGAAAAAATGCTGTTCTTTAGTTTTCATTTATATATATATATTTTTTACAAATGTGATGATGTATCATTTAGAAGCTGATATTTAGGAAGCAAAAAAAAAAAAAAAAACCAAGTTAGTAAAATTTAGCTTTCCATAAAAATTTTTGATCAAGGTAATTTTAAATATAATGATATGATAATTTACATTTTTAAATAGTTAAAATGGTGGTAAGAAATCAAAAATTTAAAAATACATAGAAGTCCATTCATAAGTTTGTCTAGACTGTTTTATTTCTGGTGTTATGAAAGTAAAGGGTAGCAATTTTCAGATAACCTTTCAATGTTGCTGTGCTTTGTATGTACCCTGTCACTGAGGAATTAACTGCAAGCCTCCCATGTTTCACAGGCAGCATTCTGAAAAGGAAAGTACATATGCTGCAAAGCATGAGGGATCGCAGGCAGGGGGCAAAGCATTACTCACACTCAGGATTGCCATCCAAGCCTTTGCTGCCACGCTGGAATATTTCTCCTGACACAGGATCCACACACCAAATATCTGTGTCAGATCTCTGCAGCACAGTGTATTCTCCTGTCTACAAAGAAGCAAGGACTTGTCATCGCAGAGCAATGTGTTTTAATACAGACACACCAAAATCCATACCCCAAAGATTGGTTAAAATGCTTATATTTACCCTTGTCCATTATTAAAACATATTGAAAAGAAACACTAAATACAGTCTAACTAATTGAATAGATAGACCAGTCCCTGAGAGAATCAAGAATAATTTATGTAGGAAAGACCTCTGAGATCACTGAGTCCAGCCATTAAGAGGGTGTTGACTGAAAGTCTATTGAGATAAAGTTCTGAAAAAATCCTAGATTGAAAAAGATCTGATAAAATTCTAGATTTTGTTTTCAAAAAATGTGTAGAAGTGGTGCTTCAAGGTATGATTCAGTGGTGGACACAGCAGTGCTGAGGTGATAGTTGCACTTGATCTTTGCTGTCTTTTCCAACCTAAAGGATTACATTATTCCATATGATAATGACTCTATTACATGAAATGTCTATTTCTTGCCTGTCTCTCTCCTGCTCACTGCCACGTTTTGAGAGCATCACAGACCCTGTTTTTTTGGGACATCTGCACCCAGCTCACATTGTCATTCTCTCACAGTTCAGGAAGAAAGAGCCCCCCCAAATGTCAGTCAGTTGAGATGTGCCTTTTAGCACAGCTCTGCAGGAGCACCAGGCAGAGCCAGCCTGTGGGAGGGAAGCGTGGGCAGGCACTGAGCTTCCTATTCCCAGGCTCCACCTCAAAGCTATTTAAATTCTGCCTTCTGCAGGGCAACAGCAGCTGTTAGCTTTGTCCTGCCCTTTTCTTTGAGGTTAATAGAAATGCACAGGGTGTGATTAAGGAGCATGGACAGAAATTGTGCGTGACTATGGCAAGGTGCAAGCAAAACTGCTTCACCCCTCAGTCACGTCAAATCACCTCGAGGCAGCTGGGGATGAACAGATCAGCTGTAGAGGTGTCCAGCTTTGCACTGCTCTGTCTCCAGCTGGAAATTAGGGCATTGGCTCGAGATCGCTGACATGAAGTCTGGCCTGCCAGAGGGAAAATGTTTTTTAAAATAAAATCAAGTTTCAGACCTAAGCAAGAGAAAGAGTTGCATCACCAGCTCCCTCACACATCTGCATTAGGCACTGCTACAATCTCAGGCAGGGCCACCAACAGTAGAGGGTCCACTTCAAATCATGCAAGCCAAAATCACACACAATGAAATCAAATTATCTAGCAAAATAAGAATATAACTATTTTTACTTTTCTTGGAATAGTTAGAAGCAAGCCTTACTTCATGCATATTAGAATTTCCAATAAATATTAAAATTTGCAAGAATAGATAAAGACAAATATTTAGAAAGAAAACCCAACTGACATTTGGGAAGTTCCGATGAACGTGAGACCAAGGAATCCATGACATAACGACCTCTCTCATCCACACACCAGCAATGACCTGGCCAGGGAAGAAAAGCAGCTTTATTTTAGATGTGGTACTGCTGTGTGCTGTGTTGCATACTAGGAAGATTTTCACCTTCAGCAGCTCTATAGAAAGATATCAGTAAATCCAAGTCATAGCTTGGAATCCAGGGGTAAGTAGGACCATATCTGAGAGCAGTGGTACAAATGGAAATGTAGAAGCTCTGGTGAGACTCCCCCACTGTCGCCCTATCACCTACTCACAGAAGTTTGGCATCATCCATAAACTTGCTGAGGGTGTGCTCCATCTCATCATCCTGGTCACGAGAGAAGGTATTAAACAATACCAGCCCCTGGATCTACCCTCCAGGAACACAACTAGCAGCAAGCAACTGAATATCTGCTCATTTTTGAGCCCAAATGAACTTTCACTTGAGTCCAGCCAATTTACACACATCTTGTAGACCACATCACCTTCCTCCAGTCTGACTAATACTGGTTTCATATCTTTTAATTGGAATTTTTAGGGGAGTTTTCTTTTTTGGGGGTTGTTGGTTTTTTTTGTTTAGACAGCCCAGAGTGTCTTGTTAGGAAATGCTCACCTGTGCTCTCATAGCACTGAACTGGCTCCCAGTTTCCCAGGCCATCACACTGAGGGATGTAAGGGAAAAATCCCAGCTGTGTTGCTTCCCCAGCAGAACTCTTTGAAGTAAAGTAACTCTGCCAGTAGAAGCGCAGGACTATAAAAGAGAAGTAAAAGAAAGCTCTAGTGTCCAATACAGGATATATAAAATGCACATATTTGCAAAAATGTGAATGTTCCCTGTACTTCAGAAGACAAATTAATAAATGTTTTAAGTACATAAAGCAAGTGCCCAGATTTTTTATTTGCATTGAGTGATGCATAGGAGAGAACTGAAATCAGCTCTCGGAGCGGCAGCTTAATGACCCTGATTAATGACACCTGCTGAGTCGCACCCGCTTTTCAGCTAAGTTGCATTTGACATCAAGTGCTCTTGCACAGATTCTGGGTGTGACTCCATTCAGTTCAGCCCTGCTGTCCCTGCCACCCACCTGACCATGCAGCCAGCTGGAGAGCAGAGTCCCTGCCCGACAGCAGCTCCTGGGAGATCGCTGCCTGCAGCCCGTACGGCCCCGCGGAGCGCAGCAGGTCCCTGTCCGTCAGCTCTATCCCCTTCGCCAGCAGGAAGCTTTCTCCAAAGGCAAACTGGGACCCATTTGAGGCCAGGATGAGCTGCTCTGCCTCCTCCATGAATTTCATGGCTTCCTGCTTCACACCTTCACATATACCAGGGCCTGTATAAAAAAAAAGTGTTTACATGAAGAGTATATTAATGACTTTAATCTAAATCCAGTAAATATTTGCGTGTGAAAACTAACTGGTCTTTAATTCGCATCATCTGTTTCCCTCTGAAATTGGTGTTGAATTGCATAACGAAATAAGCAAAGGAGACTTGCCGGTGTTCAGCTGTTTAACAGCAAGAAGTGCTATAAATCACACAAACATGCTTCATGTCGTGGGCTAAAGGCTTGATGTTTTTACATCCTTATTGGTTACAAACTGAGTTAATGCATCTCTACAGAACATCCCCTCAGCTGCTGCCATTAAAAAATGTGGATAATCAGAAGTGAGAGTCCAAAAGGAAAATGAAGGTATATCCTTTGGGTCTGGAGTGGCAGCTGGCACTTGACCTATCCTCTCCACGTATCTACTGGCCCAGGAAGGGCAGTTCAATGCACTGAACCAGTTCCATGAAAGCTGCTCCTCCAAAATAACTGTTAATCTGCTTCATCCCCTTTATTCCCCACTTGCCCACAGAACTGGAATCTCCACCAATTCATTGTCCTGTCTCTTCTTCACAGCTGGAAAAAAAACTTTGTGATGAGAACAATTCAGTGATGGTATTTATAATACAGGTCATCTGCTGGAGTAACTCCAAAGACGGCCCAGCACCTTTGGAGGAGGTGTCTAGACAGAGCTTACTGAACTTCAGTGCTGGCCTCACTCTCCTCCTAGTGACTTCTAGGGGATATCTGTTACTCTTGATCACATAATAACAGGCAGTAAAGAAAATCCCTCTTGCTTCATTTTAAGGCATTCTTGAAAGTAATTTACATTACAGTGTAATCCTGATTTTTCCATACAACCCTTCACACATTCTTATATCCTTTACCAGCTGGATAAGTATCTTCTGCAAAATCATTATATGTCCAAACTCCAAATTATAAAATCTACTCAGTCTTGATGTGGAACTTTATTTTTCCTTATTCCCAAAGCTCAGCCATCACTTATTTAATGGAAATGAGTCACCCTACTTCTGACATCCATCGATAATGGCAGTGCTGATGATCTGTCTGACAAGTTATTGTTAGCTACTTTACAGCAATTGAAAGGACTTCCCTCTCTTGTGGCACAAAATACATACAAGAAAGCACTCCTATTTACCCACCAGAAATTGTTACTTACATGCTGGAACCTGGTTCACTCCTGCCTTTGTTCCTTCCAGCTCTCGTCCTTTGCTGTCAACACACCAACAATCACGAAGTTCAAAGTGGCCTAGAGGAGCACTGAAATCAGTATAGGGTCCAGGGTAGTAGCTGAGCTGGTCAGTCAGAAGCTGCCAGAATGTATATGGGTCCAGCAAAATGTTCTCAGATGCACTGGTCATGTTTCCTTTCAGCACCTGAGGTGGGAGATCGGTGAAGGACGAATACATGGAGAATATGGGGAAGACATTCTGGTGCCCAGCCTCGTACAAAGCTTTAACAAAAGCTGAAAAGTCTCCAGAGGATGCCTCTTTATACCCAGCTATGATGTTCACAAGATCAGGAACAGGCAGGGGCTTGCCCTGGTTGTTCTCTGCAATCCACCTTTCGTACCACTGGAAGGCTTGCTCGGGAGGGCCACTGCACTGCACCTGCCTCCAGCCACCCCCAGCATCACACTGAGGGAGGTGAAGGCTGGACAGCTCAGGCACAGCACTTGGATCTGACAACAGCAGCTTCACAGCCCTGAGGAACTCCTGGCCAGCTGCTACTTGGCAAGCACTTGGGCCTGGGAAAAGAAAAACATGCACATCTGAATGTACTGAAGGTATACAATATCCCTATCCTCTAGTACAATAAACACTACTACTAAAAAGTGGCCACTCAGCCCATTAATAACAACATTCCTGACCTGTTGCTGAGAGGGCTTAGCAATATTAAGGTCCCATGCTGAACCAGGGTAATATTTCCAAAGGGATGTGAGCCCTCCAAGATGAATACAGATATGTTTGTTTTTAAATTTGTGAGTACATTAGGTACTTGTAGTTCTTACTGGGGGGGGCCAGGTATCACTAAATGCCTTCCTGAATCTGTTTACATAGATCAACTATTTTCAGATATACTTGGTAATCACGTTACTTGTTATTCATTCAATGCAAAAGCAACCATCTGAATAGTGGGATAATTTTATTTCCCCTTGGACAGAACCTGAATCTTAATACTGTGTGTCCTCTCTTCCCACACTACTGAACATTGCCGCTGAATATAAAAATAACATCCCTCAAAATACTGGAGTGAGTTTGGTTTGGAAGCCTTTTCTGCCATCCCCAGAGCCAAATTTCACTTTGCCACCAAGCAGCTCCACAAACCCAGCCAACCACGGAAGCTCATCTTTTGAGCACCAGAGAATTCTGAACCTTTTTATTTTGGATTGCACTACGGATGGGTTGTTAGATATAAATCCCCTCTCAATTCAGATCATTACAACAAACTCCCCACTGCTTCTGCAAACTGCTATTCAAAGGAGCCCCCTCACTATGCACCACTCTCAACTGCTGGGCACTGCTATTTCTCCCAAAATGAGAAGCAGGCTCTCCTCTTGGTCTATTCTCCCCATTGACATGTTGTCAGTTCACAGAAACTTGAAAAACAAATATTCACTGCCTTTGTGCTTCCTTCTTTCATCACAATTCAATTTAAAAAAGGGCAAGGAGAGGCAGTTCATAGTCTATCAAACTGATGTCAGAAGTCATCTGCAGGTCACCTTTTCGGCTTGACTTTGTGACTTATGAGAAATCTACCATCCATTAAATCCCTCTTCTCTGTTTGGAGTCCTGTGATATCTTACCAGTTTGAGGATATATTCTTGATCTAAAAAGACTAAATCAAGTTCATAGTTTAAGGCACTGAAAATATTAAGTTCTTATGAAAAGATGAGCCAGTGACTGTGCCCAGTGTCACAGGGACAGCTCAGGTGCCTTGGTCTGGAAGTAAAAGGGCTTTTTCACTGGGCAGGGGTCACATTCAGTTCCACAGATGCTCCAAGTCTCCTGTGCATCATGGATGTTACACACTCCAGCTGCACACTGAGGTAGAGACATGGCAGTGACATGTTCAGCAACCAGGCAAGACCTCAGGTTCCTCTGCTTTGAGTGTGCCCACCCTAACCCTGGCCACCTTTAGGACTGGGGATATCAAGGCTGACACACATTGTATTTCCCACTATCCCTTGCCACTGTAAAGCTGGCTTGCTTTCCTGTTAGGAGACTTTGGCATACACCATCCATTTATTTCCAGATGTAATCAGATATGAAGAAAGACCCATGGAATTCCAATAAAAAGAAAGCATCTTTAAATTCCCAGTCCCTGAGACTTACATTTCATTGGATTTCCAGCTTCCCCCCTTATTCCTGGAATAGTCTTGCCATTCAAATCAACACAGAAGCAATTTGTTCCATAACACTGGAGCGGCAGAAAGTCTCCATCCTCAGTACAAGAGGGAATAAAGAGATCTGATCCCGCAGGCAGGCTTTGCTTCAGGTTTTTCAGGTTTCTCCTTTGCTTCTCACACTCAGTGGGACACTTCGGGCGTTTGCCTCGACGCCTTGAGCCTGGAACCTCCTTACCTGAAGTGTCCAAACACCAGCACTCTCCTGCATAGCACTGAACCTCCTCATACCTCCCCTCCTTGGTGCATGTTGGAACAAACAGGTCCCTTGGCTCCTCACCACAGCCTCCGGATCCCAGAGCTAGTTTCACCACTTCACCTAAATCTTCAGCAACACTTTCAGGGACAGAAATTACTTGTTGAAGAAAAGTAAAGAACTCTGGTAGTTCCAGGACATAAGAAAGGAATTTCATCAGATTCTGATTGTCTTGCAGAGTTACTGTGTGGCCATAGCTGCTCACAAGAGGTTTACTCAAAATGGAGCTCCCCTTTGATGCCTCCAGTGAAAATGCCTCAGCTGATTCCAGAGGGCCATTGCCTATCTCTGACAGATCCTCCTGTGGGAAAAACTGGCCAATGCTGTACTTCCCATTAGTGCCAAGGACCCCTGTGAAGTTAAACTGGATCAAATTCTTCAAAAACCTTCCTCCAAAGAGGTTTTCTTGGAAGCGCTTTGGATTGGCAGTAAATTGCAGTGCCACTCTAGCCAGTTCCCTGGACGGGAACATCCCTGTGATGGCTTCACTAAGGATGGTTTCTAGCTCAGGAGTCTGGCTGGCAAACGGGCTTTGTGCAAGTGGGGATGACAATCCAGAGTCCAGAAACAGCTCCTTGAAAGAGGGAGGGCAGGGCCTTGAAAAGCCATCAGTTTTGTCTGACTGCTTATCTGGTGTGGAAAACAAGCTGGACTGACTGAAGTAGCCAGCAGGGCCATAAAGGAGCCTCGACAAGGCCCGTCGCCGCTCGGAGATGCACGATTGCTCCTCACCTAGAGACAGATTTAAAAAAGAAAAAAGTCCATTTTGGAACCTCCAGAACCTGTGATTCTATTGCTCACTTTCAAGCAGCTGGGGCAAAAACAACATTAAAGTATAGATTAACCTGCTTCTCAACTATGCATCACGCACATTGTTAAGGAATTTGAAATGTTAGTGCCTATGGTCTACAAATAAAATTCTCTATTCGAGACCCAAAATGAAAGGAAGCATTCCTTTCCCACTGCTGAATTCTCTGCTCTGTGGTCTTTTACTGGTTCTGTTGCTTCCCAATGTAAGTTCTCATCCCTGTTCCCATGGCTGAAAGAAAAATGTCTTTTCCAAATATTTTAGCACTCTAGTAGGATGCCTGCTGCTAATAAAAAACTCCAATGATCCAGGTGAAATGTGGGAAACTTAGAAGGAGAAATAGATTGTGAAAGAACACAAAGTTATTTTAAACAATATCCACCAATGAGGAATTTGTGGAAGTTTCCTAACTAAATCCTCAGTTTCATAGGGAAGTGTTTATTGCAAGAGGTTTGAAAATTAATTGTGAACATTAGCAGTTGTAGAGTGCTAAGGACAAGATGGCAATAATGAATGAGCTCAAAGGGAAAAAAAATGAAGAATTTCAACAAAAATAGTGCAATGTCAGCATACCGAGAGTACCAACAGTGGCCCTGGGCACCCCTATCCTGGGCTAAGCTATGTCACAGGTGTGGCTGCATCCAGCCCCATCTGTACACTGATACACAGGGAGCAACAGACAAGTTAGGATGCAGCACATCAGTGAAAAAGGACAAAGCTTAGGGTTCAAAAGACAGCAAATAAGGAAAGACTTGGTAAATATAAAGACAGCAATAATCAGACATACAGCATGGTTATGGCACTGACTGCATCTGGAATGCACACAGCAGCTCAACTCACATGCCACATATTTACCTGTCCTTGGAAAGTAGAATTATAGAGAAGGGAGGCAAAAGTAGCAGAACTATAGAGAAGTGGAGACAAAAATATTTTGAAGACAGAACAGCTTTTCCAGTATGAAAGAACCTTCAGCCTGGACAAAAAAATATGGAAAAGGTCTTTTAGAAAACAGGATTCTCCACATCATTCACAATAGACAATTATTATTCAGTATTTCTCACAGAACAGAGAAGTCCAGATGTAGAGCATATAATTATGATCATGAAAGTTATTGCCAGAGAGTGCTATGAAGGTTAAAAGGTTATAGGGCAATTAGGCAAATCACTGGAAGATAACTCCATAGGGGAGGGCTGAATACAATTATTTGGACTCAGTCTTCACTTTGGGACATCTCCCACCTGCAGGAGGATATTTGGAAGTTATGTGCATTTTCCATGGTTCTCAGTCTTTTTTACTCAGCACCACTGCTGTCCCTGCAGGGGACAAGATGGATAAGCAGCTGTAGTCTGCTCCAGCACCAGCTCCCTTGGGCTCCCCACTCCATCTCCATTTATTCCACAACTAAGCAATATGATAAAGCTGTCACAAATTCTGTTAACAATAAGGATAAAAGCTGGAAACTTAAAAGAACTACTAAAAAAGCCAAGCAAGTAATCTGATGCTCCGTGATTGACGTCTTTCTCACTCCTGCTTTTGCACCCTTGTCATGCTCTACAGATCCTGACTGGAGCTCAGGGTTCCTTCCCAGAAGTTCCTTTGTAAAAGAACTTTCTGTAGGATGGGCCCCTTCTGTTTTCAGTGTTGGCTCTTGGTGGTTGGAGGGATGAAGAACATTCCTCAGAGGGCCAATAAGTTAGAACAGTAATATGAAACAAATGCAGGACCATGGGTCATAAACACTCTCCCCTCCTTCCCACTGTTGATCAAAACAGAGGAAGAAAGAATAAACACCAAAGGCATTGCTGGTGTGAATCCACTGCAGACGGTCTGAAAAGAAGCACATCCCTATCAGGACTGCCTGGTGCTCTGACTCTCCACTGTTAACACTGCTGAGTGTGAGAGCCAAAGACATTAAACAATCACAGAATCATAAAGTTTGGAAAAGACCTGTAAGGTAATTGAGTCCAATCATTAACCTAGCACTTCCAAGCCCACCACTAACTATGTCCCTAAGTACCACATCTACATGGGTTTTGAACATGAAATAAAACAGAGGATAACTGGAGACACACACATAGCATGTAGCTGTCTGAAGACTTCAGCTATAACCTCATGAAATACCTTCTCAGGAGTTAATCTGTGAAACCCCTGCAAAAAATTTTCCCTGCTTAAATTTCCTGAGTCTGACAATAAAAGCTGCAAGCAGCCTGAAGTCATTGCCCCCCTTTCTTCAAGCCCTCACCAAAAAAAAAAAAAAAACAAAACAAAAAAAAACCAAAAAACAAAAAACATCAGGAGGGCTCAGCAAAGTGTACTCAAAGAGAAAACAACCAGCCCCAGCACATGGCGAGGCCTCTCAGAGGTTCCCTTGTAATATCCTTGGTGATCAGCCTTGAAGGCACACTGAAGTTTTCATTTCACAGCAAGCCTGTGTGAGCCCAGAGCACTCTGAGCACTTGGAGCTGTGACACCTAGGGCAGATTCCTCCTTTTTCAGCTGCATGGGAAGCTGTGTGTGTCTCACAGACACAGCAACTGCCTTCCCCCAAGGTAGCCCCACATTAAGACCCTGTGCCCAAGCCCTCCAGCACAATCCTGAATATTTAGGTAATGCACTTCAGAGCAAAGGTTTTCAACTTTCCTCCTCCCCTCCAGCCCCTGGACATTACTGCTGTCATTTCCATTTAGGGCACTGATTTGATGGTGTATTCTCTGTGGAATCTCTCAAAGCCCTAACCTATATACCTTTTCTGAGTTGTTTGTTGGGTGGGTTTTTATAGTATTTGGCAGTTTTCATGGCAAAATATGCAGTGACAGAGCTGAAAAAAAAATCTGAATGGGAGATGAAATTCCACAGCATTTCACCAAAGGAAGGAGGTAAAACACAAAATCACTATCATTTGCTTCCTTATATTACCCCAGATATTCTCACTTAACACTTCCTGGAGTGAAGAGCCAGATATCAGAGCTGCAAAGAAAAGCCTTGCTGCATGCAAAACTAAAAGGCTAAAGAAAAATCACAGCATAAAATAAAATCAGCACGATTTTAATAATGTATTAAAATGGGGAGGTTTCAGGATGTTTGAACAACAACCAGAAATCTACCGGAGCCGGGAAAAGAGCTTGTCTGCTGTTGTGCAGCCACTGAGAGGTTTTTCCTTTGGCAAGCACACGTACCACAGGCCGGGGGCTGGCCTCGCCTCCTCGTGCCCGGCGCCTCGCGGCCCTGGGCGTCCACGCACCAGCACTGTCCCCGCGGGTGGCACTGCAGGGCCGCGTGGCCGCCGCCGGCCGCGCAGGACGGCGCCACGGGCTGCTGGAAGCGCCGGGCTGCCGCGCGCTCGGCCTCGCACCTCGACGGGCCTGCAGGGAAAGCGGAAAGCCTTAAGCAGGGAACGTTCGACGTTTCCGAACCGCCTCTGTTCCATCCCGTTTTTTGCCTATTTGGGAGGAAAAAAAATTTAATTTCTGATTGTTTCCACTGATGCATCGAATACGAGCTCAAAATGCGAATTCTCCATCCGCATTTCCCAAGAAGAATTTGCCTCATGGTTTTCTACTGCAGGTATTAATGTATGGAAACTAAAAAGAAGATAAAATCTCAACACATTTTTCAGCCATAGTTGCAAGTAGGCAGAGCAGGAATATTTCTCCTAGGGAACCAGGCTGGGGGAGCTCTAGCACTTAATGCAAAAGCAAAGTTGGTCAACAGAGACAGATGTACAGCCTGGGGATTGATTTGAAGGCAAACATCAATGTTTCTGAAGAGAGTGAGGCATTGCTCCTGCAAACTGACTGTGGAGATTTGGGCTGAGACCATTCCATTTCTCCATTTCCCTCTGCAGGGATCTGAAGACCCCATTCCTGTCAAACTGACCTTAAAGGCAGAGAGGGCAAAAATTCAGCAAGTAAATTTTCTGGGGTATGATCTCTCCAATACTTCACTCTCTGCACAGATTTCTTTGTTTGTTTGTTTATATTAACCTGCAATCCTACAGCCTAAACACTTCTCACCTTCAAGAACTTCCCAGCTACACCCAGCTAATTGAATGAGGTGAGGGCACTGTGTCAGAGCAACCTGTTCATCCAGGGGACTCTGACAACTTCTCCAGTTTGAGTGGATTCAGGTGACAGTGTGAGAGCTTCATAAGTCACCAGAGCATCCCCCTCGGTAGCTGATGAACGAGGTCACATCTCCATCTTGTGGCTGCACACATCTTCATTTGTGCTGACAGCTGCTGCAGCCCCAGCTACAGCCAGAGCTAAGGCAGAAGTACGATACAGTGCAGAGGTAAAATGCCTTCTAAACTTTCAAAACTCCCCAGAAGGATCAGCTTGTCCCAAAGCCAGGAAAATTGTATGACTATATGGCCAAAAGACTGACATCAGTATCTGCTTAATATTTCTGGTGATGCAACTCCTCAGCAAGAGTCAGAAAACAATGTCACAGTTTTGGACTTTGGATCCGAGGATGAAGTATCACACAGGAGATTCAAACTCTCCCCAGTTTGTTTTGGGCTGTGATCTGGGAGGGAGGAGGTACCTGACCTCCTGTCCCACAGAGTTCATTGCCTGTAGGTGGAGAAACTCTCCCCACAAGCCTGCCCTGACCAGGGAAGGAATGGACCCAAGGGCAGATCCAAAAGTTCAGCCTTGCTGGCCAAGGCTCTGCAAACTCTTGTGTGGCCTCCTGGGAATGAAGTGTGTTGTGGTCAGTGTAAAATTCTTCCTGTTTCTGGGTGTACCAACATAAATTAGGGAGCATTTTCTCAGGCTTTTAATTTAATAACTCAACAAATCCATCTCCATAATCTCAGGTCAAGAGATACAGAGTTCATGGGATTTCAAACAATGTGATCTGCAGGCACATGGGAAAGCATTGATCAAGTACAATCTGCTGGTAAAGGCAGGTACAATCTGCTGGCCAAGACTGTACAGTGCAGAGGATAAAAGCCATCTGCAATTCAGGGACCTTGATTCTTGCACTGGAACTGTGACATTATACATTTTTAGAGCAAAAACGTCTTAGAACAAGTCTCCCCAACAGCAGCTGTCATATAAAAGTTCCAGAACTGCCACCTGATTTACAGGGCATCTCCTGGGTGCTACTTACACCTGAACCTGCCAGAGGTAGCCAGCTGGACCCCCAGGAATCGCCTCTGCAGGATCCGATGGATGCTGCTCTCCGTGAATGTGCGGGCAGGCTCTGGCTCCGAGAAAATTGTATCGTAAACTTCATCAAGCAGCAGCTCCAGGCCTGGGAAAAACAGACTTTTAGCACAGGGACTGCTCTTAAGACAGAAGTCACCCTTACACCAGAAGAACAAAGCTGGGAGAGTCTCAGGAAAAATAAATCCAGTTCTCTAAACAAGTCAAATGTGAAGTTCTACTGCATAACCCTAATGCACCGCACCCTGCACCCAGTGCTGGGTGCGCAGGCACCAC